TTGTTTCTCCTATCAAACCCAGAACTGACTAAGCTTCTCTGAAGGCGGCTTTAACGTGGATTAATTACGTGTTTAGGTGAAAATTGTTCATTTAGAGTTTGTGAATTAGAAATATTTAGCCTCTAGTTTGTCTAGATACGCTAGAAGACACCTCTAGAGCCCTCGACGTGCTCTATGGGGGTGATCAGTGCTATGGAATGTTTTCAATAACTCTAGAAAAGCCTAATGAAGTGTTGTAGGCATTCTAGAATCTTTAGTATCATTTAAAAATGTGTATAACTTCTAGTTAGTCCTGCAAGCTTCGTAGGTCTAAGACTCTGTGATTATATTAGAAGCTTGATCATACTAGAATCTCTTTGTATCCTAGTTGTGTTAATATTTTGTATCCACCAGTAGCTCTATAAGCACTTTGATAATCTGTATCCACTTCATTCTCTGTAACCACTTGATATGCTGAAACGACTCTGTACTCTTAATCTATTTATTTATTTGTTTATTTATATACAAGACGGTACATTGGCTTTATTGAGAGTACATAGCATTGATGTTTTTTTCATTCCTGTAAAGCCACTAACAAGCCTAGCATTTCCGTCAGGTCCTTAATCTAACACTTATTTTAAGTAGCTAATTTCTAGTAGAATTGCAGAAATCTTAACAGGTATGTTGTAAGAAAATCTGACAAAGATTAATAAATACATTAATAAAGTAAAATTAGAGATTTATCAACCGGTATATTGTAGCATAATTTTAGCATTATTTCAAGGTATAATGCAGTTAAATATGTTTTCAATGGAACAACCATGATATAAGGTGATGACAATGATTACAATGGTGAAGTTGTATGGCTTAGGTACATATATTGGGGGATTGGGTAGCACTAGATACAGTGTGAGTTTAAAGCATTTGGTAGGAAACTATGAGGATGAAATTAGGTACTGTTTGGTTTTATTTTTGAAGAAGGCAAAAGTTGGACAGCTTTTCAATTCCTTGGGGAGTGAGTTCTATAGACTAAGTCCCTTTATTTGCATAGAGTGTTTACACTGATTTAGTTTGACTCTGGGATATCAAAGATATGTTTATTTCTGGTGTGGTGATTATGGGTCATATTACATCTGTCTAGGGAGAGTTTCAGAGCAGGATTTCCATTTAAGAACAGGGTTTTGTAAATGTATATGGCACAAGAGAATGTGTGAAGTGAGTTTATGTTTAGGGATTTAAACAAGGGGCTGAATGTTGTCTGAAAGCAGTTTGTTATTGTTCTGATAGCAGATTTTTGCTGGGTGATGACGGGCATGAGATGGTTTGCAGAGGTTGAGCCCCATGCACAGATACCATATGTAAGATTAGGAATAGATTAGCGCGTAGTATAGCGAGAGGAGAGCAGAGTTTGGAACATAATATCTGATTTTAGAGAATATACCAACCGTTTTTGAGACTTTCTTGGTTATGTATTGTATGTGGGTGCTGAAGTTGAGTCTCTTGGCTAAGTATAAGCCAAGGAACTTTCGATCATTTTTAATGCTGATGTTAACATTGTCTTCTCTGTGCATGTTGAAGCGTTCGTTCTGTGGCAGATGGTGGATGTGAAGTGTGTAGGGTTGATAGGAGTGGCAGGCGTCGTCATTCCGGGCCTGGTGCTGCTCCTGGCCCTCAACCACCCTCACCCTCGCCTTACTAACTTCACCCACCAACTACAGGTATACACCTACCCTTTGTTACACGGGCTCGCCATAGCCCGTGCTGCCTGGAACGTTTTGTTCCGAGTAGCGAATCTTAAACAACAACCCTTTGTTAATATATTTTATTTATTTATTTATTGATATACCAGAAGGTACATTGGGTTTATGAGAGTACATGGCTTATTTTTTTGTAAGAAAATTTTTAAATCGTGCATTGGGAGTATATTTGTGTCATATAAGGGGGGTAGAAATAGCCTAAGCTACTCTATCCCTTTGAGATGTATTTATTGCTTATCTCAATAAACATACTTGAACTTGAACTTGTGTCATATAATATAATATTTACATGCTTATCGTCGTTAGATAACATGTCTCTCACGTAATGGGAATCAAATTAATGTGCAATTTCAATAGTAAATTAAATCATTGCACCAAGATACAAAAAGAAAATTATACATTTTAATCTCTACTTCTTTTTATGTCAATTAATAACACGTTTTAGATACATTGCTTCAAATATATATTAAATTTTCACAATTTTAGGTCCTTATCTCTTCTGAAGTTCAAACCACCTGGACTGGTTGGTATAGCGACGGCCTACACTCTTGCAGGTCGGCGTTCGATTCCCGACGGTCCAAGTGGTTGAACACCACTCCTCTCATGCGTCCTATAACAGTTCCTTGTCCTCATATCCCAGCTCCTTGTCCTTATATCCCAGGTCCTTGTCCTCATATCCCAGCTCCTTGTCCTCATATCCCAGCTCCTTGTCTTCATATCCCAGCTCCTTGTCCTCCTATCCCAGCTTCTTGTCCTCTTATCCCAGCTCCTTGTCCTCGTATCCCAGCTCCTTGTCCTAGTATCCCAGCTCCTTGTCCTCGTATCCCAGCTCCTTGTTCTCATATCCTATCTCCTTGTCCTCGTATCCCAGCTCCTTGTCCTTGTATCCCAGCTCCTTGTCCTCGTATCCCAGCTCCTTGTCCTCGTATACCAGCTCCTTGTCCTAGTATCCCAGCTCCTTGCCCTCATATCCCAGCTCCTTGTCCTCATATCCCATCTCCTTATCCTCGTATCCCATCCGAGTGCTATATGATTGTGCTGGTACTGTCTTCAGAACTTACCATCTCCGAAGATATGGATGCTGCGTAAGGAGATAAGCGGCCTCGAGAAGGACATCGCGGCCCTGCTCGCCAGGATGAAGAGGCTAGATGGTGAGTTACCGCGGACGGGGAAGGAGGTCGAGCTCCTGAAGAACCTGGTGTTGAGGGTCGAGATGCGCCAGCGAGAGAAGAAGATTCTTCAAGACATGTGTGGAGCTTTGGTCCCTTGTGTCGGGGATCTGGGGGCTGCTGGAACTACTACTCCTGCTACTGCTGATACTGCTGCTACTGGCTCCAGTAACGTTACGTTCCTGCCATGATCCGGTAGCTATGTCCGCCTTCTGTTGTGATATCGTGGGCATTCACAACCATCTGTTGTGATATCGTGGGCATGGTTCACCATCTGTTGTGATATCGTGGGCATTCACAACCATCTGTTGTGATATCGTGGGCATTCTTCACCATTTGTTGTGATATCGTGGGCATGGTTCACCATCTGTTGTGATATCGTGGGCATTCTTCACCATCTGTTGTGATATCGTGGGCATGGTTCACCATCTGTTGTGATATCGTGGGCATTCTTCACCATTTGTTGTGATATCGTGGGCATTCTTCACCATCTGTTGTGATATCGTGGGCATTCTTCACCATCTGTTGTGATATCGTGGGCATTCTTCACCATTTGTTGTGATATCGTGGGCATGGTTCACCATCTGTTGTGATATCGTGGGCATTCTTCACCATTTGTTGTGATATCGTGGGCATACTTCACCATCTGTTGTGATATCGTGGGCATACTTCATCTGTTGTGATATCGTGGGCATACTCCACCATCTGCCAGATTCTTGGCTTGCAATAAATGTATACTCAAGCAATCCTCTTGTATACTTGTAGCCTCGTTCCTTAGCTACACCCCCAAAGGTATACTGGGTATATCATTGTTACTGGTATACTGGATATATCATTGTTACCCTGATATTGGGTATATCAATGTTACCTTATACTGGTTATATTAATTACCCTTATACTGATTTAACTTTCCGCAGAATGCAAGCCACAATAGTTGCCTAACTCCGCGGAACCAATTTTCTGCATTAGTTCAAACGGAACGTGCTCAGTCACTTCCGCCTCGCCTGGGGATCGAACCTGGGATCACTGTTTTATCTTTATTGGATGGCAATGCGCTTCTACGCATGCGAGTACAGAATACAGGACATTTAAGCGGTGACATTAGGTTTAGGCAGCGTAGTGCGTGGAGGCGTCTCTACGCCCTCACACAACACCTGGGGCCAGATTCACGAAGCAGTTACGCAACCACTTACGAACCTGTACATCTTTTCTCAATCTTTGGCGGCTTTGTTTACAATGAGCTCCGAAGCACCAGAAGGCTGTTTATAACAATAATAACAGTTGATTGGAAAGTTTTCATGCTTGTAAACTGTTTAATAAATGTAACCAAAGCCGTCAAAGATTGAGAAAAGATGTACAGGTTCGTAAGTGTTTGCGTAAGTGCTTTCGTGAATCTGGCCCCAGTACATCTTTTCTCAATCTTTGGCGGCTTTGTTTACAATGAGCTCCGAAGCACCAGGAGGCTGTTTATAACAATAACAACAGTTGATTGGCAAGTTTTCATGCTTGTAAACTGTTTAATAAATGTGACCAAAGCCGCCAAAGATTGAGGGAAGATGTATAGGTCGCGTATCTGCTTCGTGAATCTGGCTCCTGGTTCTTGCGTTCTGACAATCGTTTACCGTTAGCAGAAACGTGCGAACCTCAACATCTCGTCCAGATGATGACTGATGAAGATTAAGCCATCCAAAAGGTGGCAAGGGCATGAATAGCCCGTAATTGGTGGCCCTTTTGAGCCATTACCAGTATCAATAGATGATACTGGAGATCTGTGGAGGTGCGACTGCACCCTGCGTGACGGGAGATGCCTCCCGTCAATCTCGTCCAGCCTATCAAGGCCGATGCTTGGAAACTTCAATATTACGGTATTTATACTTTTCCGTAAATACTTTCGGCATTCTTGACAGATTAGGCGATTTAGTTAATAGGAAAATGTAATGCATTGGTGAGAGCCTAGATTGTATATTGACAATGTTGATAGGGAGCTGGTCGGCCGAGCAGACAGCACACTGGACTTGTGATCCTGTGGTCCCGGGTTCGATCCCGGGCGCCGGCGAGAAACAATGGGCAGTTTCTTTCACCCTATGCCCCTGTTACCTAGCAGTAAATAGGTACCTGGGAGTTAGTCAGCTGTCACGGGCTGCTTCCTGGGGGTGGAGGCCTGGTCGACGACTGGGCCGCGGGGACACTAAAGCCCCGAAATCATCTCAAGATAACGTCAGTGTTATTGATTAAACCAAACATTATCCTGTACCTTGTGGTTCACGCGGCTCCTCATCTCGAGATAGACGTGACCTCAGTTCCTCCAGAATCATGTTTTGTTCACGAATCTGGCCGACCAGATCCTCGACTAACCTGTGGGTCTGCTCGGACATAACATTACAGCAGACTCTGCATGGGGAGTTGGTGCTGGTCAGGCTGCTGGAAGCACCGGAGTCCACATCCTGTATCTTATCCTGCTGGACTCTCTCAGTCACCCAGCCAACAGTGTAGCGCTTCCTTAATGCTGGAAACCACGACTCAATAGCAAGCAGCAGGTTGACCCGACTTGACAAATTTATAAGCTGGGCCTCATCCTGTAACACTGTAAAAGTGTTTGAGTTAGTTTATTTAAAATATATATAGAGTACATGAGTCACAGACAAGGATCTGAGAGGCGCCAGTCGTCTGCCTGAGATCTCACACCTCAAAGCGTTAATGACCTCAAGTGACCTGAGGTCAGATCATGAGAATTTCACCTTGCTTCCGCTAAGCTCTTAATTGTAGTCTGGTAGCCTTCAAACAAGCCGACGTTTAAGGAGTGGCTTGGTAGTGCCGGAGGCTATCTATTTGTGGGCGGAGTTAGCTACTAGGTTCCCCAATATAAACTCGGAGAGCTATCCAGAAAGGAGCATTAACAGACAGAACAGCAGACGAGAGCAGAGACGTCCCTATCAGGGAGGCTGTCGGCCGGCAAGGGCGGGAGTCTCTGTCAACTACAGACCCCCCCCCCTTCTCTATTCAACTTAGACTCAGTCCTCGGTGAGTGAACATTAAGGTGACTTGGTCGTGTTTACGTATGTTGTGTGATGATCAGGGGCAGTCAAGTTGTAGGGTTCTCGAATTCTTGGATAATGACTCTCTTTAACATTTTAATTGAATTGCTACATTATGATACTTCATGTGAAATATAATTATGAATTTATTATTTAAATTGTGTTTAACTTTGTTCCCTAGAGCTTTGAGTTGAGGTGAGAAAGCCTCGGTGGTTACTAGATTCAAGATATTAATGAGTACTTGTTTGGAGTTGATACATGGTACAGAGGGAACATACTAATAATGAACTCATGATAACATCCTTGGAGAATTTTGTGATACAGGCAAGTTCCATTCCTTGTCTTGTATGTAATGATCATGAATGGATGGTGGCAGCATTTCGTCTTCTACTATCTACTCTTCTACTTCTACTATCTACTCTTCTCCTTCTACCTATCTACACCTCTCCCTCCACCCTTCTCTAAACTCTCACTTTCAGCTAATGACCCTCTTCGCTCCTCCCACCTCCCTACCTCTTACCCCAAACCCTCACTAATTACTTCACTATTCATTTCTTTCCTTTCGTTTTCTCTTTTACGTTTGTGGCAATGATTCTGTATTCTAGAGTTCTCTCTAGAGTTTCGGGTAACTGATCAAGTGACGGCGCCTTGTAGTCGTAGCACCTAGGTAGTCAAATACCTAGGTTTACAAGGTGTTGAACGAGAGAGGCTGCCTTAGGAACTCTGGAGGGTGCTCTAGAATAGTTAGCTAACTGGGGACGGGATAACGGACTAGAGAGAGCTGTTTCCCCCGGCCTCGTTAGTTAACTGGGGGGTGGAATAATGGACAAGGTAGAGCTATTTCCCCCACCCCCCGTTACAATGGTGGCAGCGGTGGGATACAATGTTTAAGGTATTGGTGTTCTTTTAACATTGTTCAGTCCCACGTGTCTTTTTGCCGCTCAGGCGCTATCAGGGAGATCTTGACAGGTGTTTAATATTCGCGAGTTAGCGAACTTTTTTCAGGTTAGGAGATAGTGATTCTCTGGTGTTGTGTTTAGTGATTTTGTGAGTTTTGTGGTGTTCAGGGAATGTTCACCAGAACTTGCGTGTGTAGTGATTTATGTTAGTAATAAGATTTGGCGATTTGGGAACTTAGCGGTGTTGGTAGTGCAGGTCAGCTGAGTGTGACAGGTGACCTCGCATGTCCCACGGGGACACCCAGCCACCGCTGGTCTCCAGGTCAGTGGGGAGTGGCAAGTGTAGTTTAAGTAGTGGTTCTGCTCAGATTATTGCGATCGACTGTTTTACTCCATTTGAACGCAATAACCCGAGGTGTACTGGTCTTGTACAGCATGCTAGGGGGAGCCTTAGTATGTCAGTAGACTTCACGTTGGGGACGCTCGACGTTAGATAGTCTGGTCACAGGGGTGGCAACAGTTTGGGGTTGTTGACCGGCGGAGAAGCTAGGAAAACACTCTGGGTCACGTAGGTGGCTGTAGGTTAAGGGTGGGAGTAACGGCGGTTTATGTACTTAAGATTAGGAAAGGTATAGTTAAGTTAGGCTAGTGTTTGTCTATTAGTGTTGATTTTTTTTGTGACAAGTTAAAGGTAGTGATGACCTTATTCTCTCTTCTCTAACTTTCCTCTGTTACTGTCTTATGTTCCACCAAGTCAATATCATTCAGTGTTAATTGGATTATTTTAAAAATTTAAGTGTAGTTGTTGCCAGGAGGAGAGCGTTATGTTATGACTGTGTAACCCTATACAAACTACAGGGTCACACAACAGCATGGAACACGGGTATTGTCGCCTTTATGTTCAATTCACAGGTGGGAGCCAGAGGAGAGGCGCGACGCATATACAGAAGAGGGAGACGGCTGCTGTGTACCACACTCAGGGGCGTTTATCACCACCACCACGACCAGCCCACTACCTGGAGGTCATGGCTCCACCACCACCACCACCCCAGGGGACCCCAAGACGCAGCCCTCTCGGTCGGTCAACATTGGTCTACCCAGTGGACCCCAGGTCGTTCTGCAGACGACCCCAGACGACCCAGAAATGATGGAAGAGGAGCAACAACGACTCCAGTCTGTCCCACCAACATCGGTCTACCCAGGATGGACCCCAGGACGGACGGACCCCAATGGACCCCAGGTCGCTTGTCAAAGACCCATGGGAGGAGGAAGAGAGAAGAAAGAGAGAGAAGAAGAAAGAAGAGAGAAGAAAGAAGAGAGAAAAAAGAAGAGAGAAGAAAGAAGAAGATAAGACAAGCTGAGACACGATACCTAGTGTCCCTTGCTGGTGTCAGCATCATTGCATGGAGCGTAATTGCAAGACAGGATCGTTTGCCTTGACTGGCCGCCCCTCCTGCAAGCAGGTAGCTCTGTTGAGTGATTCTTCCTGTGTCATGCAGACTTGATGTGGCTGTCAGAAGTGGCTCTCTGAAGGAGGCGTGCTGGAGCAACAGGGAGGAAGAAGAGTAGGATGGGATTTCTACTGTTGGCAACTATATGAAGGTCTCGAAACTTGTAGTCCCTATAGCTGTGAAGAACCCCAATATACGTCTCTCATGGTGACTGACGTAGGGCCAATTACAGATCAGCTGGGACAACCGAATTCCACGGTCCTGTGCGCAGTTCAAGTAGTAACGGCTTTCGGGTTGACCAAGGGTTGTTGTGCGTTAACGACGGAGAAGCGACGGAGGCAGTTGTGTTGAAGAAATGTGGTACAGGATTATCTACAAGACCAAGCAGTGACGTCGCCCAGCCAGAGACAATGGACGTCTGTCTATATATTTCATTTTTTAGAGTAGGATGATGTATATTTGTTTAGCTAGGATGTATTTTTTTTTCGTTAATAAAGTTGTTGCACACAGCTAGCTTGCTTTAGCAGTGTTGCAAAAACTTTATTTCGGGGAGAAGGGGAGATGTAACACTGTAAAAGTGTTTGAGTTAGTTTATTTAAAATATATATAGAGTACATGAGTCACAGACAAGGATCTGAGAGGCGCCAGTCGTCTGCCTGAGATCTCACACCTCAAAGCGTTAATGACCTCAAGTGACCTGAGGTCAGATCATGAGAATTTCACCTTGCTTCCGCTAAGCTCTTAATTGTAGTCTGGTAGCCTTCAAACAAGCCGACGTTTAAGGAGTGGCTTGGTAGTGCCGGAGGCTATCTATTTGTGGGCGGAGTTAGCTACTAGGTTCCCCAATATAAACTCGGAGAGCTATCCAGAAAGGAGCATTAACAGACAGAACAGCAGACGAGAGCAGAGACGTCCCTATCAGGGAGGCTGTCGGCCGGCAAGGGCGGGAGTCTCTGTCAACTACAGACCCCCCCCCTTCTCTATTCAACTTAGACTCAGTCCTCGGTGAGTGAACATTAAGGTGACTTGGTCGTGTTTACGTATGTTGTGTGATGATCAGGGGCAGTCAAGTTGTAGGGTTCTCGAATTCTTGGATAATGACTCTCTTTAACATTTTAATTGAATTGCTACATTATGATACTTCATGTGAAATATAATTATGAATTTATTATTTAAATTGTGTTTAACTTTGTTCCCTAGAGCTTTGAGTTGAGGTGAGAAAGCCTCGGTGGTTACTAGATTCAAGATATTAATGAGTACTTGTTTGGAGTTGATACATGGTACAGAGGGAACATACTAATAATGAACTCATGATAACATCCTTGGAGAATTTTGTGATACAGGCAAGTTCCATTCCTTGTCTTGTATGTAATGATCATGAATGGATGGTGGCAGCATTTCGTCTTCTACTATCTACTCTTCTACTTCTACTATCTACTCTTCTCCTTCTACCTATCTACACCTCTCCCTCCACCCTTCTCTAAACTCTCACTTTCAGCTAATGACCCTCTTCGCTCCTCCCACCTCCCTACCTCTTACCCCAAACCCTCACTAATTACTTCACTATTCATTTCTTTCCTTTCGTTTTCTCTTTTACGTTTGTGGCAATGATTCTGTATTCTAGAGTTCTCTCTAGAGTTTCGGGTAACTGATCAAGTGACGGCGCCTTGTAGTCGTAGCACCTAGGTAGTCAAATACCTAGGTTTACAAGGTGTTGAACGAGAGAGGCTGCCTTAGGAACTCTGGAGGGTGCTCTAGAATAGTTAGCTAACTGGGGACGGGATAACGGACTAGAGAGAGCTGTTTCCCCCGGCCTCGTTAGTTAACTGGGGGGTGGAATAATGGACAAGGTAGAGCTATTTCCCCCACCCCCCGTTACAATCCTTAGCCTTCTCCAGCTCTCCCTGCGGAAGGTTAGTGACTAGATTGATCATTCCAATGACCATAACCGCCAGGAAACACAGTAGGAGAAGGTTGCTGATGGTCGGGTATGGCAAGGGACTCTCTGTGTTGCTGAAGTGGTCGTCGTAACTCAGATCTCCCAGCATCATGGTCAGGATCTTCATGATGGCCCGAGGAAAGTTATTGAAGGCATAGTTGCCTCTCATTAACATATGGAAGGCAAAGGTGAATGCCACCACTTGAAGAAACATGAGTCCAAATAGCTTTAGGATGGTTTTTAGGAAGTCGTTTAGAATGAAGAGGTAGACACCAAATTGAGGCATCATGCCCAGCAGGAGAATGAGTTCATACCATGCCAGCAGCACCGACACAACACCACAGCACCACTGCCAATCCTGAAAAGTATAAAAAACAAAAAAGTTACATTTCGCATATTTTGGAACAGATTTCAAGGGTGATAAAAAACAGCTTGTATTATATGCAGAACAAATAAATGAATCTTGGATCATTATAAAAATCATATACGAACTTAGTATTAATACTAATAACATTTTAATATCAGAAATTTATATTAATTTTGTCTTCATCGTCGGCATTAAGGCAGGCAGCTCTGTCAAGTGTGGCGTGGAAGCCTATTCCTGAGGAGAGAAGAAAAGCTCCACATATATATACGTACAGCGGGTTAAAAATATAATGATACCAGCGTACAATACTTCCATTCACACACTATCACATTCAGCACCATCATTAAACCCAGAACCACCACCAAACTGTCAAATCCCTCACATCGGCAATTACACAGCCTAGGTAAAAATTATCCCTCACCATTTGCTCTTAAAAGACAAGTAAATAATTCACTCCTAACAATTTGCTGCCACTAACCAATATTTACTAACACCTCAACCCGTCCTCTTAAAAATAACGCCACTTTTCGCTGGTATGCGCGGCGCTATGGCCAAATTTGGACGTAATTTGAAATGAAATCGACTCACAAAAGTGACGTACTGTTCCGTTTTCTGCTACCTTGATATGTATATATATACATTCCACTCTACCACTCAACCACCATCTATTCATTCAACATGACCCTAATATAGTACATATATGTGTGCTATACTACGCCTAGAAATATATCAGTTTGTTTTTTAGCTTCATTTATATTAAAACAATGCCTTACTAATCAGTATACTAGTATCTAAAAGCTAAAAACGTACGAATTCTGACTATTGACGATCGTCTCAATAGGTACTATCAAAACAGGTTTGGTTACCATACCACCATAGCAGAGCAAGGCAGTGTCTGGGATGCTCCCAGACGCAGGTTCGAATCCTCGTCACGGCCCTTGTGGATTTGTTTACCATAGCAGAGGCTTGCACTTAACCCTTAAACTGCGCAACATTTCAAGCTTCACATCTTCCAGTGACATTAGGATTGACATTCTATCAAGCCTAACACAAGATATGCTCAATACAGGTTGTTCATCTCTCACTACTTAATTAACACTCGAGGCATAAAAGAATTACCTTTTATTATATATTGACAAAAGTGCTCTTTTATAGGGCCTTTAAGGCACATTTCCTTGTTTATAAACTTTGCAACCAGGGCTTTCATTGTACCATCAACTTTTTAACAGATACTTTCATTGTACCACCATCTTTCTAACAAGGGATTTCATTGTACCAGTAACTTTCTAAACAAAGTTTTCATTGTACCAGAGACTCTCTAACGAGGACTTCTATTGTACCATCAGCTTTTTAACAAAGACCTTCATTGTACCAGCCACTTTCTAACAGAGACTTTCACTGCTCTTAAATGCTGAATTTTATCTTTTGGCTGTCACACTGTCATGGTATGATGTCAGTGTACACACTGTAGCAGCATATATGTGTTGTCAGTAACTGGATCATAACAGAAAATGGGCAGACGGTAATTGGATAAAAACAGAAAACGGGCAGACAGTAGCTGTATAAAAACAGAAAACGGGCAGACAGTAGCTGTATAAAAACAAAAAACGGGCAGACAGTAGCTGTATAAAAACAGAAAACGGACAGACAGCAGCTGTATAAAAACAGAAAACGGGCAGACAGTAGCTGTATAAAAACAGAAAACGGGCCGGCAGTAGCTGTATAAAAACAGAAAACGGACAGACAATAGCTGTATAAAAGCAGAAAACGGGCAGACAGTAGCTGTATAAAAACAGAAAACGGGCAGACAGTAGCTGTGTAAAAACAGAAAACGGGCAGACAGTAGCTGTATAAAAACAGAAAACGGACAGACAGTAGCTGAATAAAAACAGAAAACGGACAGACAGCAGCTGTATAAAAACAGAAAACGGACAGACAGCAGCTGTATAAATGCAGAAAACGGACAGACAGCAGCTGAATAAAAACAGAAAACGGACAGACAGTAGCTGTATAAAAACAGAAAACGGGCCGACAGCAGCTGGATTAAAACAGAAAACGGGCAGGGTGGACTAAAGCAGAAAGCGACCTAGTAAGAACTGACCTCCCGTACCCCAGTGGCAGCGGTACACTCCGTCCAGTCCACGAGCAGTACCGTAGCCGTGACGTAGCACACCGCCTGTACCGTCTTCTCAGTCCGAAGATGCGTACCCCGCAGCTGCATAAACAATGACATCATTTAAATTAACACGCACAGGATAGCGTAAATAATAGTCCAGGAGATAACAGCCAAGATATAACGGATAGACGATAGAACCAGTCTTATAGTGACTGGTTTTTTCCCACAAAACCAATCACTTGTCGGCCAGAAAATACGTGGTAGGCAGCAGGTATCACGTGAACATCGGAATGACCTCGTCAGGAGCTCAGTACTTCCTATAATCAATATATGTGAAGTATATATGTTGATCACTGCATTCTCTCCATTTTCTGTGGAAATATTTCAGGGTCTCCGCGGGGGAGTGGGAATCACGGTATGCAGGGATGACTCAGTTAATTAGGGAATCATCATTTGTTATACACACTGATGTATAGGTATATACATATACACATATATAGGTATAGGTATACCACTCTTCTCTGTGTATATACACTGCGTCTACTTTAGTCCTGGATTAAAGTAGATTTGCTGATTGATTAATGAAGCATTAAGCCACCACAAGATGTTTTGTTATTGTTTTAGATCCAGCTACTCTGAACAAGTTTCAAGTAGCACGGGCTATGGTGAGCCCGACGTGGACGTTTCACATACACAAGAGGTGGCACGGGCATGATCTAGTAGCCCGTATGCAGACCAGACCACACACTAGAAATTGAAGAGACGACGACGTTTCGGTCCGTCCTGGAACATTCTCAAGTCGATTGTGATGAGGACAGGTAGTAGCCCGTAGATGGTAGATGTTTGGAGTGAATGTGATCTTTGGAGTGTCTCTGGAGCCTGTCTTTAACCATCTATATTTGCTGTTTATGGTGGGGTGGATAACCCTCCAGAGGTTGACAAGACCAACACCATACCAGCGACAGCTGGAGCTGGGTTGATGACCACTACGGGATCACCATAGCCCGTGCTGCTTCTTTAATAAATTTAGGGGGAATAGAAGGCTTTTTGTTCTTATAGACATTGAGTCTATTGTATAATTGACTTATTTGTTTTATAATTATCAACAAAGCCGAAAATATTCTCAAATCATAAATCTATATGAGAAAACTTATATATATATATATATATATATATATATATATATATATATATATATATATATATATATATATATATATATATATATATATATATATATATATATATATATATATATATATATATATATATATATATATATATATATATATAAACCATATGCACAGGATAACCATTATTTGAAAAAAAATTCACAAGAAAATTAATTTCCTGATCAAAGTTATTCCAATTAGAACATAAAACAAAGGCCCTATTCAGTAGAGTGCTAATAGCATTTTTCTTAAAAATATCAGGAACAAAGGAATTAACATTTAAACCTAAACCAGTAAAGGTTGGTTTCCTAAAAACATTAGTGTTGAACCCATTGAGGTTATTCACTTTTACATCAAGAAACGACAATGAATTATTAACTTCACACTCTGCAGTAAACCGTATATTACTATGTTGTGCATTAAGATACTCTCTAAATTTCTCAATATGACATTGGTCCCTAAACAACAAAAAAGTGTCATCAACATATCTCTGTACAAGACTGGTAGAATTTCTTAAATAAGAAGTTTCATCCATCGTGTAGGATTACTACAGTGGAAAGGGATCTTAAATATATTAAATTATATATATATATATATATATATATATATATATATATATATATATATATATATATATATATATATATATATATAACGTGGTTATTTTTCATATATTCACAATTTGGAAGATAACATTGTTGCCTCACGTGTTGCAGCTTGCATGCTTCTATGACCACTCTAAGAAGAAGGAGGAAGAGAGTGATGAGTCTGATGAGGCGGTGGGCAGCACTCTGTACCAGTACAGTCTCCTGTTGGACACCAGTGTGGGGTAATAATTAGTGTTAGGTTAGGTTAGGTTAAGGTTAGGTTAGGTTAGGTTAGGTTAGGTTCGGTCTGCCCGAAACGCTGCGCGTACTAGTGGCTTTACAAGAATGTAATTGCTGTACTATCCAATGTATTCTCACAAACCCAATGTACCTTCTTGTATATATATAAATAAAATAAAATAAAATAAAAAAGGTTAGGTTAAGGTTAGGTTAGGTTAGGTTAGGTTAGGTTAGGTTAGGTTAGGGTTTAAGGTAGGTTATTTTAATTAGGTAAAGTTAGGTTAGATTAGGGTTAAGTGAGGTTAGATTAGGGTTAAGTGAGGTTATGTTAGGTTAGGTTAAGGTTAGGTTAGGTTAAGGTTTAAATTAGGTTATTTTTAATTAGATAAAGTTAGGTTAGGTTAGGGTTAAGTGAGGTTATTTAAGGCTTAAAGTTAGATTAGGTTAGGTTAAATTACGTTAGATTAACACTAGATTAGGGGTAGATTAAGGGTAAAATACATTATTACTACATTGGAGGAAAGAAGGAATAGGGCAAACATGATAACGACATACAAGATACTACGGGGGATTGACAGGTAGATGTAGAAACAATGTTCAAATTAAGGAACGGTAGAACGAGAGGACATAATGAGAAACTGGAAACACAGATGAGTTAAAGATATGTCAGAAAGAACTTTTGTCAGTCTAAGAGTCGTATATATAAATGGAACGGAGTTGATCAGGAAACTGACCCAGTCAGTTCGATACACAGTTTTCAATGTAAATATCATTAGAAAAAAAGAGTGAAAGAATGGCCACTATATTGAGCTAATGATAGTCGTAAAAACGAGGCTGACGAGGTTGTGTAACACACACACACACACACACACACACACACACACACACACACACACACACACACACACACACACACACACACACACACACACACACACACACACGAGATCAGACTCCATACGCAGCTTCAAGTGTAGATATGATAGAGCCCAGTAGGCTCAGGAACCTGTACACCAGTTGATTGACGGTTGAGAGGCGGGACCAAAGAGTCTGAGCTCAACCCCCGCAAGCACGTGTGTATGTGTGTACTCACACATACACACACACACACTCTTCACCAACGTATATATATATATGCTGATTAATTACACATAATAGAATGAAAACCAATACGTCTCCATGTATGCGATTGAGAAGTAGGGAAACCTATTGTCACGACTTACCGGAACAGAAGTGGGAGAGGAGGTGGAGGGACAAGCAGAGGCCCCAAGATCAGCCGCCAGAACACGTCTCCCACGCAGGCACCCGCACACCATGTCCTGCGACACCTTCATCGCCTTCTCTACGTAGTCCCAGTCACTATCAAACACACCCTCACCATATTAATATCTTCCTGCAACCCTTTCCCGATATAACTGTGACAGTTAAGGCTATAATGGGAGGAAGCTGGGACAAAGAATGGGAGGACACCCATTAAATGGGAAAATATGGTATAGGATGAGGCTGTGGTGTGTAACCTTGGGATAGGTAACCTTGGCAAGCTGAGTCCCTCTATTCTTAAAGTATACTCGTTTCCACCGAGTATACTTAAAGTATACTCGTCCCCACCGAGTATACTTAAAGTATACTCGTCCCCACCGAGTATACTTAAAGTATTACTCGTCCCCACCGAGTATACTTAAAGTATACTCGTCCCCACCGAGTATACTTAAAGTATACTCGTCCCCACCAGTTGGTGAAGAGGACAGTGGTGCAGCCACAGAGGCAACATAGTAAGGTGACAAATGGAACACAGCCACATGACAGCTCGAACACTTACTAAAGTGACAGTAAGTGATACTTACTTCCTTACTATTCTAAGGAAAATTGGTAAAGTAGACCAAACAGTATTGTTCAGTGCAATGAACAACAAATTTTTGTTCAGTGCAATCGAGAAGGTGAACATAGAGGCTAGGCCATGTAAGTCACTGTGCTGACATAATAAAAAAAATTAATGTAGTTATATACAAAAAATGACGATTCTCTCATACATAAATCTGGCGATGTAAGATCAGTGTTACGAGATTGTAACAAGGAATCCTTCGGAATACTGTACACTACATACATAAGACCAATATTGGATTATGCAGCGACAGAATGATCACATATTATTAAACACAAAAAAACTTGGGATAGTTTTGAGATTTTCCACCAGACAAGGAAGGCTTAGACAGGTCTAATTCACATCGATAGAGGACAGAAAACACAGAGAAGAGATGATCCAGGTCGTCACCGTGGCCACGGTGACGTACCAGGCCACGGTGACGTACTAGGCCACGGTGGAAGACGTACCAAGCGACGGTGACGTAGCCGGAGAGAGCCAGGACGAATGCTGCGGAGAGGAGGAGGAGACAGTAGAACACAGTAGCCACGTAGCGGTCCCACTTCTCTCTCATCAGCCGCTGACACAAGCGGTGCTTCAGCAGCTCCAGCTCCTGGCACCTGTCAGGCAAGACTCCACTTGTCATATCTTGGCAGCTGTACCTACCATAGGTAGTTGTACCCGTCTACCATAGGTAGGTAGTTGTACCCGTCTGTCATAGGTAGGTAGTTGTACCCGTCTGTCGTAGGTAGGTAGTTGTACCCGTCTGTCATAGGTAGGTAGTTGTACCCGTCTGTCATAGGTAGGTAGTTGTACCCGTCTGTCATAGGTAGGTAGTTGTACCCGTCTACCATAGGTAGGTAGTTGTACCCGTCTGTCATATTTAGATAGATGCATCTGTGTTATTTCACATATATACTATACCCCGTAATCAAAAAAATTTTGTTGTAGTGCTACAATTAGTTCATTATTTAGACCGAAAATCGTATGTGTGTACAGAAGAGAACGTCTGTTTTTCTCTTTGTCCAAGGCTGAAGGTCAGACGCTCGGGGCTAGCCTCACACAACTGTTTAAGCTGACACATAGGTGGTCTGTGACTGGCATAGGCTGGTTAGGGGTTGTTGTGTTGATTTAGGGGCGACGACGATCATGGGATCGGATGCGCCCTGGCTGGTTAGGGGTCGGCCATATTGCAAGAAATGTCGTACGCGTGTGTGTATATGCCCCCCTGACATTATGTCAACACCCACGTACTCGACCATGATGTTGAGAGGGTGGTGTTGCCTCCAGTGATCTTCGTCAGGGGCCTTCATGAGGGCGTCTGGTCTCAGTGTCCCGTCATCACAGTATGGCAGCCTTCTGCGGTTCCCTTCCCCAGAGAGGTTTCCTATCAAAGAAAACGGCCGTGACAATCATTTTTGACTTTAAAACTATTGTCGTTGTTATTAAATTTAAATCTATCCTCCATTTCTCTCTGAAAATTTAATATTACGATTTTTTTATTTTTTTTTTATTAACACATTAGGTACATCTGCATTAGTGCAGCTGCCCTAGACAATATGAAGTGGAGTACAGTGTGTCAAAAAAGCTAACTACGTGATGCTAAGAAATCCCCATCACACAGGATGGTTAGTCATACAGAGGCATGTGATAAGCGGTCTGCACTGGCAGACTCCGGATGCATTTTGAGGATATCATCAACACAAGAGTGAATAAGGTAGCAGTGGTAATACAAGTCCCCATCTCGCAGGATGGTTAGTCATACAGAGCCATGTGTTTAATAGCCTGCACTGGCAAATTTTGGGTACACTGTGAGGATATCTTCAAGAACACGAGAGTGAATAAAGTAATTGCAAAGCTCCAGGTACCTCATGCCAACTGGTCTGAAAGGTCTAATAACTGGGTATTCAGTGATGTAGTGCGGGAGATCGTCCCGTAGTTCCTGCTCACAGAGTTTGCAACTGGAGTGCTCAGGATTGGGAGACCCGTCACCTGCAGCCACCTGCCACAGGTAACGGTAACCCAACCTGATCCTTGCAACCACTGTGTCGCACAGTCTAGTGGACGTTTTGTGCTGTCCATAGATGTAGCTTTCAGGTCTGAACAAATCATAGCTTTTTATGTTTGGTTTGTATTGATCATGAACTGGGATTTATTAGCACTGTGTTACAGTTATTATTCACAATAGTGAATAAATGCTCGTATTATAGATAAGTGTATGATTCATTCAGCAGTTGTTTAAATAGTTACAGCCTAATATGACACACATATATTTAAAGCAGACTTGTCATACACAGCAGTTATTTGTATGAATACCATTATTCATATGTTATACATCGTTGCTAATACAAGCACCGTGTCAGCCAATTGACATGTCTTGTATTTATGTCAGGTAAAAGAATCTATGAACAGAGTTAAGATCAGGCGGATCATTCTGTGATTTTGATTTTATGCCCGAAACGCTTTGCGTAATAGTGGCTTTAGGCATTGTATGTACTAGCTATACCTATAAGTTAAACAATCCTTGTAAATATTTATTGTATGTATGTACCTTACCTAAATAAAATTGTATTGTAAATTGTATTGTATTGTTGCATTGTGTATGGCTGTGTGTGTGTACATTCCATTCCAGGTGGGGCCAGATTCACGAAGCAGTTAAGCAAGCACTTACGAATCTGGGGCCAGATTCACGAAGCAGTTAAGCAAGCACTTACGAATCTGGGGCCAGATTCACGAAGCAGTTAAGCAAGCACTTACGAATCTGGGGCCAGATTCACGAAGCAGTTAAGCAAGCACTTACGAATCTGGGGCCAGATTCACGAAGCAGTTACGCAAGCACTTACGAACCTGTCCATCTTTTCTTAATCTTTGGCGGCTTTGTTTACAATTATTAAACAGTTAATGAGCTCCGAAGCACCAGGAGGCTGTTTATAACAATAACAACAGTTGATTGGCAAGTTTTCATGCTTGTAAACTGTTTAATAAATGTAACCAAACCCGTCAAAGATTGAGGAAAGATGTACACGTTCGTCAAGTACTTGGGCTTTGTTTACAATTTCTAAACATTTGACAAGTTTCAAAACTTCACAACCTAAGGATGTCATAGAGAACCTCATAGCACTTCAGCGCTCATAAACTGTTTGGTAAATAAAAAGCCGCCACGACTGAGGAAAGATGAACAGGTTTCGTAAGTAGTTGCACAAATGCTTTATGAATCGTGACCATAGGTGGCCTGCAGTGGCTGCCTGTGTGTATTTCAAAAATATTTCATGTATTTCCCAACAAATCTTGCAATTAACATATCTCGTTCGTGAGTATACTCTCGCTCGTGTGAGTACTCCCGCTCGTGTGAATATTCGCTCGTGTGAATACTCTTGCTCGTGTGAATACTTTCGCTCGTGTGAATACTCGCTCGTGTGAATACTCTTGTTCGTGTGAATACTCTCGCTCGTGTGAATACTCGCTCGTGTGAATACTCTCGTTCGTGTGAATACTCTCGCTCATGTGAATACTCTCACTCGTGTGAATACTCTCGCTTGTGTGAATACTCTCGTTCGTGTGAATACTCTCGATCATGTATACTAGCGACAAGGAGAACAGCATCAGGGTCATTTATATCAGAAACTCGTAACTTTGTTAGTGACACTCGCTTGAACATCACTTGAAGGACAATTGTTGTTTCAGTCATTGTAGCTCAGAGTTATGAGAGTGAGAGAACACATACACATACAATCTGAATGAACTTTAGGGACATTTAAAATATTTAAACTAAAATGGAGTTGAAAAGAAACAGAATGAACTAAGAAATCAACCGATAGAGGTAGACTCAGTACACAGATTCAAATATCAGAACGTTTTACTGAAATTGAAAAAAAAAAAATTGAAATTGAAATTGTCGAAATTGTCGTACTAATATTCCCGTATCCTAATCTCCCAGAGAACCCAAAAACAGAAAACGGTACAGTACGTCAACTTCGCGAGTCGCTACCATTTTTCTAGTACGACAATTTTAGGCCTTAGCTAGAGTATACGTCAAAATGCGACGTGTTCTATTAGGAGAACGGGTTGCACAGCTAACTGACTGTTGGAAACACAAGCTTAGAGCCAGGTAACCCCTCTACCCTTCAAGCACAACACACAGAAACATGCCTAAAGTGAGCTAAATCCTAGTGATGTTTATACACAAGCACAACACACAGAAACATGCCTAAAGTGAGCTAAATCCTAGTGATGTTTATACACTTACCTTCCAGACTGTAGTAGGTGTCATCAAGAAGGTAGAACACGAAGGTCTCTTGATCACCACCCACGCATTTGATGCACTTGTCCAGGACTACCTAAGCGCGGGGGATGATGTATCACTGAATGAGTATATAATCAGGTGTATGTAACATATTCCATGAAGCACTGTAACCTTCTTTTATCAGTTGTTCCTTTTAGCATATTGGTTTAGCTTTGGTTTTGCCTTTACATGTTAATGCAAATGTGTCAAATAACTGAAGGGATTTTGTAAGATGAAATGGAGCGAGTCTGGCAGACAGACAGTTAGACAGACAGACAGGTAAAGACAGACAGTCAGGTAAACAGACAGCCAGTCAGGTGAACAGACAGCCAGTCAGGTAAACAGACAGCCAGTCAGGTAAAGACAGACAGCCAGTCAGGTAAACAGACAGCCAGCCAGGTAAACAGACAGCCAGTCAGGTAAACAGACAGCCAGCCAGGTGAACAGACAGCCAGTAAGGTGAACAGACAGCCAGTCAGGTGAACAGATAGCCAGTCAGGTAAGCAGACAGCCAGTCAGGTAAGCAGACAGCCAGTCAGGTAAACAGACAGCCAGTCAGGTGAACAGACAGCCAGCCAGGTAAGCAGACAGCCAGCCAGGTAAGCAGACAGCCAGCCAGGTAAGCAGACAGCCAGTCAGGTAAGCAGACAGCCAGTCAGGTAAGCAGACAGCCAGTCAGGTAAGCAGACAGCCAGCCAGGTAAGCAGACAGCCAGCCAGGTAAGCAGACAGACGCAGACAACCAGCCAGGCAAGCAGACAGACATATAACAAAATTAGTGCTTCCCTATGCATGGCTGCATGTTTTCATATGTAAAGGCAATTGTGGGTAACATTTGATCTATATATATATACTGTATATATTTTTTTGGGTTGCGTCCTTACTGTAAATTCTGCCCTTGCTGTAAATTCTTATACGTATATTGAAATCTATAATTACTGGCGCCTGGTGAAGTAAATGTCTATTTTTATACTTAATTTCTGCGCCTATTTATCCAAAAACAGGTTAGTCTATTATTGTACTTAGCTTCCTCAGCATAGATCTGAATCTGGGCCACTTGGGAGATTGGAATGGGCCGACTTGAAGCAGGTGATAACAGGAGGATGAGATGAACATTAATAATATTATATATCAGACATATCCTAAAATCAAACATGTATATTAACCAAAATCTTGAAAGTCATTGTGTGTTTGGATCATTCACCATCCCCCCCCCCCTCCCTATGTGCAGCTGCTTCTCTAAACAAGTACGCTTGCCAAATTTTAAGTCAAAATTAAAAAAATGATTTTATTATTTACTTCTCCTAAACCAATTATAACTCCTAACAATTTTAAGAATTTTTTTATAATCCTATTTTTAAAAGATTAGTCAAGTTTCCACCCCCAAGTAAATTTATATCTTAAAGCATTGCTAAAATAATTCTACTTTATATAAATTTATATTGCATCACTGTAAATGCATATATATATTATATATTTAGAAGTATATACATCGGGCTACCTCATTTACAGCTACCTAGACTGTCATTCAAATATTTAATATTGATAAAATAGATGCTAGTTAGATAATGGAGACATCGTATGCAATCTTGACATACCTTTACTAGTTAGATAGTGGAGACATCGTATGCAATCTTGACATACCTTTACTAGTTAGATAATGGAGACATCGTATGCAATCTTGACATACCTTTACCAGTTTCGGGAACTTTCGGATAAGCTGTTCAAGGTTCATGCTTCTCTCCTTGGCTTCAGTCGGAGCGAATGCTTTCTCCCACTGTTGACTGTTGACTATCGCCTCCGTGGCTTTGCTGAGTGGAGAAGATACATGTATATAAGTATATAATCAGGTGTATGTAACATATTCCATGAAGCATAGTGGCCTCGTAGCCTAGTGGATAGCGCGCAGGACTCGTAATTCTGTGGCGCGGTCAATGGTCTCGCTCGTACAGTTGGGTTAAATCTCCACTCACTGTCGGGAATTCCGGGTGAGACAGAAATGGTTGGGCAGGTTCCTTTCACCCCTAATGTACCTGTTCACCTATAAGTAAATATGTACGTCCACTGAGGGGTTGCATCCTTGGGAGGGTTAGTAGTTCGACTGGAAGGGGGGGGGGGACCTCGATACCAGTATATCGTATATCTATACACAGGCTGTATATATATATTCATTTCGTCCCCCCAACAAAACGAATTATTGATCCCAAGAAATCTAATTTATACTGTTAACAATCAAATGAATTATTTACATAGATTTTATTGACGAAAATGGTCACTGCTTGCATCACAAGCGGGGATGTTTCTGGCGGGGGAGAAAGAAACAATTGCGCAGCGCGTCCCGCGGCGTTGCGCGGGCAGTTTGGGGCCGTATAAATACGGGCGCACAACGGGGCTCCGCCTCACTCCGCCTGCCCTCGCCGCTGCCCTCGCAAAATTTATTTTTTTAATTCTTCCCGAACGCAAGTTTTGACACCTGAACCCAGGACATGTCCTGGAAAATACGGACGAATGGCCACCGTACTGTGGAGACAGGACGCCGCGGGTTTCCACACAGGAGAGGCAGTCTCTCCCACAGGAGAGGCAGTCTCTCCCACAGGAGAGGCAGACGAGTAAGCGTGAGAGCCATAATCGACTTCAGACAGCACCATGTAAATAGAGGAGCGTGCATCTATCGGCTCCCTAAGAAATATGGAACCAAACTTTAAATTCAAAGTCCACAAACAAAAAATTCCAAATCCACCAACCAAAAAAAATCAATTCCATCAACAAAATAAAAATCCTAAATATATCTGTACTTATTTCTTCTTCCCGGACGCAAATTTTGACACCTGAATCCAGGACATATCCTGGAAAATGCGGACATATGGCAGGCCAAGTGGTTGGATACATCGCAGTGTTAAACTCAATTATATTATTCTGCTCATTCACAATATTTATGCATCTTACATCTTATGTATGTTAAACACTTACTTGCGTTTATCATTGATGCTAGTAGTGAGAAATTCGTTAAGACAGCTGAATTTATGTGCTTCAGATCGTTTGGATTTCTTGGGGTCACACATCTTTTGAAGTAAGTAGCAAAATATATCATCATGTCGTTTTGTGAAGGCAATAACTAAAGGAGTCTGGCCTTTGTCATCCATTTTGAAGAGTTGCCAGTAGTTTTCTTCTGTGATCATCTCTTTGCAACAACCTAGGTGCCCCTCAGAAGCTGCCCAGTGAAGGGGAATCATCCCGTTCTTATCAGTTGCTGAAAGCTTTGCATTCTTTTTAATTAGAAATGTGCAACATTCAGCTACGCCAATTTTGGCCGCGATGTGTAGGGGCGTCATCTTGTCACTGTCAGAGAGATTGACGTTGGCTCCTCTCTTCTGGAGCACTTGACAACACAACAAGGAGCCACGCTGTGCTGCTAAATGGAGAGGTGTTCTGTTCAGATTGTTAACAGCATTAACTGAAGCTCCTTTTTGTATAAGATGTCTACAGCATTCATCTAGGCCTGCATAGGCTGCAAGGTGCAAAGGAGTATCACCACTCAGAGTCGGAAGAACCACTTTGGCTCTCCTCTTGAGTAGCAGCATACAGCATTCTACAGAACCTTTCTCAAGAGAATAGTGAAGTGGAGTCTTACCTTCCTTACTTGTAATATTCACATCGGCTAGCCTAGTGGTGCTCATACTATCAACGCAATCATTGATGACATTTCCTCTGTCCTCTTGCTTATCACAGGCTTTCAACATGGAAGACTGATAAGGGTCATCAGTAAAGGGTAAATTCAAAATAGCAGCACAGCACTCTGGAAACTTTTTCTTTGTAGCATAATGGAGAGGAGTGAGGCCGGCTTGGTTCCTGTAGTTGCAGTCTGCCCCGGCGGCCACCAGCAGCCAGCACTTTTCGTGGTAGCCTCGCTTAGCAACAACGTGCAGAGCATTGTCCCCGTTAGAGTTAGTGATGTTCACGTCTGGTTTGTACTGCAATATCAGCTCTAATATGTCCTTAGATGAATGTTTCTGAGATGCAGCGCTACATATTAAAGGTGTATCGCCGTTATTGTCTTTGCTGTTAATGTTTTCACATTTGCTTAATAACATTTCACAGGTACTTTTAAAGCTTGCCCTGACCGCTAGGTGCAGTGGAGTTTCTTTCAGTTTATTACAAGCAGCCATGTTTGCCCCGAACTTCAAAAGCACTGAACAGCAATCTCTATGACCTTTCTCAGCAGCCAGATGCAGTGGCGTGTTGTCCCTATTGTCGATAATGTTCGCTGCATCAGGGCAGTGTCTCAGCAAGAGTTGCAACACCTCCGGATCGCCAATGAGAGTCGCTGTATGCACCGGCGTGTGGCCAGACTTGGGTTCCTTGTCCTGTAGGGAGGCTCCCTGGTCAAGCAGGACAGCCACCATACCCCCGTTATCTCTACTCTGCTCAACCGCCACCTGAAGAACGCACTTCTTGTCTCCTCCAACCGCACGGACGTTTGCACCCCTGAAAGAAACGAAATAATTTTCTTTTTTTTTTCTTTTTAAATGTTTTTGTCAATGCAACGCTTAATTACCTTCTTAGTATGTTAAGATAAGCATCTTATTGCTTCTTATTTACAATTATTACTTAAACTATCAACTCTCATGGCAGTTTCTGAAACTAGATGAGTCTTACTTTTCAATGAGGAGCTTGAAACATCGCTGGGCCTGCCTGGTGATGGCGCAGATGAGCGGGGTGACGCTGTGACTGCCTCCCAGCGCCTCTATATCAGCGCCCTGACGGATAAGCACCTCCATCACCCTATGGAGAGACAGTAGCCTAGCATCATAACGGCGACTTCCTTCCTAGTAATGTTCTGATTTAGGGAGTAGTCACTTTCATAAATTTCTCGTTACGTAGAAAATGCAGGACTCTGTTTTTAAATTCTTAAATTAATTTCCACACAAAATTCATGCCTTAGGGTCCCTCGCTGTTAGTCTGAATATAAAGCTTCAGTTCATCATGGTGGGGGGAGAGGGAGTCGCTATAACCATTTCACACAGAAAATTCCACTTTATCCTTGTAAATGTTTTTATTATTAAGTGAACACCTATAAAATGATACAAGTTGACGAACTTCTATAATTGTGAGAATTTGGTGTGAGCTGTGAAGCCTCAAGTCTTTTCACTTCCAATGTATAGCTTCATACAGAAATTTAAGTCTTCTAATTTATCCAATTAATCTTTCGTTCATGCTAATATAATAACAGCCTTGTAAGTGAGTTCGCCCAAGGCAGAACAGTGTGGCGGCCTCCAAAACGGCGAGTTTGTCTGGGTTTGAGTCCTGAGCAGGGAGGATTGACTGGGCACCAATCCGTAACTATTCGCCCCTGTTCACCCAGCAGAAATTGGGTCATGGTTATTAATCGACTAGCGGATCGTGTTCCAGGGAAAGCTAGTGGGTAATTACCATAAGCTATGGGATGGGAAAGCTCTCAGCCTGCTAGCAGGAGTCAGAAGTCCTCTGTTCAGTATTCAAAGTTATCATGAAAATAATAGCAATTTCTTAGCTCAAGGTATTGCATATTATCACTTATTATTGTCATTATACAAGCCATATACGCCAAAGTTTGTATCTACATCAACTAATTTTCCTTATTTCAGCCAATACAGTGTAAAGGATTTAAATACATAGTGTGAAGACAGGCGAAAGAACTCACTGATTGTTGACCAGACCACACACTAGAAGTTGAAGGGACGACGACGTTTCGGTCCGTCCTGGACCATTCTCAAGTCGATTTGAGAATGGTCCAGGACGGACCGAAACGTCGTCGTCCCTTCACCTTCTAGTGTGTGGTCTGGTCAACATACTTCAGCCACGTTATTGTGACTCCTCGCCTGCATAACTCACTGATGTTCGTCGTTCTCAGCTGCCGTGTGTATGGCGGGATGATTTCTGCTACCACGTTGGTTTATAATCCCCGGGCAGCGCTGCAGCAGCTCCTCCACCTCCTGCAGCCGGTCCGCTACTGGCCCGGACGTGGTCGTGCAGAGCTGGTGCAGCCTCGCCACCAGCGCCTCCGTCTGGAGATAATATTTATGAGCTAGATTAAGGTAGTGTCTCGGATGCTCCCGGACGCAGGTTCGAATCCTCGTCACGGCCCTTGTGGATTTGTTCATTTGATGCATCACGTTAGTGTGTTATTAATGAGCTCTGTGTGTTAACGTGTGTTATTAATTAGCTTTGTGTGTTATTAATGAGCTAGATTCACGAAGCAGTTGCACAAGGACTTACAAACCTGTACATCTTTTCTCAATCTTTGGCGGCTTTGTTTACAATTATTAAACAGTAAATGAGCACCGAAGCACCAGGAGGCTGTTTATAACAATAGCAATACTTGATTGAGAAATTTTCATGCTTGTAAACTGTTTAATGAATGTAACCAAAGCCGTCAAAGATTGAGGAAAGATGTACACGTTCGTAAGTTCTTGCGTAACTGCTTCGTGAATCTGGCTCAGTGTTGCCAGAGTACATTCAGGATCGTGTTGACGTGAGAGAACACAAATCGGGACATTGAGAGAGAACTATCAACATCAGAGGCCCGATTGGTTAACATTGTTTTAGTTAGTTACATGGTCTCTTTACCCGTGTATGCAGCTGGGTGGACTATACATATAGCCTACTAGTTAAGTGGTATAGAAATCCTGCAAATTGCACAATATCTCGCCTGACTAAATAAAATATTGAGTATCTCGGAAATATTGAGAATCACTAAAATTTTACTTGCAAAATCAATTTTAATAAAATATTAATGGAAATATTTATGTTAATTGTAATAAAATATGTCATAATAAAGGCAGTGTTGCCAAGTAAAATAATAAATAAATAAATAAATAAATAAATAAATAAATAAATAAATAAATAAATAAATAAATAAATAAATAAATAAATTTTTATTCAGGTAAGTTACATACATACAAGGTAAGATACAAAAGTTGATGGATTTATAGACAGTACAACAAATATATATTTACTTTTGAAGGACTGAAGACCATTGATGTTTGGGAATATTACGCGTTCGTGTTAGTGGAAGCCTAATGTGGTAGGCTTATAACGTGGCCATTCGTGTGGGAAACAGATAAACGAACAATAAGTGCCTGAAAGAGCCGTGAAAACAGTGATAGAAGAGTTGGGGCAGGTCACTCGAGACAAGCTGTGAGATTACCTGAACCTATTAATGCGGATAACACGGTATTGTAGAAAAATTATATATAAGAGTTGTTAGTGATTGATTGATAAAGATTAAGCCACCTAAGAGGTGGCACGGGCATGAATAGCCCGTAAAGTTGTTAGTGGGGAAGTTTCTTCATATGTACCCCCCCATGGCAGCTACCTTGTAGGGAAGGTGGGACTTCAGTGGCTCTGCTGAAGAGTTCCTTCAGGCGCCTGCTGCCGTAGAACAACCCGTTCTCGCAAATTCGTATAGTCAATATTGACTTATTAACTACGTGCATAGGTGATATACTAAACATAATAGATACCCTTAAAAAGCTTCATAGAAAACACCGACCTTACCTAACCTTGTTAGTATGTTAAGATAAGCATCTTATTGCTTCGTAATTACAATTATTACTTAACCTATACCTATAATAGGTTAAGTAACAATTGTAATTACGAAGCAATAAGATGCTTATCTTAACATACTAAGAAGGTTAGGTAAGGTTAGTGTTTTCTATGAAGCTTTTTAAGGGTATCTGTTATGTTTAGTATGTCAGCTATGCACTTATTTAATAAGTCAATATTGACTTTACGAATTTGCGAGAACGGGTTGTCGTTGCGGTGTCGTACACCACCTCGACTCTTCTTGTACCTTATGTGCTCCTTACATTGTGAATTTTTGGTCCATCCACTTGGCCCAAATATTTCGTTCTTAATTTTACTGAGGCACATACAGCTGTTTATCTCCTTCTACTTGTACAACTAGTTCAGTCCACTGCATCTAATTTTTACTTTTTATTCATCACAGTCTGTCTCCGGAATTTGTTATGGAGGCTTATCTCGGGGGACCTTGTAATAGTCTTATCTCAGGGGAGAACTTGTAATGGAGGCTCTTTGCTCCACGTTGAAGTGCCTGATACGGTAACTTCAAATTTTCGTCTGAATGTGAAGTAGGTACCTTTGGTTTTCCCACCTCACCTTTCCATTAGCGGCAGTGATCTTTGTCTGCCATGCCGATATTAAAGCAATAAATATCAGGGACACACTTTCCCGCCTCCATCATGGTAAACGTATTGGGACGCCCGCCTTCCCCTCCATATCTCAAAAATTACATTTGATATTAAAACATTTCTGGCTCGGCTATTATCAAGGGGAATATGAGTTGTTGTTGTTATAGATTCAGCTACTCGGAACAAGCTCCAAGTAGCACGGGCTATGGTGAGCCCGTAACTTACCTGGCACAGGAGCGGGGCAAGTAGCACGGGCTATGGTGAGCCCGTAGTGGACTTACCTGGCACAGGAGCGGCGCTGTGTCGGGGATATGAGTGCATGTCAAATATTATGTACAGAAATACCTCCTCCCCGTGCCAATGCAATGCATGTTGGACGTTTGGCCATGTTTCCTCGGGTTTCAGAAGTTAACTGTGTTATTGCCTGCTGTGTGACGAGTCCGGACATGTATTCACCTACTTGTGCTTGCGGGGGTTGAGCTCTGACTCTTTGGTCCCGCCTCTCAACTGTTAATCAACTGGTGTACAGGTTCCTGAGCCTACTGGGCTCTATCATATCTACACTTGAAACTGTGTATGGAGTCAGCCTCCACCACATCACTGCCTAATGCATTCCATCTGCTGTACAACTAGTTTAGTTAACTGCATCTAATTTTTACCTTTTATTCAACACAGTCTGTCTCTGGAAGGCCGCTTGCACAACCCATACGGTTCACGTCTGCATTGTACTGATGGCTATCCTGAATGTACACGTTCCTGTGCTCACTATAAAAAGGAGCAGTTCATCCCTCAGCTCCTTACGGGCTATTCATGCCCGTGCCACCTTTTGGGTGGCTTAATCTTCATCAATCATCAATCCCTCAGCTCAAACACAAGGACAGTATCCCCTATACTGACGATGTATCGTGTCACGTCACGGCATGGGTGTCGAAAGTCTTCCAGCGGGTCTTCCAGTGTAGGGACGTGAGGTCCGACGCTTGCTCCCATAAGGGGACAAGTCAGTAGTCGCCATGGAACCATTTCACAGCATTACGGGCTATTCATGCCCGTGCCACCTTTTGGGTGGCTTAATCTTCATCAATCATCAATCCCTCAGCTCAAACACAAGGACAGTATCCCCTATACTGACGATGTATCGTGTCACGTCACGGCATGGGTGTCGAAAGTCTTCCAGCGGGTCTTCCAGTGTTGGGACGTGAGGTCCGACGCTTGCTCCCATAAGGGGACAAGTCAGTAGTCGCCATGGAACCATTTCACAGCATTACGGGCTATTCATGCCCGTGCCACCTCTTGGGTGGCTTAATCTTTATCAATCTTCACAGCATGTTTATCTACCGTTAGAATCAATAGTCATTTAAAATGTAAATCACGTGGGGTGAAAATTAGACGCACGACCCACGTATCAGAAGTGACGACGTTTCGGTTCGTCCTGGACAAGTCATCCGTTGACAAGTGACGATTAACCGCAAGGTTTTGCGTTTTTCCCCATCAAGGGAGCGCCGAGGCTCGTCCAGCACCGGGGAGAGCGCCGAGGCTCGTCCAGCACCGGAGAGAGCGCCGAGGCTCGTCCAGCACCGGGGAGAGCGCCGAGGCTCGTCCAGCACCGGGGAGACATCTCCCGTCACGCAGGGTGTACAGTCGCACCTCCACAGATCTCCAGTATCAGCTCTTGATACTGGTAATGGCTCAAAAGGGCCACCACTTACGGGTTATTCATGCCCGTGCCACCTCTTGGGTGGCTTAATCTTTATCAATCAATCAATCAATCTTCCTCATCACAATCGACTTGGGAATGGTCCAGGACGGACCGAAACGTCGTCGTCCCTTCAACTTCTAGTGTGTGGTCTGGTCATATCAGAGTTACATGATTAGTAACCATGAAACTTTAAACATAATGTTATTAAACCATTACAAATATTAGTTATTAATTTGATTACAAAATCATGTGTACAAAGACTTCAATTTCTTGTACGAAGCAAATTATTATCTTGAGATCTTGAGATGATTTCGGGGCTTAGTATCCCCGCGGCCCGGTCCTCGACCAGGCCTCTTTTTTTTTTTTTTTTTGTTACACACCCCCAGGAAGCAGCCCGTAGCAGCTGTCTAACTCCCAGGTTCCTATTTACTGCTAGGTAACAGGGGCATCAGGGTGAAAGAGAAACTATCTATTTGTTTCCGCCTCCACCGGGGATCGAACCCGGAATCTTAGGACTACGAATCCGAAGCGCTGTCCACTCAGCCGTCAGGCCCCCCTAGTACGTCGGGAACGAAATTTCTGGTCCGCAATACCTCTATACATTGGACAGTATTTAGGCATTCTGTCTTACGGGCTATTCATGCCCGTGCCACCTCTTGGGTGGCTTAATCTTTATCAATCAATCAATCGGCATTCTGTCCAATGGACAGACGCTCTCAACTTGAAACAGAACAGGGGACCAGATTCACGAAAGCACCTACGCAAGCACTTACGAACCTGGGGCCAGATTCACGAAGCAGTTACGCAAGTACTTACGAACGTGTACATCTTTCCTCAATCTTTGACGGCTTTGGTTACATTTATTAAACAGTTTACAAGCATGAAAACTTGCCAGTCAACTGTTGTTATTGTTATAAACAGCTTCCTGGTGCTTCGGAGCTCATTAACTGTTTAATAATTGTAAACAAAGCCGCCAAAGATTGAGAAAAGATGTACAGGTTCGTAAGTGTTTTCGTGAGGCCTTCCCTTCCCAAAGACTGAAAATAAAACAGAAGTGTTTTTGCCCTTCACAAACCGTGTGTGGAATCTCCTGGTCCTCCATATCGTCTACCGTCCCAGTGTTCCGCAGTAGCTGTGTGACAAATAATTTAACAGCTAATAGTAGTAGAACTGTTTGTCCAGTAACGTGACAATATTATACAGCTGGTAAATGCAATGTTCTTTAAAGCAGCTGTCACGCGTCACCTCGATGTCACGCCTCTAGCTACACTGAAGTACGGGAAGTCTAGCATCCGTTCTTATCGTATTGTATTTGGTCACTCTCTTATCGTTTTTGTATCTTCACACCCCTACAATTGCCTGCAGGAAACCCTATCTGCCAATATTTTGTTCACTTTAAATCTATATAGAATTCGTCCTATAGCCATTTCGATTCATTGTCCATTTTACTAATGTTGCTGTTCACTCCTGTGTGTTATTTATATTTTTACCCGAATTTACCCGAGGGCCACCATCTCTATTGCCCTCGATCATGACAAGTTGAAATTGAATTGAAATTGAAATAAGTTTATTGAGGTAAAATCCACACAAAGGGATGAGGTAGCTCAAGCTATTCTCACCCCGTTCAGTACATCGTGTTAATACATACATAGACACACATCACAAACAATAAACATATTACCAAACATTCTGAGAGATAAACATCTACATTTCCTATGACAAGTTTTCCAAATTCCTGATGTCTTTTTTTCAGCTGAATTATAAACTTGTATGTGTTGCATCTGACCTTTTTGTGAAATGGTATGGATTAATACCCTCCAACTTGTTCAGTATTGTAAAGGTGTGGATAAGAGTAGCCGACATTATTGTATGGTTGGCGTTGCATCCCATCCTCCGAATTGACAGTACGGTTTAATACTAAGTGTAATAAGTACATTTCCTTACTGTTTCTCCAAAGCAGATATATTTATCTACCTGATTTTACCTGAGGGGCCACTAACACTAGTGGCCTCGACGAGGACAGGAAGTCGGCGGCTTGTCAAAGTTTCACCCCCCACCCCCATTTGCCCTGATGAGTTTCCAGTTGGATTTTAAAATTACTTTTTTTTTACATTTAAGGTTTCGGCGGGTAGGCGGTTCCACTGGTTTATAACACTGTGGGTGAAAAAGCATCTCCTTTTTTCAGTCCTATATTGTGTCTTGTTGAGCTTGAACCCATTGTTCCTTGTTTGTGTTCAATCTGACTTTTTAATGACGTGGTCTGAATCAATGTCTTCCAAATTGTTCAGTATTTTAAGTTTCGATGAGATCAGCCCCGTCATGTCTGGTTTGTTGTGTTGTTAGTCCTGTGGCCCTCAACCGTTCAACGCCCTTGTCACTAACGGCTGTCGACCACAGTCTACAACCCCGTCTCTGACAGGGGGTGTAGACACTCTTGACCGATTTCATTTGTTGCATCGTGTCAATCAGACCTCAACCACCCTTACCAAAACTGTATTTGAACTCAAGCATAAGCGCTGTCATCATCCCTGCCCATGCTTCCACGAAGGAAGAAATCTCAGGTACTGTGACAACAATGTTAAAACCATTTTAGAATGCTAGGGGCACTCCATCGTCCAGTTTGACAACAACCAGCCCCGTCATGGAAGATATGTTCTTCCCCTCTCTGTGACCAACAGTCTATATATTTATCAATAGGATGTCTGTCCAAAGTTGGAGGCTAGATGCTCAGGGCTAGCCTTACTCAATTTTGTAGGGGAAATGGTTTAGGGTACAGGACGGACATAGGCTGGTTGTGGGTAGGCCTAGTTTAGGTAGGCAAATGACCTTTCTGTTGGGCATTTGCCCCCCTTTCTGTTGGGCATTTGCCCCCCTTTCTGTTGGGCATTTGCCCCTTTTCTGTTGGGCATTTGCCCCTTTTCTGTTGGGCATTTGCCCACCTTTCTGTTGGTTGATTTAGATTTTTTTTTTTAGCATTTTGGGAGCGCAAAAAAAAAAGGCCAAACGGCAAACAAAAAACTGCCAAATGCCCAACAAAAAACTCCCAAACATCCAACAACATATTTCCAAAGGTCCAACCAAAAAACTCCCAAAGATCCAACTAAAAACTCCCAATTGTCCAACCAAAAACTCGCAAATGTCCAACCAAAAACTCGCAAATGTCCAACCAAAAACTCCCAAATGTCCAACCAAAAACTACCAAATGTCTGATAAAAACCTCCCAAATGCCCAAGAAAATACTCGCAAATGCCCAAGAAAAAAAGTGTGAAACGCCCAACAAAAAAGTCCAAAATGCCCAACAAAATATTGAAAATGCCCCCTCCTGCCCCAAAAAAATTCAAAATGCCAAAGGTAGAAAATAACAAAATGTGCCCCAAAAAAGCGGCTAACACCCACGAAAAAAGTGGCAAACGTCCAACAAAAAAGCGGCAAACGCCCAACAATAAAATCTCTAATGCTCCCCCTAAAAATCCAAAATGCTCAACAACAACAAAAAATCCAAAATGCTCAACAAAAAAATTCTAAAACACCCAACAAATAAATTTCAAAATGCCCAAGAAACAAATTTCAAAACAGCTAACAAAAAAATTCAAAATGCACAAGAAAAAAATCCAAAATGCCCAACAAAAAAGTGCAAAATGCCCATCATAATTGGTTGAACTGGATAGTTGATGATCTTGTATGTCCACTGTCAATTTAGTATCCCTCCTCTTCATATCTGGGAAAAAGGTTCTTCCTGATGTACACCTCTTGTTCATCTTCATGGTTCCGTTGTTTCCAAGCCGGTGCTAGTTACACATGAACTGTGATCACACTTTTCTGCCATTAGCACCAATAAACCTTCCTCTTGTACCTTTAATTTTGGATTTTAACATGCAAAACATTTTAAACAAGTAAACATTTTAACATGTACATTTAAGTACAGTATTAGTAATACTAAAGTAATCCTTTGCTCTTTCTGAACTTTAATCTGCTTTGTTCCTTTGGCACTCAGTGACAGTGGGCTCAGATGGTATTCACGACGAGGTGCTTCTGTTTCCTTCCATGTCCCTTACAGTATTGAATAGTTAAAACAAATCTGAGTCACTGGGTCATCAGTGATAACAGTAATGTCATCAGAATAGTACTGGAGAGCAAGCAGAGAACACGACTTCCAAGATTTCGGGGTCAAAGGTGTTGTTGACTCAACAGGCAGTATGACGGAGGCAACAGAGGTGATTGTCACCCTGAGACAGGGGCACACAGCAACCTTCGAATCCGCACAAGGCAGGCTGGAACTTGGAAGACGCACCCATTGGTCCACCGAGCCCCAACAGGGTTTTCCAGGGCCAGTACGCTTACTGCTATGGGAAGCCCAAGGCAAGGTGTTGCTAACCAGTGGGAGATCAAAACATTGAAACCCCTGCGACATGTACAATCATGGGGGCATAGCAGAGAGCTACCAAAATATTATAAGTGGAACGATAGTCACACCAGGCAAGAAAAACAAAAGAAAAACCCAGCAAAAGTACGTCACCAGAGGAAACAGGAACCAGCCAACGCATAGGTAGGCAGGTAGCACAACACTTTGACGCCCCAACTAGCATGATACCACTCCCTACCCAAGGTCAAACAAGGGCCACGAAACCACAGCTGGCCCCAAGGGCAGGGTAAATGCCGAGCAGCAAAAACCCCTACGGAAATGGTTATCCCGAAACCACCAGGGAAGGGAACCCTAACATGCAAGGGCAGTGCTCACAGGATGCCAATGAAAGGAAGCCCCATGAGCGCATGCAGCCTCGGCACGGATGAGGAACACCTGGCCACCACACACAACAACACTGAAGTGGTCATCACAAAGGCAGAACACCGCCTTGGAAATTGAGACCAGAGAAGACGTCCGCCCCGGACCACGTTAGCCAACAAACCGGAGTGCTGGATAGCCAGCACGGGAAGGGGAGGGCTGTGCGGATGAGCGGGGAGAGGAGGGCTGTGCAGATGAGCGGTGCGGCAGTGGAGTGTGACGTTTGCTCTTTTCCTAGGGATTGGAGGGAGTTCTACCTCTCTTTTCAGTTTTTAGTTGTAATTTTCTTACCATGTGGGGTTTGTTTTGTTATGTACAGTATACCTTTCTGGGTGCCTAACCCTGGTTGATGGCAGATAAGGAAAATCCCAACCACAGGGGGGTTTTCCAGGGCTATTGCTCCCTGCAACCTCTCTAGGGGGCCAAGTTCTAGCTCATGGTCCCCAGGAGGTCAAACTCCTTAGACTAATGCCTCAGTCTAATATATCACACATTAGCCTGATAGCTCCAGGAGCCAAAGGGGATCCCCACAGAAATATGTATTTTTCAAATAATATTTAATACTAAAGACAAAACTATTTAAACTTTGAACAGATATGATAAGCAAGTGTTAACAGTGTGGAGTCAATTCAGATTTTATACTTTTATACACATTCGACAGTTACGATCCCTATTCGCAACTTTTAAACACTGCTATAGAATTTAAATCTTTCTGGATTTTAATGATGTCTGTTATATCAAAATTGAATTTTAGGTTTCACTGTATTGACTGTAATATTCCAGTCTTTTAGTTCTGAATGTCATCTTTTCAACATAATATTTGTTTGGTTCAATTAATAGCCCACTGGTATCAAGTACTATTTTGAAATACTTTATTTTTCACTTCTTTGGCTAATGGATTTTTTAAAAAATAAAGAAATTAAGGACTTACAGTATTTTCCTTCTCATGCATAAAACAACTCGGAGAAATTATATTATCATAATTTGTTGATAAGAGTTGCAATGTTATAGAAAAACAAAATTAAATGCATCAAGACAAATGCCATGTGATCTGTGCTGCTACACTTAACGACTTAACGTAACTATATCAACCAATATCACCTGCATATAGGTCTGAACATTGTGAAGAGTGCAAAACATCATCTTGTTGCACCTGCATGAAAAAAAAATGGTCTAGTGAAGGTGAAGGAAAAACCCATCACTATACTGTATATGCACAAGTGTATTAAAAATCAAAATTTCAGATGTAACCTACATCATTTCTCAAGGTACTGTACTACATTTGTACTGTAATACAATAGTACAGTACTGTAATACAATAGTACGTACTGTAATACAATAGTACAGTACTGTAATATAATTGTACCATAATACAATGTTAGAACACTGTATACAGTACCTTGAGAAAGGATGTAGGTTACATCCAAAAATAAGATTTTTAATACACTTACACATATATTTGGTATTTCCTTCACCTTCATTCAAGCACTATGACATTGTAGTAAGTTTCTCCAATGGTCTAATAAGTACAGGCTATGATAACAGTTTTAAACTGTGATGGATACAGTGTAAAGTTGCACACATGAGGAAGCAATATTTAGAGCAATCACACTTCCTAAACTATGCCTCATTTTATGAAAGAATTGAGTTTTCCTGCATTTCAGCTACAGCAGACATGTGCCCTAACACAGAGGCAACAAAATGGTTGAAATCTCTCCGAACACTTCCACTCTCCTCGTCCAGCTGTGTGTCCATCTTCGGAATCTGGTTGAAGGAATTTGCTGAAAGAAAATTGATCTAGTTAATAATACACCTTAAGGAAAGAATACTGTAATTTATTAGATTAAACTAAGACCAAGAAGCAAGTTGCTTATAGACATAAGCCTATAATGGTTTATCCAAAATCCTCCACCTCACCATTAATCTTGACAGTGAAAATCCAGATTTGCACTGTTGGAAGCATAATCAAATCATCATTGTATTTGGTTGTTTATGTTGTAGCTTTCGCTCCTCACCTTCCTCCACCTCACCATTATTACTCTGAGCAATCTCATCCACAGGCATTGTACCCTAACCTGGCTCAATAGCACCTTTGGGCTGCTGCTCCTATACATCGTGTTCATTAAAAATTGAGTTACGTTTGTTACAACAAACTTCAGTTAAGGAAATCCTTCACATAGGTGTCATCTTGCATGACACAAGTGAGCAGAAACACATTGCTAGCTCACAGGGTTGAGACAGGTCCAGTTATTACAGCAAGGAAATACAGGCACAGTATTTCTTACATTCATTACTGTAATGGTTTTTTGTAATATTCTATACAATTTTTTTCTTTAATTTTGTGCTAATAAAGCAATATTTGAATATACAGTATTTGTGTATTTGTAAACATAAGCTGCTAATTGTCATTCAGTAACCCGACAGCTAAGCGCCGTAATTCAGATTTTGTCTGACTCTAGAGGCTGTCAAACTCTGCTGCAATTTTGGCACAGTTACATCGGAAACTTGCGCTACTGAAGTCTGAATTGGTGAGTGATCACTGAGGGGTGAGGGCTAAATTAGTGTGTTTAATGTACACGTACACAGAAAATGCCTGTAAAAAGTTAAATATTTAATGTAAATGTATTGTAACTACTGTAATGTGCATACAGGTACATGGGTATATCAAAGAGACTGCTCAATATAAATATACTCACAAAGTTTAGCTCCTTTGCCTTGAAATCCTGGCTTATAATGGCAAAATACCACACATTGAGTCTCTCGAAGGCCTTGTTGCTCCACAAAGTGGGTATACAAAGTGTCAAGGGTACGTGCATGGTCTTCCCGCCCTGGACTGTAGACAAACACAATTCCATTGACACCCCTTTGAATTGCTGGCCAACAATTTTCAAACCTGAGTAGAGCAAACAGGGATATATATTATATCATGATTAGGCTCATTACATATACAGTACTGTATCTGTACTACTAATGCATGTACAGTTCTATTAATATACTATTAATCAACAAATTTTCCCATTGTTGGGGATAGGAAGCAAGTAAGGCTTATCAAGGTCTCCCTAAGCCAGTGACTAACTTTCCCCAGGATGCAACCTACAACAGTTGCCTAACTTCCAGGTGCAGTACAGTACTTATTTACTGCTAGGTGAACAGGCACATCAGATGGAAGGAAACATTTCCCAACTGCTTCTGTCCTGCCTCAGGAACTGAATCCAGGTACAGTACTTACCTTCTGTCTCCACTAACATCCCAGAGTTCAACTTCAGCCTTCGTTGTCATACTGTTGACAGTTAGGTTAGGAATTTCAAACTCAACAATGCGACTTGCTTTAGTTGGTCGATATTCACCACCTCCCACTTCACCCGCCTCGCTGAGAAAATTGGTTAGAGTCGTCTTGCCACACTTTAACAAGAACAAAACAGAAAAAAGTTATTGTCGTGAAATAATCAGATTGTATCACTTAACTGGTATCTATGTTTCACTTCGACGAAAGTGAATATACAAATTACATTTACAAGATCAGTGAGAAAAATTGAAAAAACACAGTAGGTATAAGAGAAACACTAATGAACCATAAGTTTATAGAATAGATGCATGACCTCAGTGCCACTATAGACATATACTGGGTGGACACTGCTGAACTGCTTTAATAGCAAGAATCTCAAGATATCTATGGTGTGCCACAGATGAAGATGAGTACAACCTGTAATATGGCTCTGATGGTGGTCTGTTATAGCCTGCAATGTGGCTTTGATGATGGTCTATTATAGTCTGTAATATGGCTCTTAGGATGGTCTATTATAGTCTGTAATATGGCTCTCATGATGATCTATTACAGCCTGTAATATGGTTCTGACGATGGTCTATTATAGCCTGTAATATGGCTCTTATGATTATCTATTATAGCCTGTAATATGGCTCTTATGATGGTCTATTATAGCCTGAAATATGGATTTGATGATCATCTCTATTATAACTTGTAATATGGCTCCGATGATGGTCTATTGTAGCCTGTAATATGGCTTTGATAGTCTACTATAACCTGTAAGTAATTATCAGAAAAATAGTAAATAATTATCAGGACTATATAGCATTAGGAAGAGATATGAAAATAAGAATCTGGGATAAGAATGAGGAAAGGAAAAGTGCCTAACAACTTGTGGACAGTCAAAGACTAAATGCCAACATGCTGAAAGTGAGACAGTCACAGTACAGTGCCATCCAGTCCAAGTGGTTGGACTATTATAGCCAGTAATATGGCTTTATGATGAACAGTTATAGCCTGTAATATGGTTTTGATAATCGACAATTATTGCTCTAATATGGCTCTTTGATGAAGATGGACAATTATAACCAGTCATATGGCTTTGATGGCAGATAGTTATAGTCTGTAATATGGCCTTGATGGTGGACAATTATAGCCTGTAATATAGTTTTGATGATGACCAAATATAACCTGTAATATGGATTTGATGATGACCAATTATAGCTTGTAATATGGCTTTGATGATGATCAATTATATTCTGTAATATGGCTTTGATGATGATCAATTATATTCTGTAATTTGGCTTTGGTTATGATTTATTATTCCCTGTAATATGGTTTTGGTGAGATTTATTTAAACCTGTACTATGCTGAAGATCTATGATAGCCTGTAACATTAATTTAATCTATTATAGCCCATAATATGACTTAACAGATCAAATATGATATTACAAGCTATATCATCAGTCAAATGATTTACTACAGGCTATAATAAATCATCAAATCCACATTACAGACTGTAATAAACTTTGATGGTCTATTATAGCCTGTAATGTGGCTTTTGTGATCTATTATAGCTGGAAATATGACGTTTATCTTGGCCTATTATAAAGTGACATTTTTACCTCTGCCCTTTCTTCTCACCTCAGTTGGCCCAACCATGAGCAACTTCACCTTATTGGTCATTACTGGCGAGCGTGTATGTCTTAATATACTCTGAAGGTTTAATGTTTGAGTATATCACATTCACTCCAAAAAATATATATACCACCGAGCCACCTTTTGGGGTGGCTTAACCTTCACCAATCATCAGTCGATGTTTGAGTAAATGACAAGAGGGGGACCTTTGACAAGCCGCCAGCTTCCTGTCTCGTCCTGTCCTCGTCGAAGCCACTAGAAAGATAGTGTCTCAGGTCAATTCAGGTAAATTCAGGACTCCCGGCTCGAAGCCAATGTTTACAAACTAGGAATGTAAGGATGTGTAATGTAAAAGATACCTATACGTTCATCAACTTTATTCCCATGTTTCGACTCGTATTTTGATAACTAAATGCTTTATTAACTTTTTTGTTGAGATGAGTAAAGTATACGCGTGTTTATTTTATTTTAATCTTAATGTATTAATCTTAATCTTACCCTTTGATCAATGTATTGGATCAAAAAGTTATTTTGCCCTACGTCATCGCTACACTTTAGAAAAATCTCTTCTAGTCTAACTGAAGTTATTCTAAGTTATCCAAACCTATCTTAACCTGGTTAACGATATAAAAAAAATTAGTTTTTATATATATATATTTTACTGTGAAGTGTTGCTGCTCTATGAGAAGACGAGCCTAAACAAATTAAACCCAACAAAATCAAATATTGTACATTATAAATTAATCTAAAGAGAAAATAATAAAGTAACATAATTGAAATTGTCAGTTGAGTGTTATAGCAGGCACATAAAATGTAAAATGTTGTTGTTATAGGGTTAGGGGCGGTTAAATGTCAAATGACAAGGCACTGCAATGTTAAATGGGATTCTTGTAATGTTATTTGTCTATTTGTACTCACTGCATTTGTGCGCCCCTTGAGGGACTTGAAGTAGAGGGGGGGTAGAAATAGCCTAAGCTACTCTATCCCTTTGAGATGTATTTATTGCTTATCTCAATAAACATACTTGAACTTGACAAGGCACTGACAGAACTGGTGAAGTGCACGTATCCCGCGCGTAAACAGTATCAGGTCCCAGCGGTGCTCTGAAGAAACACATTGAATTCATTGATTGAAGGACTTTAATAGATATACAGCAAGAAACTTAACCTTGAATTTGTTGAATGGGCATCAAAGAATGTTGTACGACATTCCTGGCAGGACTGCCAGACCCTGCTCTACCCTTCCTGCCCTCCCTCATACTTGGGACCTGCTTCGCAGCGTTCTTTCTCCTCTTATTTTACAAGAAAAGCACAAATTTGCCATTGAAGATCATACTTATACACATACTTAAGAAGGTGCTTTATTTACTACCAAACCAAGATCATTCTGAGAGTGAAGCTTGTCACAATCCTGATTGTGTTCGCTGTCATAAATATGCAGAACTCAAAGTACAGATTGTTAATAAATGGAAGAATATCAGAGCAAGTAAATCTAAATTTGTGTCAAGTCAGCTAGAAGAAGCTGTCAATAAAATTGTATGTGAAATTAACCCGGCACAGAAGCTAGATGTGAATGATGAACCCACCAAGAGAAAAATCAAAGCACCCAATATCGAGCTTCAAAATCCAACCATCTTCAAAATGGACCTTACCGCAAACCCATACTGGAATGATTTTATGGTTTACCAGAAGGACCTCAGGTTTTTAAAGCTGAATTTCTCAATAATTTTAAAGGAATTTATATCTGTCTTTGAGGCTCTGCAAAAAGGTGACAACTGGGGCTGGAAACTAAACGATATTGCCGAGGGACATTGGTGCATTTTTCCATTTATCGATCAGGGACTTGTGAATGAATCAAACTGTAAAAGATGTCCAAATGTTGCAGCGATACTGGACACGCTGCCGTCTCTCATGAAAGACTGCGTGTTTGGAAACGCCTGCTTTTCCATCCTCTATCCAGACTCCAATATTAAGGCACACCATGGTCCTAGCAATATACGACTGAGGTGTCATTTGGGTAAATAAAAACTAGTTTTGTGTTTTACATACATAATTTTTCATGTACAGTATATATTTGTTATATAGTGGAACCGTTGTATTCAATGAACCTTGATTCGGTGAGTCTCTGGTTGGAACACATACTTTCCATGCAAAAGTTACTTGCATGGAAAGTAAATTCAATGAACAAGAGTTCACTGAAGCAGGGGATATGTGGATTTGCTTAGGATGTTGGGATTGAGTTCACAGATGGAGGCAACATTACAAGAAATAGTTGGGGCCTTAGGAAAGCAACTGAGTATATAAACAGCAAAATTCTAAAGGTTTTTTTTTTTTTTCCATTTCAAAGGTTTTTGTTCAGTAAAATATGGACCCCTTTTTCCTTTGACAATGAGATTCCGAGGCTTGGGCATGGGAAATAATGCGGTTAAATCTCTTTACAGACAAGGTCTCTTGATATGTAGCCCATCATATAAAAAGTTGAAATTTTAATTTTGCTCTGTGAAATTGGCCTACAGAGCATTGGAATTATTAAGTATGAATGGTAACACTCTTAATAAGGCTCTAATCATGTTTTTAATAACTTTCAATTTGCATTTTTTGTTGGGCATTTTGGAATTTTGTTTTTATCATTTTAGAAATGTCTAAAACTGAAATGCGAGTTCATTCAGATACTGAGAGATTCAAATTACTGTTGTAGAATCCGAATTACCAATACTTTCAATTACAGTACTCTCCATGCCCCTTGGGAGGAAATTAGATACTATAATTTTGTAAGATCCTTGTCCTGGGTGGGCACTGAATAGTATTGGATCCTGGTATACCCAAAATCTCTCTTAGCATGCCAATGTAATCCAATGCTAAAACTAGTCTCTTTTTGCCAGGTTGTATGTTGCCTACCCCTGGTCTAAAGAATTATGGTCTCCAATTGTTGGTGATAGGAAATTTGTTAGGTTTATTAGTATCCCCCGTTGGCCAAAGGCTGACTGTCCCCAATATGTAACCCACAAGTTTCTTAACTCCCGTGTTTACTGCTGAGTGAACAGAGTCGTCAGGCATACGAAAATGTGCCAAAAGGTCTCATCCTGTATGTGAATCAAACCAAACAACCATTCAGTTCCAAGCTGAGTACACTGATTACTGTGCTGTAGGGGTGTATGTATGTATGTATAGAAAACTACTGTGTATTGTTATGCCTCTCCCAATTTGTTTATAGCTTACAAAATTTCAGGACTGCGCATTCCAGATGGCTGTTGGTTAGAAGTTGCTGGAACTCAGTACAAGTGGAAGGTGGAAGAGACAGTGGTCTTTGATGATTCTTTTGAACATTCTGCTACATTTGTGAACCAATCAAGCTCCTCACATGCCTATCCCAGGGCAGTACTCATGGTTGACTTTTGGCACCCTGATCTTACGTCAGAAGACAAAGAAGTATTATCGGAGTTATTAGCTCCATAGAACTGTATCTGATGTAATCTCCATGTCTAGTCTGAGTCAGAATGCGAAAATAGCTGAAAATTTTGATTAAATAATCTTGACAGCATAGGCCTACTTCTTTTTTTAATACTTTTCACATAACACCATTCCAAATTTTGTTAGTTAAAATAGTAGTAGTAGAAGTAAAAGTAAGTAGAAGTAAAAATAGTAGTAGTAGAAGTAGAATATATTTATATATTTAGTAGAATATTTTAGCAGAATACAATTGTGTAGGTGTTTTATTTTTAAGTGGAGTACTGTACTTTGCATTATGACTTATTTAACAGTACTAATTCTGTCTCTCAGTGTTGGCTGTTCATAAGGAGCTACACAAATTTTACAGCATTGCTGAAACACGAAGAAGTAAAGATAGTTTTGGAATTGATTTTGTAAGCAAAATGAATGGCATTTTAATTTCAGGCTTTTCAGTGGATGATATTGGCCACATGCAGCTAACTTGAGGACACTTAAATAAGCAAAGACCTCCACCTTACTGTCAGAACTACATTGTCCTGATAACAGTCACTCAACACCAACAATGTCCTGATTTTCTGGTTAATTAAAAATCATTTATTCCTCACTAATATCCTTGATGAATCACCTTTGACACTAAACATGTGATGTCTTTATGCTCTCATACTGCCATCCCGAATGATTGCTAGGAATTATTTAATATTCTCCAACGTAGACGGTGCTAAATGGTCTTCCAGGCTTGACACACCTTCTTTGGACACTTACTTTTCATCGGATGTAATGAACAATTATAATTGTTAATTAATTATAATTGAACAATTATAATTGTTCATGCATGTCATTATACACAGTATTAGGCTAATACTATAATGCACAGAAATACTTTATATCCAGTTTACAGTGGCACCTTGTTCGAATGGACTAAATGGAACTGGGCCTATTTTACCAAGGATTCCTTGTCCAAGCATTCTGCCAATTTCCTGTCATTTACTGCAAAATGTTTTATTTCTGACCCTAATGATAGAATACATCCCTGAATATATTTAGACAACAAAATTACATATAAATTCTTCAATTCATTTTAAATATACTGTGCTGGAGAGGCAAATTGAGTCAGAAAAGATAATAATTTCAGAAAAAAAGGACTGATACCTTAGAGAAGTGTAGATTAATTCTTCTACTCAATTTTGCTAAATGAAATCATAGATTCAACTTTTTATATAGTTACCACCTGACTAAAAATTTCACCATTGCCATTTTCCCCATACTCAGCCCTAAAACATTGTTTTACAAAAAGCTCCTTAATCCTCCAACAGTGTAATGTACAGTATTACTAAAACGGAACTTAATGAATGATCCCTCTCGCTTGATTTTTTTTTTTTTTTTAGATCTATTACAAGTATTGATGTTAATTTACACTTCAATGAGCTTGTGATCTGAATATGTCGTATCTGAGATTGTAATGTCCCTGATTATTTCTTCATTGTTTGTAAAGATCAGATCCATAATATTTTTGGTTCTAGTTGGCTCTTGTTACCAGGTGGCTGAGCAAAAATTTATCACAGACTTTTAAGTAGTTCTCCGACCTGTAATTGGTTATTTACAAATATATTTCCTGGTATATTATTGGTATTGGGTTTGTCAGATTATCAAGGCTATTCTGTACTCACCTAGTTGTGCTTGTAGGGGTTGAGCTTCGGCTCTTTGGTCCCACTTCTTGACTGTCAATCAACTGGTGTACAGATTCCTGATTTGTATTCATTATGTTCTGTGAATTCCTCAACTGCTGCATCTGGCAGTTTGTATATCAGAATAATAACTTAAATTCATTTTCTTTGTTCTTACTCAAAGTACCTCTGCCACCTGATCTGTAGAACTAAGGGGCTTTGAACATACAAGGTTCTCTCCAATATACAAACCTACTCCTTCATGTGACTTATTTATCCTGTCACATCTATTTAGATCATATTCTGGTATCGAGCTGTCACTGTCCCCCTGCATGAGAGTACAGTACATGGAGCACAACATTTAGTGCCATTGCTGACATAAACCCAGTGACATTAATCTGCATTTGTCAAGCTTATGTTGGTCAGCAGCTTATGTTGGTCAACAAGCTTATGTTGGTCAACAAGCTTATGTTGGTCAACAAGCTTATGTTGGTCAACAAGCTTATGTTGGTCAGCCATTACTGTGGTGAAGTCACAAGAAGCCAGCAACTAATTGGCGAGTTGCTGGCTCCAACCGAGTGGAGTCGGATATAATACAGTATTAGCATTCTAGGTTAACAGAGTGCAAAGGTAGTCATCATACTAAAAAATCATGTGTTATGTGGGTATTTAGGATGTTTGTGATCTTGTTAACCCCTATAAATATAAATAAAAACAATTGTGATCATGTTAATCCTTACACATGGACAAAGGAGGAGTTGGATGACAAACGAGATGGCCTCATAGCTATCATGAGATATTATAGAAAGAGCATGTAACGATAAAGATTTGATAGCTCTTTCTCTGATTCTTTTCAACAATACGAATGTGTTCCCAAAGATAGTGTTCTGAGCACTACTCATTTCCCCGGTTGCTCTCAGTGGTCATTCTTCCTGCCTTCTGGCATTTTCTTGGCCCTTAATGTTGATTATCTCGCCCCTCTGCTGTTGGGGTAATGACTACCCTTTTCTTCAACATCAACTTGCGATTGATGCAGTGTCATCCAGGGCCACCAGTTGTGGTTTCAATATCTCTTCAACTAACATCTGTGCTATGATTTACTCAGAAGCAGGTCATTCTTCGTTCCCCTTTGTCACTATGGTAGTCCCTTCTGTATAAAGATTCTGCTAAACTTTTGGAGTTACCATTTGATGCTTGTCTTGATCTCATATATCTAACCTCAGAGTTGAATGCTTATTGAAAGTCTTGTCCCATACTTCCTGGGAAGCTGATAAGACACATGCTCATCTACTTGCACTCTTCACTTGTTTTATGTAAACTGGTTTATGGCTGCCCTGCCTCTCCTTTGGTCCTTGATGCTCTGCACCAAGCTGGGTTGTGCTCCAGCTCTCATGGCTTTCGTTCGTCCCACATCCAGAGCTTGTATGTTGAAACAGGCATCTTGTCACTCTAGGTTCATAGTGATCGTTACTGCCTGCATTACCCCACGAGATGCTACATAGCCTTCCCAGTTTGGTGCCTTCTATTGATAATTACTTACTTACCCCACGAGGTCTCTGCAACATTCTCATTCTCACACTTGCCGTGGTTTGGCTGTTACCACTCCAGTGGTCACTGTACCCCTGCACCAACTTCATTTTTCTGTTTGGATATCTTGCTTACAAGGCTCCCTTTCAGTTTATGTTGGCAATGCCTATCATATCGCTCCATCCCTATCACCTTGGAGGGTCCTACTTGTGAAGCTTTGCAAGTCTTTGACCCCATGTGATAAAGGCTTCTACACCACCTCTTGTTCTGAAACAGTTTCCTGGAACATTTTTCATCACACTCACATTCTGTTGCCAACTGTGTTAGATACTCTGTTGTCTTTCCAAACCAAATCTATATGAGCCATCTACCTCCAAAGGTTAGCATCTTTACAGTCAAACTGTGTGCTATCTTGTATGCCCTTCATCAGTTGCTTTTCTGTCATCAGTACTTGCTCCTTTGTCATAGTGGTTGACTCTCGTAGTGCTCTCATGGCTTTGGACCCATTTAACTCTATACATCCTGTGGTAGTACAAATTCAATATTGACTGTTTTTAATCTCTTAGCTGGTTGAGTTTTGCTGGGTTCCTAGCCATATTGGCATTTCCTTATATGAGTGTGCAAACTGCCGCTAAGGAGATTATCTGCACTTATACTATTTCCCGCAAAAGGCATTCGTTATTCTGATTTCTACCCAGTCATTCATTTCTTGATCCATGCCCATTGACTTGGTCAGTCTGTTACTAGTAACAAACTGCGTGCTCTTAAGGGTTGCCTGTCCCCTTGATTATCTTCCTATCACCATAACCAGTGGTGGGAAATAGTTCTGATGAGGTTGCGTATTGGCCATACACATTTAACTTGCGGGACACTTAATGGAGCGCCGCCCTGCTCTTTATTGTCCGAACTGCAGTGTCCCTCTTACAGTCATGCATATCCTCGTTGAGTGTCCTGACTTTCAGCAAGAAGTGCGCACACACACGTGTGCATGTCTTTTGCTTTCCACCTGTCCCTCATGGTCATTTGTCCCTCAATAGAATCCTTAGTGAATCCGATACCTTTGATATCTCTCACCTGTGTGTGCTTTTATTCTTGTATTGACATCCTTAGGTGTATTTAGCACCTTTTTAATATCCTGCAACTTAAATTGTTACATAGTCTCCTCAGCTTGGTGCCTTCTTTTGATAATTACTTACACTATTACTTAAAAACAAATTTCTTTATGCATAGTAACACACCTATATGCACAGTAACATGTCTGTATGCACTGTAACACATCTGTATGCATATTACAGTAGCTGTAGGCATTCCCATGAGGTGAGGGTGGTTGCTAGGGCCTAATGGATCACACGAAATCCCAGAGGCAACAAATTAGTTTTGCCCCATATACTTCAAAGAATTCCCTGTGAATTCACACTTACTTTCCAGTGGGAAATAATAAACACTAAGGTGTGTTAAATTTCAAGACACTAAACTGTACATTAGATATCAAATCACATAGGAATAAAAATTTGTTACTCATGATCATTTAGCATTTAATAATGTATTTAAATTTTAATATAATGGTGCCTATAAATAAAATGTTATATTAAAGTTTCTTTACAGAATGATTGACAAAAGTTTTAGAAATATCTTCCTTTTAGGAATGTGTTCAGTGATAATGTACAATGATACAAATTGATGTTAATAGCAAGTGTTGACATTTCTACATTAAGTCTGTCCCTTGCTGATGTTTGCATAACCAACTCCAATACATGTCAGCAATAACTTATCAGCTCCTGTTCTTGTTTCTGGAGTTTCATCAGAAAAACTGAAGTTCTTCTCTTTGTATTCATCAATTTTGAATGTCACTTGAAAGAAGTCTCGCAGGTGGCGAAGGAAATGCATCCTGTAAAGCAAGAGAAAATCGTCAGTAAAATGAGGTTTACAAATATATAAATCCCGTTGTCGGGGACATTAAGCTTGCACTTAGACTTATTGAGGTTCTTCCCCACTAAGTCAAATAGTTCCATTCCATTTCATGGGAAGGTTAGTATCAGGAGAAAGTGCCAAGCCATTATGACTATGTAGCACTGGGAAGGGGTCTGGATAAGGATTTGGGAATAGGATGGGAGGAAGGAATGGTGCCCAACCACTTGGACGGTCGGGGATTGAACGCCGACCTGCATGAAGTGAGGCTGTCGCTCTACCGTCCAGAACTTTCCCACGGATGCAACCCACAATAATTACCTAATGCCCAAGTACCTGTTTAATTGCTAGGTGAACTGAGGCATCAGGGAAATGAAATATGCCCAACCGTTTCTGTCCTGCCCAGGCACTGAGCCTGGGTCTCTCACTTATGAGCAAGGATGTAGACCCCTGTACTACAAGACCCATATGATACAATAGCATGCAAATGTTTCATTAATACTGTACTCTCATTTTTTTTCATGGCGGAACCAGAATCAGACAACTTCTGGTAACAGGCCAAGAACTTTCCTATCCCATAGCTCATAGAAAATATAATATATAAATTCAAAACCCAATATATTGACTAAACCATGTAGAAAACAAATTACCAATCCAGATCATAATATCTAACAGTGATGCTAAACATAAAAAAAAATCACATCTACTGTGATTGTTGATCCATATGCATACTATGTGACTAGTTAAGAAATTTATTCATTTCTTATGTGAATATGTATGTATATTAGTTCATTTAACAAATAGAATATTAAAACATGTTTCAAAGCTACAGTGGTACCTCAGTTTTCGTATTTAATCCATTCCCAGAGACAGTACGAAAACTAAAAAATACGAAAACCGAAACAAATTTTCCTATAAGAAATAGTGTAAACTGAATTAACTGAATTAATATATTTGGGGGTGTGAAATGGATTAACTAAAAAATACATTTCTACAGACTAATACTCTTAGGTACTTTACCTTTTTTGAGGACTCTTGTTGGCGTATGGAAGATAGTGAGGAAGGAGGGGGGGGGGGAGGAGAGTCCCCCTTCCATAATAACAGGAGTGATGACATTTCTGGGGGTACTCACTCTCTCACATTTTGCAGGCATACCACTAGGACCTAATTGTGGCTCACTGTTTGCTTGTCTTATAAAGAATCTGTCTATAGACACTTGTTTTTCCCTACGTTTTAATACTTGTCTGTAGCGAGACAGCAAATTGTCTCACTATGAATGATCTCTTGTTTTTCCACTATCATCATCCTCACAACTATTTTCCTCGGTTGAACATTGCCATCAACTTTCTTGGAACCCATGGTGTGATATATAATAAAAACCTTTATGTATAGAAACCAAACAAGCATGAAAACAATGACATTCATCACAAAGAATTAAAACACGATGACCACTAGGCGGGAGACACTGGTAAACCTGCACCACGCACTCGGTGGACCCATTATGTGTATAAACAAACTCTGAAAACGAAAATGGGCATACGAAAACCGAGGTTCCACTGTATATGGCTAAATAAATTAACTAGGGTTGCCTGTTGATCAATGAGGACATGGCCTGCCAGTAATTTCTTGTTTTAGCAGTGTGTAATTACGTAAGTGTAGTTACAGGATGAGAGCTATGCTCGTGGTGTCCCGTCTTCCCAGTACACTACTCTGTGTCATGTAATGCTTTAAAACTACTGACGGTTTTGCCCTCCACCACCTTCTTACTTAACTTGTTCTAACTGTCTACAACTCTGTTTGCAAAAGAAAACGTTCTAATATTTTTATGGCACCTTTGTTTCCCTAGCTTGAATCTGTGTCTTGTTCTTGAAGTTGCCGATTTTAGGATTTCCTCTTTGCTAATTCGGTCGACTCCTGTTGTTATTTTGTAAGTGGTGATCATATCACCTCTTTTCAAGTGACATGACGGGAGCACCCGAGTGGTGCATCCAGCCAAGGGTGGGTGGAACTGCACTTTATCGTCATGTGGCAAGGATGCACTGACTACAGCTCAAGCCAATCAAGGATTTTCACAAGATTATAACGTCTTATTGGACACATTCAAGAGTAATCTTAGGAGTGACACTGTGAAGCAACTCAGATTCTTGGTGTGCTCAGATTCAACTCAGATTCTTGGTGCTCACACAGATCACCTGTGTGAGCCGGGCGACTGGGCTGAGGAACTGAGTGATGGTTCTCTCATAGTCTTTCACATCCTCTGTGCAACCAGGTGAGAGTAGGGAGTAATCCTGGTCAACGTTCAATAGCAGCAAGAAAGGACAGGTGAGCAGTATGAACACTAACGTGCAGTCCTGTCATCCAGAAGAATTCAGAGACCATTGGGCCCGCATGGATGTACCAGGTGTCTGGGAACCCTATAATTCCAAGAAGGACCCAAAGCTGCAAGCAAACTCCAATTGAGAGAAGCAAGCACCCAGGGTGTGAAGAGTTAGAATATTCACCTTGCCTTCTTGACTTTAGGTGAGGAGGTAATGAAATTCTGTGACACAGCACAGAGAGGACTTCCAGTGCTGCTGTGGCAAGTGAGGCTCGTAATCTGTGGCAAGAAGATGCCATCATAATAACTCCCAGCTTCATCCCACTCCTCAAAGTGGGCGAAACGTGGCAAGTGATCCCTCTGTGCTTGCGTCTGAGGTCCTTTTTGGCGACAACGGTCCCCCAAGAAGGAGGAACGCATGTCACAATATGTTAAGACAATGTCTTGTAGGCCACCTTACAAAAAATATAATCTATTTCCTGCCAGTGTTCTGTTACAGATGAAGGTTCCCTGTGATAGGCGAGCCCTTGTTAGTAATACATTCATCCAGACCAAGACTCTAGACTGTGATTTTGTTCCTCACTCTCCCAGGGTTGAGTTAAAACTACCAGTCCAGACTAAACATGCCTAGGTTTGAGGACTCGCGCATGATGCCCGCTACTAGACAGTACAGTTAAGACAGAATTATCATACAAGTCCAGTCAGCTGCAAAGTGAACTCCTAATGTACACCCTATCTAATCCTATAGAGCACTTTGGTGCCTGTCTCAATTAGCCGGCCACAAAACAAGAGAGCACCTTATCTTGCATAAAAGTTAGTGTGTGTGATCACATACACATGATTAGTCCCCAGGATAAGATTTAGTAGAAGCAAGTCAAGATGTATACTATGTATTAGCCACAAGGACATGACACTGGTATGAATCTCCAAATAAAGAAGAATATAACAAATTATTATAAGAGCTAAATAACTGATATGGAAGTGAACATGCCATGTAGGCTAATAAAAAAATTATAGCAATGTATATGCATTCATTCTCACTCGATAAGTGGGAAAGGTTTAGGGCATAATATTTCTAAATATATAAAAGATCCTTTAAGAAATATGTTTGATACATGCTGTCACTTACAGTACCAATAAGACAAAGTAGATAAATACACAAATGTCTTTATTCATACATACGTGTATGGAGCAAGAGGTCCCAAGACGATTTTGGACACATCCTTAGGTGTTAGTGCCATACAAAGAAGTACAAAAGGTTGGCAGAGAGTATCCACACAGCCACCACGGTAGATCTCCTCCAGCAATCCCCATGCTGCCTCCCGACCAACATCCTCCGGGAGCTTGGTTTCAGCCTCTTCTCCCGGGGCATTAGACATGGCTTCAGCACATATGAATGATCCCGTGTTTGTTTCTGCTACTGCACACAAGCCAAACCCTATAATATGAATAACACATTTACTAATATTCTTAGATTTAAATCAGGTAAGTTATCCCTGTGTAGACACTTGCAATGTGAAGAGTAAACCGCACACCATGAGTTGGAGACGACAATGTTTTGTCGTCTCCAACTCATGGGTGACTTTTGGTCCAGGATGGACCAAAACGTCGTCGTCTCCTCATCTTTTGGTGTCTGATTTAGTCTTCATATCTTCAGCCATGTTACTGTGATACATTGTCTGTACTTGCAATGTATTTTCTCAACTTTGTGCTTAGATACAGTGATCTTTTCGTTAACTTTCCTGTTAGCTCCTACATTTAATTTCTAACAATGTTCATTAAAATATATGTGTGTTCTCTTTTCACTAGTGTTGCATCCAATCCACCTCAGTACCGCATCTTTAAACATTAATAATTCCCAGCGATGATGTGTCTCATTCTAAATAATAACCTAAGGAAAAGTATAAAACATAACTACAGTATACTACATCAACATTATACTATGTACTCTTGGTACAAAATTCACAGATCTAACCTAAGGAGTATGTAATTTTAAATTTGAGAAAAAGCAATGTGGGCAAAATGTAATTTGTAATTAATTATCTTCTGCTAATTTGGAGTTTTATTTTTTGAAAGTTAAAACGTGTATTGATTTGAAGTCATTGTACCATGTTTCAAATATCAATTTAATACCAATTTTTTATTATTAAAAGTAAAAACCACTTGTCATAAGTACTGAGTGTCCCTAAAACTTGGGGACAAAGTCACTTATATGAGTGTTCTAAAGTAGTGAAGTTATGTATTTTCAATACTAGCACTCTTTTTCTGGAGGGAAGGTCCATATGGTGGCCGCTTACAGCTAACAGCACTGAGACAGCTCCACACCTGTAAGTCACATCAACCCTTGCAAGTCCTTTAAAGCGTATGACCACAGCCAAAACCTGGTCCCCCTCAGAGGTACAGGGAAGTGCACTCATGATCAGCCTCACAAAGAAAAACACCCCCAGAAAGGAATCAAAAGCAAAGCAATGCAAACAGTTGCAAGGCTCACATAGTAAATAAACAATGCAGCAAATGACTTAACCCAGTAGTTAGGACATACACTCCCTAGTAACAGCTGACCACCAGCTCACCACCATGGGTCTAAGACAACAAAATGATGAACTAAAGAACTCTTTCAGGAGTCAACCATTTAAAAAAAACTCACCAGGACTGAAAGAACTAAACCCACACTTCTGGAGGAGAGCAAAAAGCTCCCCAACCCCACAATGGGAAGGAGTCACAGACTGAAGGGGTTATCTTCTTGAGGTTATCTTGAGATGATTTCGGGTTTTTTTTTAGTGTCCCCGCGGCCCGGTCCTCGACCAGGCCTCCACCCCCAGGAAGCAGCCCGTGACAGCTGACTAACACCCAGGTACCTATTTTACTGCTAGGTAACAGGGGCATAGGGTGAAAGAAACTCTGCCCATTGTTTCTCGCCGGCGCCTGGGATCGAACCCAGGACCACGGGATCACAAGTCCGGCGTGCTGTCCCTTCGGCCGACCGGCTCCCGACCAAGGACAGGAAATAAATTGAAACCAACACTCGATCCAGAGACCATGACAGTCCAGAAGGAGAATAAACAGGCTAAAGGGAAAAAACTACAACTTTTGAAATGGTGTTTAGTATCAATACTGAGAGCCAACAAAAGGCTGAATGATAAGAGGCAATAGTACTTAGCATAAGATGCTGAACAACAAACAGCCAAGACAAAAATAGCATGGCCACCAAAACTGAAATAGCAGGTAAATGATGAAGAGAAAAACGAAAAGAGTATGCGGAAACCGCATATTGATGCAGCAAAGAATGATGCAAGAGAGAGACCAAAAGTGCAAATAATTGATCCATATCACACAAGAAAAAATTACATTAATAATATTTATTGTGAAAAGTGAACTATAAATGGCGATGCAATACGTTAAAAGATTTGCACAGTACTCGGCTCTGATTTTCAAAACTACTGTATTTAAAAAGAGAACACTGATATTAATATCAATATATTCAGAAATGAATGATCTTAAGCATATATATACATATATAAGAAATGCCTAAGCAATGTTTGGTGCATAAGCTGTCATAATGATGCATAAATAATGGGTATCTTCAAATCCTTTTACTATTTGAGATTGGATGGTGTTTTAATGCTCCTTGAGCCAGATCCAACTTCTCACACACAAGAACATGGGCAAGGACTTGTTAACACTCGAGAAAATAACATTAATAACATTAACATTACACACCTGGAGAACTGCCCTTTGAATTTTCTACTGTCAGGTACACATCAGTAAGGAACTTGAGAAATTCACCCTTGGCTGCATCAAGCATGCGGTTGGCAACGGTTGGAGCCACACGACTAGTGTAGGATATGCCTCTGATACGCTTGATCTTTCCACTCTCTTCCCACTTTCAAACAAAAAAAATTGGCGATATAAATTTGATTCACATATTATAAATACAATACAGTAATATGCACAGCATTAAATATATTCGGCTTTGATTGAATATGAAAAAGTGCCTCTCTGAACATTACACATGGAAGCTCCCTAAAGCAAGCTTAATGATGTCTCACCGGACACTCATAATAATTAGGGCAGTGTGACAAACAACAATGGTGTATATCTGTCGATGATTCCGAGGATCAACGTCCCCCTGGCCCATTCTCTGACCACGCCTCGTGGTCGGTGGTCTGGTCAACCAGGTTGTTCAATGCAGCTGCTTGCAGCCTGATGAATGAGTCACAGGCTGGTTGATCAGATATCCTTTGAAGTTGTTTATCAAGTTCTCTTTTGAAAACTGCAAGACATCACTCCCATATGTGTAGAGGGAAAGTGTTGAAAGATCTTTGCCCTTTGATGTTGACTATTCTTTTTCAGCATGACTATTGTTCCTCTGCTTTTCAACGGGGCTACATTGCACATTCTGCCATGCCTTTTGGTCTCGTGTGGTGTCATTTCTGTGTTAGAGATTTGGAACCAGTCCTTCAAGTAATTTTTCAAGTGTAAATTATTATGTATTTCTCCCATCTGCACTCTTGGGAACACATTTAAAATTGTTAAGTGGTCCTAATAATTTAATGTTTTATTGGATGGATTCTGGCAGTAAGAGATCTTTACATGCTCTCAAGGTCAGCAATTTCTCCAGCTTTGAATGGGCATGTTATCATGCAACAATATTCTACTCTAGAATGTCTTAAAAAGTATCATCATTGGTATGGCATTTCTTGTTTGAAGTTTCTAGTTAAAACCTGTCATTTTCTTGCAGTTGTGACAGCTACTTGTTGTACTCTTTAAAAGTAAGGTCTTCTGACCTTACTCTTAAATGTTTTACACTGCTTTTTCTTTCAATATTGTGGTTTGACTGCATTTTATATGTGGTTTTTGTTTTGATATGATTGGTTTTTTCTGAGAGGGCAGTAACAGGAACTTGCCCTCTAAATACCATATAATTTTCTGTGCTCATAGAAAGACTATTAGTATCAGATTGGAGATTTGTTGTGTCCTCTATATTGTCTACTCTCATGAAAATCCTAGTGTCATAGAAAAAGATACAAATGATAGCAAGCACTGTATATGTCTGTTAATTTTTCTCATCCTCATATCAAAGCAACCACAGTATCTTGAGGGACTGAGCTTTTCACGGTGGATGATCCAGATGTTGCATTGTTGACTATTTGCGTTCTGTTCATTAGGAAGTTAAAGATCCATCTCCTTACTTTGCTAGTAATACCTTTTGAGGGCACCCTGTTCTGAATCCGTGTTGCCCAGGGTTATGTAGACACTGAGTCCATGTGTTTTGTGATCTTACTTCTCAGCATTCTTTTGACGATTTTTATAATGTGTGATTTTAAACCTATTGTTCTATAAGTTCTTGCATCTGCCTTACTACCTCCTTTATGAAGTGGTGCAATCTTTGCTATTTTAAGTACTGTATATCAGGAATAACACCAATATCTAGGATCTGTTTCCAAAAGATGTTTAGATCCTGTGATAGTGCTTTTTGCAATTATACTGTAGATGAATATAGAATTCCACGAGTCTGAGCCTGGTGCAGAGTGCATGCTGTCTATGGCTACTGCAAAGTCCCGTGGAGTTAGGGTGACATCTGATACATGCTTCGATGCTACTGTCACATTCATAAAGAATTCATTTAGATCATTGATCTTCAATATATTCAGGGGTTCACTGAAAACAGAATTGTACTGTAGCCTCAGTATTTCACTCATTTCTTTGTTGTCATCTGTGAAAGTTCCATCACCCTTGCACAAAGGCTCAATGCATGATGTAATTTTTTTCAAGATTTTGCTCAGGAGAAAAAGAAGTACTGTATTTTGGATTTCGCTCTCTTTCACTTATGGCCTTTTGCTCTCTTTATATCTCAACCATGAAGCAAGATTTAAATAAATTTAGTGTGTTTTAAAACAAAGCAGCAAAATAATGTACAAGAAAAAAAGATTGTCACAAATATAACTGTGTTTAAATGAACACTTATTAGATTTACCTGGAATGGTCTCAATGTCCTCCTAACGGGACATGTGAAGACTACCACGCCCCCTCCACCAGGCGGAAGACCCCGTCGAAGCATCTTCAAACTCAGCCCATCATCTACCACCAAGAACTTTTTCAATACTGGCATCAAGGATGAACGAATCATGTCAACAGATGGATCCAACTGGAAAACGAAGCATTATCTTTTTTTTTTTTTTTTTTTTTTTTTTTGAGATATATACAAGAGTTGTTACATTCTTGTACAGCCACTAGTACGCGTAGCGTTTCGGGCAAGTCCTTAATCCTATGGTCCCTGGAATACGATACCCTGCCGCGAAGAATCGTTTTTTCATCCAAGTACACATTCACGTAACTGTTGCGTTAAACAGAGGCTACAGTTAAGGAATTGCGCCCAGTAAATCCTCCCCGGCCAGGATACGAACCCATGACATAGCGCTCGCGGAACGCCAGGCGAGTGTCTTACCACTACACCACGGAGACTGCATAATATTCTGTCTATCTGATATATTCTGTCACTTATAAACAAAACATATGTTGTCTTTTTCCCTAAAATCATATTACAGTACAATATCCATAATTAGGAAATCAGGAAGTCTCTGAAATCCAAAAATCCAACATTGAATATAATAAAAAGCCCTTTCCTAGCAGTTCCTCAGGGGCTCCCTGAGCTACCGACTTGAAATCTTCTAAACCTTTGATATAACACCACGCTCTAACCAATCTACAAAAATTGGTAAAAGTGTGATCATAGCCATATTAAAAGTTACTAATATTTCCCATGCTCTATGGGAAAATTTCACTAAGAAAATTTGAATTTGAACTTATCATATGATAGACAACTACCAAAAAAATTTTTTCTTTAACCACTATGATGCATTGCGTTTATTATGAAATTCTTCCTGTGTGCAGAAAATCCAGTGTTCGCAAAAAAAAAAAATTCTTTGTAAAATGATAAATTCTCTTCCCTGAACATATACATGTAAAAAAAGGGTTGAGTGTAATGAAACACCATTTTCTGAGCGAGCCCTGGAGACTCTTTGTACCTATCGGGCTAATGTGTGATATATTAGATCGGGGCATTAGTCTAAGGAGTTCGACCTACTGGGGACCATGAGGCAGAACCTGGCCCCCCTCAGAGAAGTTTCAGGGAGCAATGGCCCTGGAAAATCCCCCTTGGGGGTTTTTCCTTATCTGTCATCGACCGGGGTTAGGCAACCCAGAAAGGTAGGCAAAACAAAACAAACCCAACATGGTAAGAAAAGTGAATGAAAAACCGAAATGAGAGGCAGAACTCCTTCCATTCGACTATCAAAATCCCAGCGCCCAAATATCAGCCCAGGACATATTGCCAAACACAGCAGCCAATGCTGCAAATTTCCTAACGTCATGGGCACAAGAATAGACTGCAGGCTGGCTAGACTTAATAACCCTGCGAACGACCTGGGAAACCCGATCCCTGGAACAGGGAATGAGGGAAACTGGATCAACCCAAAGCACATCCCCAGCCACAGAAGCTGAAGTGCGAAGATAACGGCAAAGAGCCGCAACTGGACACAACACATGATGCACACCCGGCTTGACCAAGTATTAATGACCCAAGGACCCCTCTGGAAAGTAGCCGTCTTGTTCTTCACCAGAAAAGAAGGAGAAGGCTGCAACCGAACAAACCGACCACAGGACTGAAAGAGCAGAAATCCCTGCACCGCAGGAGAGCATGTAGCTCACTGACCTGACCCCAGAGGCCAATGCCAACAGAAACAGAGACTGGGAAAAATAATCTTGAACCAAAGGGGGCACCACAAATCAAGTCAAGGAGAGGAGAGATAGGAAAGCACCCTGCAAATTAAATGACTGTCCTGAAAAAGCCAAGACAGAAAGGACAAGACAACCCGATGAGAAATAGAAGAAAACCTACGAAGAGAGAGAAAATGGCTGGAAGAACGCCAGGAGACATTATACTGACACCAAAACAAAGCTCTCAGGTGGAACACCAACGAAGACGCCTGATCACCATACAAATGAGGTGATAAACCCGCATCAAAAAGACCAAACGCAAAGAGGGGAGGAGAAAACCAAACCAGCTGTGTACCGGACAGGTCCGACCTGCTGGAAGAGGTGCAGCCACAGAAAACACCCCGGGTTTGCACACCGAGCAAGCAGAGTCAGGAACCAAGGCTGGGCTGGCCACCAATTGGCAACGAGGACTACTCTCCTGTGGTAGGTCTCCAACCAAACCAGAACCCGAAGCAACAGCTGGACCGGGGGAATTAGAGGGTAGAGGTACAGGTAACCCTCCCTACACCAGTCCTGCTGAAAGGCGTCCACCGCGACAGCCTTGCAGTTGGGGAAGGGCGCCACATTTACCGGGAGACACCGAGACCATGCCAACACAAAGCGGTCCACGTTCAGGAGTCAGTACGCCCGGCAGAGTCAACGGAAGGAGTCGGCATTGATCGTCTATTCTGTGGACATGGGGGAATGAACCAAGACAGGCCGTCCGCCAAGACGTTGGACACTCCCCGGATATGAACCGCATGGAGAGCCAAACCCCGAGAAGCCAGCTGATAAGCCACTTGAAACGACTAGTCCCAAAGAAGCAAAGACCGAAGAGAACCCCCTGCGATTCAGGCAATGAATCACCAGAGAACAGTCCTAATGGATTCGGATGGTCGAACCCCGAGCGACCCAAACCCTCCAAAGTGACAGCCAAACCGCCGCAAACTCCCGCACCGTGCTGCGAGCCCGATGGAAGGACGGATCCCATCACTCCTGGCCGACCTGGTGAACACTGGTCACAAATCCCGAGCCGAGAGAATGCTTCTGTGAAAACATCGAGCCAGGGGCTCGTGTAGGCGTCAAAGCACTGAACCCCAAAAAACCCGAAGAGGAAGCTGGCAACACAGTAAGATGCAATGCTCCTTGAGTACGAGCCCAGCGATCACAAGAGAAGCAGAAGGGGCGTCCCCGATGGACGCCCCGATGGACGCCCCAGAACAGACGCAGAAGCCAAACCCGACCCAGTGGGTAGACCAGCACGGCGAAGTTCAAACTCCCCTACCACTGCTCAAGTAACCGCTGAGTAACCATCACCCCCCCCCCTTCCCCCCGCCAGAAACAGCCAAAAGCAGGACCGCAGCCTCAGCAACGCCTTTGAAGGAAGAGACATGGAAACGGTCCACGAGTCCCAAACAAGACCCAGCCAGGTTCGAACCTGGGACGGAACCAGATGGGACTTCCTCCAGTTCACCAGGAACCCGAACCTGGCGAGCTGGGAAAGAACCACACTCCTGAAAACAAACGGACCGACTGGGAGCCAAGCAGACACACCAGCCAGTCGTCGAGGTAGGCCTCTCCCTGGCCTACCTCGACTTTCCTCCAAGAAAGTTTGATTTAAAGTACAAAATAATTCCTTTAATTTGCATCACATACCTTATTATTTGTGATGCCCTTGAGTGTGATGTTCAATGGAGTCTTGCAAAATGGTGCCAGCATGAAGAGAGGCTCTAAGAAGTATCTGGAAGAATTATAATTAATAATCAGTATTAAATAGCTAAATAGGTTACAAGATGTTTTGACTGAAGCCAATCAAGAGAGGTATCCTCAAACTGTCATATCCAAGGATAAAGGGAAATTACAGCACAGTAGAATGAAATGCTTCTTGCATCTGTTGGTGTCTGCAGACCTGCTTCAGAGTCCAAACCAATGGAGGAACTAAGAAGTAGAGCAAACAGAAGCTGGACAAACTAGTCCATAAAACAGAACTCTGAAGCACACCTTAGGGAAAGGGAACCATATAGTGCTTGGAAGGGATAAGGATTTGGAATGGGACAAGTGGAAGGAATGGTGCCCAACCACTTAGACAGTCCGGGATTGAACACCGACCTGCATGAAGCAAGACCATCGCTCTACCATCCAGTCCCCACTTGGGCACCCCTTAGAGGAAATAAATCTGTAGGAATAACTACTTAGGTTTTGGCACAATACCTAGCCTTGATCAAAGAGGATCCATTGTCCTACCTACCACAATACCAAACTCCTGGACTCCACCTCCTCAAAAAAAAAAAAAAAAAAGTGGGGGGCCTCAGATTGGAAGGAAAGCGGCATTCATTATGGAGACCTCTAAAGACCATTAAAGGGGTGCTTCTAGTAGGCTTATATGGAACTTGGAGGCCTTGTGCCATAACTAGGGAAGCTACCTAGACAGAGAGGGCTCTCTCAGTCTGGTTCATTCTCGCCTCGCAATTGGGAATTCCGGGTTGAAATCCTGGGCAGACAGAAATAGTTGGGCATATTTCCTATCATCTAATGCATCTGTTCACCTAGTAGTAAACAGGCACCCAGGAGTTAAGTCAGCTTCTTCTGAAGGTTACATCCTGGGAATAGTCAGTAATTCAACCCTAGGGAGGACCTCGATATAAGCCTAACATGTATATATACATTGGCTTCCTGTCCCTCACCACAATGAATTATTATTTTATTACTATTTATTAAAGTTATATTTATGACATGAACAGATTAATTATCCAATAATTAAAATGTAAAACAAGAGACTGAACTGCCCACAACATACCCTATTCCGCGCTGGTTTGAACAATTGTGATCCAAACGGCCACCAGCTAATACACCAGGCTTGTATAGCACTGCTGTCCCTGTTTCGTTTACTTCAATGCTGCTGCCATTGCTGATACAATCAAGGAGACGAATAAAGTTAACTTCATGCTCTGGAAAGAATTTAAAATAAGAAGATAAGAGCAAAATACTTCCCTAGTACACCACAATCATGCCATTTTTCAAGCCTTTTAACCTTTAGACAGTGATCGTCATGTGATGATTCCTGGGATGTTGCAGTTATCATCATATGATGATTTAAATAATTATTGACTGGATTTTACACATATGATGCAAATAGGGATATAATAGGTCTATGTGGATGTAATGGAGTTTACCTTGACCCTTGAATAAAATCCTGCTACCATTTCATGGTTATGAATGTGGTTATCAACATGAACGTTACTAGGGGGAATGTGACGATTAAAACAATTATTGTCATGTGACAATTAAAACAATTATTGCCTGGGTTTTACATGTATGATGCAAATATGGATATAATAGGTCTCTGTGGATGTAAATAAAGAAAAACAAGTGATAAAACAGCGAAGAGTATAAATCAGAAACCGGCAGTAAAGTCGAGCACCAGGCGTTGACAAGTACCAGACACAGCCTTGCAGAGCACCTCCACCCAGTGAAATGATAAATATTCACTTACTTTCATGTTTTTTTAACATTTTGCATAGAAATTAATAATTCTATAATGACAAATTATTTTTTTTTATTTTTATATTATTTCCATATTTTTGCACATAGGCAATTTGACTATTTTTTCATACTCGTTGTCCAAGGGTTAAAATTTTGTTGCAGCTAATAAAATGCAACACTGATCACTAAACACTGATCATTTGTATGCGGAAAAACCACAAAGAAATGGGGAAGAGAGATGAACGTTTCGGCCTGTTAAAGCCGTTGTCAACACCAGACAGTCTGGTGTTGACAACGGCTTTAACAGGCCGAAACGTTCATCTCTCTTCCCCATTTCTTTGTGATTTTTCCGCATATATATATATATATATATATATATATATATATATATATATATATATATATATATATATATATAAATAGGGTAAGCACTTAATACTAAATGAGAAGTAAGCTATGTTCAGGAAATGTAACAAATGATATACAGTATAAAGGTGATACTTTATAATGACAGGCATAGACTACTACATTATAGAATTTGTAGCTTTAGCAACCATACAGAGGTAGTTTAAACATTATTAATAACAGCAAGATATACAAAGGATCATTTTAGTAAAGTCATTAGAACGATAGTGTTTCAGGCACTACAGAATAAACCAGCCTGGGTAAAAATATTCAAAGATGATAACCAAAGCATCTGACAATTGTCGTCTTTAGGTATCTGTATACACTTTAGATTTATCATTTTATATACAAGAAGGTACATTGGGGGTTAACAGAAAACATAGAAATTAAGTTGATTTTACATCTTGTAAAGCCACTAGCACGTGTAGCGTTTCGGGCTAGATATCTGTATACTGTACATTTTAGGTATCTGTATACACTTTAGGTACCTGTATACACTTTAGGTATCTGTATACACCTTAGGTACCTGTATACACTTTAGGTATCTGTATACACCTTAGGTATCTGTATACACTTTAGGTATCTGTATACACTTTAGGTATCTGTATACACTTTAGGTATCTGTATACACTTTAGGTACCTGTATACACTTTAGGTATCTGCATAGACTAAGCCAGTATGACTATACGTTTTGGAAGGGAGTTATAAGGAGAACGCGCTTGGCTAGTACGAGTATAGAGCACTATACCTGCAAGCCCAGGGTCCTCAGATGCAGCTCTAATGTTTCTGATTCTGACGGCCTTCCCACTTAATGTTGCTAGAATCAACCTCTGACGAAAGAAATTACTGCCTTCGTATGTTAAAATCCCTCCCAACTCCATTGTAGTCGGTGCTAGTATCAGTAGCGAGGGTAGAGACAGGGAGTAGCAACACGTGGAGGCGACGCTGCTTCACAACACTCAAATGTAAACAATGATACGTCATTGATGACGTCACGTCAGTCATGAACGACTGGACGAACGCGCGATTCTTGCGGATTCATTTCTTGTAGCTTATTTATAATTTGTGTATCTAATTGTTCATTTAATTCATTGTTTAATTATTGATTTAATTATGAATTTAATATTAATTTAAATATTTATTGATTATTTATTCATTTAAAGGAATTTATATATTCGTTGATTATTTATTCATTTAAAGGAATTTATATATTAATTGATTTATTAATGTATAAATTTATTTATGTTCTCTAACAATGAACCTTGCGATGATTTCGAGGTAACATATAATTCATAGATTTGCGACAATGTGCCATTTAATCTATAAAGAAGAATGTTTGTGTGAAATTGAACACGTTGAGGTGTTTGGGCTAGCTTCTTTTAACGTGGATATCGATATCTATAGCAGATGGCTGTAGGTTGATTTATTGATTTATTTATTTATTTATGTATTTATTTATTTATTTATTTATTTATTTATATACAAGAAGGTACATTGGGATTGTGAGGATACATAGCATAGTAATTACATTCTTGTAAAGCCACTTAGTACGCGCAGCGTTTCGGGCAGGAACATTCCAACTGTGAACTATGTGAACGAGAGCTGGGACATACTCTCCAACACTATACCTGTGATTGTCCCTGTTATCAGTGACTTCAGACCAAATGGTATGAGGTACTTTGAGCTCTGTAATTACTTCATACACTCAGGAATATAGGAAGATATTCTTGTGGTGTACCCAGAGTTTGCTAGTGGAGGCTAATAGATCAGCAGCCTCGTATGTCATGTTCTCTCCTGACTCAATGTGTGACTATCCTGAGAGATGGGGATATTAGATGAACTTATAGCTAGGTTCTGATCTACACTTTGTTATCTTTTATATCGAATAGGATAGCAGCACATTGCTGTGCATACCTAAGCTTGTTAATAAAGCAAAATTTAACGTTACGTGATTAATGTGTTTTTTATTAACATGCTTAGTTATACATTATAGTATATGAAAGATTAAAATACCTAGCTACAAGTTCATCTAATATCCCCATCTCACAGGATGGGTATACCAGGAATCAGGAGAGAACATGAAAAGCAAAGTTGATTTACTAGCCTACACTAGCGAAATCTGAGTAGAACACAAGAATATCTTTCATTTTACTGAGAGTGTCACTAGATGGCTTGGAGTCGTCCCAGTGCCCCCCATAAAAGGGGGCACGGCCCCAATTATGCCCCCTCCTTCACGAAGTCTGTGGATCTGATCTGTTCAGCACCGAGTCCATGTACTTCAGCTTTTGTTTAAATAATAGTGAACTAAGATATGGAGTTTCAAAACATACGTTCAGTTGACTGATTTGCCTTCTGGCTGTAACCTTTTGGTTAGATTGAAGTATAAAGGGAGTGTGTGGGCAGGGAGAGAGAAGGTGAGGGAAGGACATGTGTGGGGCAGGGAAGAGATAGGGAAAGGGTGTGTGCATGAGGGGCAGGGACGTACGAAGGGAATGGGGAAGGGTAGGGACGGAGGAAATGGGGGGAATGACGTATGTTTAGAGGAGATGGGGAGTGTAGGTAGGAGGAAATGGGGAGCTTATAGGGGGGAAGGGATATGGGGACGGTGTGTTGAGGGGACATGGAGAGGATGTGATGGGGGGCATGAGAAGAATGTGTGGGTGGGAGATGGGGAAGGAGGGAGTGAGGGGGGAGGGGAATGTAGATGGTGTGAAGATGTTAACTGAAATGAAGACATTAATTATCGAAGACTGTTATAGTGGTTGGATGAGAGGGAAAGGTGTGTGTGTGTGTGTGTGGAGAGCAACCCGTTCTCGCACTTTCTTTCCATGTAGGACGGGCTATGGCGAGCCCGTAAGATGAGAAAAGGAGTTGAAGGCAACCAATAGGCAAGAGAGAGTTGAGGAGCAAGGCAAAAGGTAAGCAAGGTAAGGTGTAGTAGTAACAGGAAAAAGAACAAAGGTTTATTAAAACATGTATAAAGCATCGACATGCGCATACATATGCGAGTGTTCCACGGCGCTCAACTATGGGCAGCCATGTATATTGAAATACACGTGAAGAACCCTAGAAATATCCTCCAGGTCGATGGCCAAAAGAGAGCACGTTTATACCTTAGCGACCCAACAACCCACACCATTTTAGCAATTTAACAGTCTCCGTGGTGTAGTGGTAAGACACTCGCCTGGCGTTCCGCGAGCGCTATGTCATGGGTTCGTATCCTGGCCGGGGAGGATTTACTGGGCGCAAATCCTTAACTGTAGCCTCTGTTTAACTCAACAGTAAAATGTGTACTTGGTTGTAACAACGATTCTTCGCGGCAGGGGATCGTATTCCAGGGACCTGCGCGAAACCCTACGCGTACTAGTGGCTCTACAAGATTGTAACAACTCTTCTATATATCTCAAAAAACAAAAAAACAAAAACTGAGAGCCCGCCTGGTATAATTTCTGCCAGAAACGCTATGGTGCTATAGTGGCTTTACAAGAACGTAAACATATTTAATGCTATGACTCTCATAAACCTTCTTGTATATAACACGATGTACTGAACGGGGTGAGAATAGCTTGAGCTACCTCATCCCTTTGTGTGTATTTTACCTCAATAAACTTATTTCAATTTCAATTTCAATTTCAATTTTTGTATATAAATAAATAAATCATAACTCATACTGTACTCCACATTTTCTACAACTTTTCCCCTATCTATAAAAAAATCATATTTACTCCCAATAAACAAAAAATACCCACTCGACATTGCTAACTCGCTACTAGATTAGATTAGATTAAATATTTTATTAGATTAGATTAAATATTTTATTCATAACAAGTTGATATGAATTATCACAATTATATACTTCCATAATCTTTCCCACAACCCCCTACCACGGGGGAGAAGGGGGTAAACTAAAATATATATACTGGTTTAATATTATAACTAAATTGCCATGTAAGTTATAAACAAAATGTATATTAATCACTCAATATCTCTACCCTCACCGTGCTCAAGGTGGAAGTTGCCAGTGGCAGCCGCAAGCATGGCAACCGGTTGGTACTGAGGGCCCCCTGCACTGCCAGCTGGCACCTGACACACTGCCAGTCATCAATACTTAGTCAATACTCATCAATATTCGCAATCGACTTGAGAATGGCCCAGGACGGACCGAAACGTCCTCGTCGCTTCACTTTCTAGTGTGTGGTCTGGTCAACATATTTCAACCACGTTAAATGAACAAATCCACAAGGGCCGTGACGAGGATTCGAACCTGCGTCCGCCACGTTATTGTGACTCCTCGTCTGCGGTTGAGGCTCTCAAATGGGTGTTCAACTTTACAAACAGAGATGCTAGCCATTCAAAAGGCTTTGGAACATGCTCTTGCTGAACACCGACAACATGTTATCATACATACAGATTCGAGAACTGCCATTGAAGCCTTGCAACAAGAACACATACATGACAACATCCATCTGATCACAAATTTCATATCATTAATGCAAACACTGAAAGGTCAAGGCCGTCGGGTACTTATCAACTGGGTGCCAAGTCATGTGGGAATAATAGGAAATGACATTGCAGACGAAGCTGCAAAACTTGCAATTAAGAGAAGAAATGTAGACATTTACATACCACAGAGTCTATCACAGATTAAGAAAGTAATAGGAAACAGAGCACTGCAAATGATGTACAGTGACCACAACACAGCAGTTGCAACATCAGGATCTGCGGGTTGGTACAAGAATTCTACCAATTACGAACCACTTAGTTTGATGAAAGGGAACAGTAGAGCAACAGAAGTACACTTACATCGCATCAGTCTTGGATACCCATGTGCATGGGAAATAGGCTTACAGGTTCCGGAAGATGAGAGGAAATGTCAACACTGTGGAGAAATGCCCGACAGACCACTGGAACATTATCTAACACAGTGCACAGTTACAACCACAACAGACCACTGGAACATTATCTAACACAGTGCACAGTTACAAACCCATTAAGATTTCAACTTAGATTCAACAGAGCAGAAGAAGTTGTTAAACACATGGGACAAAATCTTACTGAAGCGACCATACGAGTAATAAATACTCATACTCCGCCCAAGTAAAACAGAAACAAGCAACACTTAGTGGGCCAGCCAGAGGCTTAGGGCCCGCCCAGTGGGCCAGCCAGAGGCTTAGGGCCCGCCCAGTGGGCCAGCCAGAGGCTTAGGGCCCGCCCAGTGGTCCAGCCAGAGGCTTAGGGCCCGCCCAGTGGGCCAGCCAGAGGCTTAGGGGCCCGCCCAGTGGGCCAGCCAGAGGACCTAATCAAGTCGGGACAAAAGGATCAAAGACGGACTGAAACGTTATCAATTTCATTTAATATAAATACTAGTGTTTTCTACCCTCTGAGTGTCAGTAAGATAACGAGTTGACATTCTCCGATGTTGTGAAATCTACTGGAGTGGTCCACAGCTGTTCCCAGGCACAGCTGCGGGGCTGTAGTTAACACCACACCTGCATCACATGTTAACTACAGGTGTTAACTACACCTGTAGTTAACACATCTGCCCCACCAAAATGCAGCGTCTCCAAACTTGATACATTAATTGTAAGTGACTCCTTATCATCCTTAAATGCTCTCAACTCTTTAAGACATAACTGTAACATGCTCGTGTCCGAAGCTAGACACAAATACAACAAAATTGTTAAGGGTGGTAACAGAGTCCATTTCATGTGGTCTCCATCTCATGTTGGCCTCCATGTTCTAAGTCTCTGTATTTATTAGTTTTCTGGGTCTCCCGGAAGGTGGCCGCCCCGTCTTCCTCAGCTGTACTGGGGGTAGATAGGTATCAGCCAATGTAGACCCACATGTGTAGTCCCACACGACCTCTCTAACTTTCCTCCATGGCTGCAGGGAGGCGTTTGTGACTGTTTTTGTACTTGATAAGGTTAAAAAAAAACTATTTTTTCATTGAAATTTTTAATCTGATAGCAGCACTAAATATGATTTAATTTTGTGTGGGATTATTTTATAACTTTCTTCCCATTATCTCTCTCTCTCTCTCTCTCTCTCTCTCTCTCTCTCTCTCTCTCTCTCTCTCTCTCTCTCTCTCTCTCTCTCTCTCTCTCTCTCTCTCTCTCTCTCTGTCTGTCTGTCTGTCTCTCTCTCTCTGTCTGTCTGTCTGTCTCTCTCTCTCTCTCTCTCTCTCTCTCTCTCTCTCTCTCTCTCTCTCTCTCTCTCTCTCTCTCTCTCTCTCTCTCTCTCTCTCTCTCTCTCTCTCAGTGGGCAAAAGTTTCACAAGTAACATTGAATCAAAAACACATCTTGTATCCAAACATGGAGACCTCATCTACAGAAAGACATATCTGCATTGGAGAAAGTTCAATGGCGGCCAACTAAAATCATTCCTGAATTCAATTGACTCCCATACCATGAATATGGTATGCCCTATGCCCTCTGCCCATACAGAGGGCATATCTGTGGCCCTCTGTGGTTGAGGGCCACAGAGCTAATAACACTACAAACCAGACATGACAGGGCTGAGTTTATCGAGACTTATTTATTTTTATATGTATACAAGAAGGTAAATTGAGTCTATGAGAGTACATAACATTGAAGTTTTTACATTCTTGTAAAGCCACGCGAAGCGTTTCGGGCAAGTCCTTAATCTAATAGATAATTTTATGTAGGTAATTTGTAGCAAAATTGAAAAAGTTAACAGGTATATTGTAAGACAATTTGAAGAAAATTAGTTGGTACATTATAGTAAAATTTGAGGATTATCAACAGGTACATTGTAGCATAATTTCAGGATTATCAACAGGTACAGTGTAGCATAATTTGAGGATTATCAACAGGTACATTGTAGCATAATTTGAGGATTATTTCTATGTATATTGCAGTAAAATTTGCGTTCACATGGCAACCATGGTATAAGACATTACAACGGTGAAGTTATATGGCTTAGGCACATATTTTGGGGGTAGCACACGATACAGTGCGAGTGTGAAGCTCTGGGTAGAAAATTATTAGGATGAAATTAGCTACTTTTTGGGTTTTCTTTTGAAGGCGTAGGTTGAACAGCTTTTTAATTCGTTTTGGAGTGAGATCCATAGACTAGGAGTCAGATTCACGAAGCAGTTACGCAAGCACTTACGAACGTGTACATCTTTCCTCAATCTTTGACGGCTTGGGTTACATTTATTAAACAGTTTACAAGCATGACAACTTGCCAATCAACTGTTGTTATTGTTATAAACAGCCTCCTGGTGCTTCGGAGCTCATTAACTGTTTAATAATTGTAAACAAAGCCGCCAAAGATTAAAAAAAGATCTACAGGTTCATAAGTGCTTGGGTAACTGCTTCGTGAATCTGGCCCTAGGTCCCTTTATTTGCATAGAGTGTTTACACAGATTAAGTTTGACTCTGGGGGATATCAAAGATATATTTATTTCTGGTGTGGTACAGTAGAGTAGCAACTGGTACTCTGAGAGAGAACTTTATCAACATCAGAGGTCCGAGACTGTTCAACACGCTTCCACTACACATAAGGGACATAACTGGCCGACCCCTCACAGTGATCAAGAGAGAACTATCAACATCAGAGGCCCGAGACTGTTCAACACGCTTCCACTACACATAAGGGACATAACTGGCCAACCCCTCACAGTGTTCAAGAGAGAACTATCAACATCAGAGGCCCGAGACTGTTCAACACGCTTCCACTACACATAAGGGGCATAACTGGCCGACCCCTCACAGTGTTCAAGAGAGAACTTTATCAACATCAGAGGCCCGAGACTGTTCAACACGCTTCCACTACACATAAGGGACATAACTGGCCAACCCCTCACAGTGTTCAAGAGAGAACTTTATCAACATCAGAGGCCCGAGACTGTTCAACACGCTTCCACTACACATAAGGGGCATAACTGGCCGACCCCTAAGCCCCGGAAGCACCTCAAGGTAACCTCAAGGTGGTGCTTATGGGTTCTGTTACATCTGTCAATGAAGCGTTTCAGATCAGGATTTGCAGTTCAGTACTTTTAAAATACAATTTGGAGGATATTGACCCGGGTCACTTCTTTAAAAGGTCAGATGTAACATAAACGGAGCAACTGTTTCAAGCTTAAAAAAGGCTACAATGCAGAATGGAACAAATTAGATGCGTTTTTCATCAATAGTTATAAATCCTTAGAACCGCCTACCCGGCATTACTAAAATGTAAGCACTAAAAGGCACTTTAGTACGACTATTTGTTGACGTTAGGAACGTCGCTCGCGAGAACGGGCTGCGATAACAGCCATGAAATTGGGTTTAACACTCTTTGGATAATCAAACCCACATTTTCATATGTCATTGTAGTTGCTGGGATTACATTCATACAATTACAAATCACCCTGCAAAGTTTGATGAGGCTAGTTCTGGGACCCCACCTCGAAGAATTATACATTCTCTCATATAGATATAAATAGGTAAATCAGGTAAATGCCAAGACATTACTGCAGTTCAAAATCCACTTGGGAACAATGGGGAGGGGGACGCTTGACAAGCCGGCGGCTTCTTATCCCCGTCGAGGCGAATATAGAAAGGCATTGGCCCCTCGGGCTAAAATGTTGGTACATATCATAGTTCTTCATACTATGGTGCTTTTTTGTCTTCGTGTCAGTGTTTGCTAAGTCAGCTCAATCGTTTCCTGAAATAGACGTGTAGTTTTGACAACATAGATTGAAATACTTATATTGGTCTATTCAATTTCTGGTTTATTATATATGATATAAGTATTGCAAGAAAGTCGCACAGCGTGTCGACTTCCTTCGAGATAACCTGTACATGATATGCAAGAAATGATTGCGCTCCACTTAAATGTTTCAGTTAATGTACGGCAGTTTCTAAACTTTTCGTTAACTGAAAATCAATTTTATATCGTACTAGAAAAGATATATTATAATATAACTAGACAAAATAATATATACACACATATAAATCACAGCGCAGCAATATTGATAAAACAAATGTCACGAGTCACATGTTTCCACGCGTGCGCTTTGAAATTTCTGAATAATTTTCAATAGCAGTTGTCTCATCAAGGAGAAGCACTTAATGATTGAAATGTTATCGTAGTAAGATAAGGAGATAGGCGGAGCCAATGGGCGTGGAGGAGAGTGCCCAGCCCCCGCGGGGGACCAATGGCAGCTCGGGGCATCTGACACGTGTGTCAAACCCACACTCTTCACAGAGTATAACTTTCGCGACTCTTCCTTATCTCCTCCTACACCCCCAACTATATCATCTCATCATCTCATACTTGTCAATTATTACATTTTAATATATAGTATTTTATTTTAAAGTGTACGCACTTTCAGTGACTTACTAAATTAATACGATCGTTGAAATTGCTAGACACCAAAATCAGATCTAAACACACAGGAGTGTGAGAGGTGATGGCGGCCCGGGCCGGCCGCGGGTCACTCTGGTATTCACGAGCCGCTGATAAGTCCCCCACCACAGCTGCTCTGCACCTGATATATCCGGTATAAGGTCAAGGTCTGGTCCAAGTATCCATAGTCATTAAGAGTTAATAAGCCAGGCAGGCGAGATAGAGAGAGGTTACATACCTGCAGCAGCCAGCACTTGTGTGGGGCCCACAGCTGCAGTGTTCAGGTATGGCTTGACTATATGTGTTCTCCTGTGTTCTTCTGTGTCTCCTGTGTTCTCTACACAGCTCTCGGCTTGCTGATGGTCTCGCCTGTAAGGCTGTTTTAAGGGTATTAATAATTATTGTTGACTTATGAGACGTCTGTGAGAAGTAATAGTTTTCTTTAGGGTAAGTCCGCCCACCTGTCTTATTTGGGCCGAGACTTTATTTATTTATTTATTTATTTATTTATTTATTCATATGCAAGAAGGTACATTGGGTTTGAGAGAATATATGGCATAGTATTTACAATCTTGTAAAGCCACTAGTACGCGCAGCGTTTCGGGCAGGTCCTATCTATCTATACATATGGAGCTACTTTACACCCGTGTTCTGTATGTTGGCATTAAGAACATGTTTTATTAATAAACTATTAATGTTGTGTGTGTTTTGTTTGTATAGGCTGAGCAGACTTTGAAACCTGACCCCTTGTAGAATGGCAGTAGAGATATCGACATTAAGTTAATGCCGATATCCACTCTGCGTTGCTGTCCAATGATGGTAACACAATAACCTTTATATATTTTTTGTTCCTGGTTAGTATTTTCTGAATGCTTATGCTTCCAAAATATAGAACATGGCCAGCATTGCCCTCAAACTACGTGACTACATACTCTTTAACAGCTTGATACATTCTTTTGGTAATTACTTAATCCCCTCAAACTTGGCTCTGACTTTTTTCTTAAGACAGCTTAGGGAAGAGGTCTTGAAGATACCTGAACACTGCAAACTTTCGAAACAATGTGTCACACCTCAAGATAGGAGCTGGCAGCCTTCAAGACATTTTTCCTAGGCTGAGGGAAAGGTTAAACCAAAGTTTGATGGGGGATAATAGCCATTCTCTCTTCCTTGCTCCATAATCAATCACAAAATAATGCATACAACCCAAGACATTTTTGTTTATTATTTTCATAATAGTTTATTACCTATATCCACTCTGCCATTCCAATTCTAGTGAATTAACACTGTGTAAACTTGTAGAAGGAATGTAGTTTCAAACTCAGGTCGGTCTGTACAGGCAAAACATGTCTAACATTAAGGTGATTATTAATTTAATAGTTTTTGATTGGGCAGCAGAAAATCGCACATTTAAGTGATAAATTTCAGGTACTGTACTTTGGTATGGTAAAAATGAAGACCTTGAACAAAATACAGGATACAAGACAAAAAGGTGTTCCGCAAGTGCTTTGGCCTGGGTTCGTATCCTGTCCGGGGGAGGATTTACTAGGCACTAATCCTTAACTGTAGCTTCTGTTCACCCAGCAGTGAATAGGTACCTGGTTGTTGAATGATTTGGCAGGACGTATTCCGGGGAATATTAGGATTAAGGACCTGCCCGAAACACTCTGCGTACTAGTGGCTGTACAAGAATGTAAGAACTCTTGTATATATAAATAAATAAAATAAATAAAATACAAGAAATATAAAATTTCCCTCTACTGTAGTAGGAAATCTTGAGTAAAGTGTCTGGGAATAATGATGTCTGATGACCTAACTTTTAGGGAGCATAACCAGGTAAATATAGCATCGGCTAAAAAATATGATATGATAGATTAAGAGAAACCTTCAAATTGGGGATCCCATCAGCGTTTATACTATTCAGATTACTAGTGCTGTCCCTGTCTTTATACTCTCTTCCCTTCAAAGCAAGTGAATTTCTGAAATAGAGGAATATGGAGAACATATACAGCACACACAAACACAATGAAGCACCTAGACTATTGTGTTCGTCTCAAAGCTCTCAAATTAAACTCTGAAGGGCCAGGTCCCACATTTGCACAGTAAAATAAAAACAACCAGAATGAACGATATGGAAGGAAATGCAGAATAGTCAGTAAAGTGTAGAGGTACCATAGGCACAATTGAAGAATGTGGTGCAAACATTAGAGGTCCACAGTTATTTAATATCCTCCCAGCAAGTATAAGAAATATTTCCATAAATAAAGTGGAATTCAAGAAAAAACTTGATTGTTTTCTGTAAGTGCTAGAGCAACTGGGCTATAGTGGATATGTGGGCTACTACAAGCAGCAGCCTGTTGAACTGGGCTCTCCCAAGTTAAGCCTGGCCCCGGGCGGGGCTTGGGGAGCAGAACAACTGAACCCATCCAGGTACAATCCAGATGCAACACAAGCATCAGACATTAACAAGCCATTTCATACATTATATCTGACTACTCTGTAAAAGTGTGCTTGACAAAAAGTCTTGTACTCTTTTTTTTTACCTGAATTTACCCAGGGGCCACCTCACTAGTGGCCTCCAGGACAGGAAGCCAATATCTTGTCAAAGGCCCCTTCCCCCCCCCCCCCCTCCTTTTATCCTAATGATATCCAGCTGGATTTTTAATTTCAGCAGTGTTTTGACATTTATGGCTTTGGCAGGTACAATTTGATGGGTTTATAACCCTATAGGTGAAAGGGCATCTCATGTCTTGTGCTACAATGTGGCTTGTTGAGCTTGAAACCATTGCTCCTTTGTGTTACATTTGACCTTTTAAAGAAGTGGTCTGGATAAACCCAAAGGGGGTTATGCACTAGATACGATTAGCAATATTGTACTGGTTGGCTGGTGCTAGATGATGCTTTCGGAATCCACCTAATGGAGGAATTCCATTGCCAGTGGATTTGGCATAAAGTTTTAAGTGTCTAGTTTTGAATCAACATCACAAGGTCATATAGCATTGTAACGAGGAAGAGTTAAATAGCCTAGTGGTAGGTTATCTTGAGATGATTTCGGGGCTTTAGTGTCCCCGCGGCCTGGTCCTCGACAAGGCTTCCACCCCCAGGAAGCAGCCCGTGACAGCTGACTAACACCCAGGTACCTATTTTACTGCTAGGTAACAGGGGCATAGGGTGAAAGAAACTCTGCCCATTGTTTCGAACCTGGGATCACAGGATCACAAGTACAGCATGCTGTCCGCTCGGCCGACCGGTTCCCAATAAGTAAACATTACGCAGTAGCAGTAAACATTAAGTTTGTTTACCCTATCTATTAGATTAAAGCAGTGGGGAGTAATAAAAGTTATTGCCAATGGAAACCTAATAATTCCAACTTTAAGGCTGGATTTGGCAAAGAATATGAACACAAGACTAGTTAAATTAAAATGCAACGGTTACAACAAGGCTGGTAAGTGAGGCAGAGTTAAACCTCGCTTCCCTGTAATCATTAATAGGCAAGTAACATGTGGGGAATATAGGCATCCTAAGTTCCCAGGAAATATAGCAGGCATATATAATAGTAATTTTGAAGTACTAGGAGCTCTTCATCCCGGTAAGTACATGCATATGTGATTAACTCAATTTGCTTCCAATACTGTACAGTATTTACATGAATATAACCGAATTAATTGACAATTCTTGATTTTCAGCAAAAAATAATTAAAGTTGAAAACTTGGATAATAATGGTACAGTAATTATCATAACTGTCACAATAGCTTAGGCTTTAGGAGTTGGATTATTTAATAAATAGTAATAATTAGTAATGGATGATTAATGATTTATATCGATAAATAATAATTTTTCAGTATTAGGACAATTTCAGAACTCTTCTTTAGCCAGAAAATGAGCTGAAATATATTAGGTAGATTTTTCAATTGAACAGCACAAAGTTCATTCAGAAATTTGAATTATGTACTGTATTCCATTTTTGTGCTGTACTGAAATGAGAAATTTTTAAATTGAAAAATATTTTCTTGTACAGTATATAGTTAAATGCATATGTTAACCATGTAATATAATTATTTTCCTACAGAATATTCAACAGTGGGTAAAAAAGTACAGTACTGAAGCTCGATGACGGATAATCGTGTTTACCGAACTCGAACCCTCGGTATCCCAGCTGAGGGTTTGAAGGACCAGTATGCAGATGGCATTGCTGCTAAACTTTGGGAGCTGTATATTGGCGACAAGAACAAGAGAACGGACGTTTACCGTAATTTCATCATTAATCTTCTAAAAGAAAAGAAATCTCATAATATCCTGGATGTTGCCTGTGGCACTGGGTAAGATATTTGTTTATATGAAGATTTTGTTCTTGATAAGCATGAATTTAAATATTTAACACTAGAAAATGCATGTTAATTTGTAATTGTATCTTTGCCAAACATTGCATAACTGCAGAAATATTTCCACAAGGTTATGAATTTTTAAATTTATTTAATCTGCATCCATATTGTTTAGATGATTAAAGGCACACTTTAAATATGCACCAAGCTACAAGAATGAGGGTTTTTATATACCTGTATAGTTGGGAATGTAACTGAAAATGGCAGCCAGAAATCAATAAAGGGCGTGAGGGTTATGCTGCATCACTTTTCCACTGGTTATCTTGAGGTTATCTTGAGATGATTTCAGGGCTTTTAGTGTCCCCGCGGCCCGGTCCTCGACCAGGCCTCCACCCCCAGGTAGCAGCCCGTGACAGCTGACTAACACCCAGGTACCTATTTACTGGTAGGTAACAGGGGCATAGGGTGAAAGAAACTCTGCCCATTGTTTCTCGCCGGCGCCTGGGATCGAACCTAGGACCACAGGATCACAAGTCCCGCGTGCTGTCTGCTCGGCCGACCGGCTTCCCCCGGCGGGTTGCAACATCGTGCCTTCCTCTGCTCTTGTTGACTCTGACTCTGCTTTTTGAAGTTTTCTTACATGAAAGGCATGGTTGTATGAATCTAATGGCCATCACTTTGGAATGCCTCAGTGAGGGCAAGATTGATTTGATTGATTTTCCCCCCAGTGTGTGCAGCTTTCTGGTGAACTGGAGTCTTGCTAGAGTTGCTGACTTGTTTATTGCTTATAATGTGGTACCGAGACTGAGGGCTTGTGCATTTCAGTAGCAGTACTTATGGTCTTGTGTTAGGTGGCATGGAGTTTGCACTGCCACACCTGTTTTGAAGAGAACATAGTCATTCACTTTGTGTACCACTCCCTGTGTCCAACTTCTCAGCCCTGTGTCCAACTTCTCAGCCCTGTGTCCAACTTCTCAGCCCTGTGTCCAACTTCTCAGCCCTGTGTCCAACTTCTCAGCCCTGTGTCCAACTTCTCAGCTCCAGGGCTCTGCCCTGGAGCTTTCAAGGCAGGCTGCTGAGGAAGGGTGATAAAGCTTAATTATGCCCTTGGATGACCTTTGCTTCCTCTTGGTATTTTGTGACTTTGGAGATTTCTTAACATCCTGATGGGTATGAGTTAGATATATCTGCAGCTTCTCCCAGGGTCCGTTTCAATGTACCATTCAATCCGGTTGATTCGTCTTAACATGAGTTTCCTCTTCCCGAATTTTCCCCTACCTTCAGTCCGTCATGAGGATCTTTTGCATTACTTCCTGCGGAATTTGGGCCTTGCTTCTATGATGGACCCTGCTATCTTTGAGTTCAGTTTGGCATTGCCATTTTGGCTGTTAAGATTTCTGACTCATCCTGGCTGGCTGTGACAACCGCCTTTCTCCCCCCTCCCCCTGTTTCCTTTGAAGGGTGGTGCTTCGCAGAGGTTGTTGTTTTCGTACACTAGAGTGGCATCAGATGTTGAACGTTCTTAGTGTTCTTGGGTGCCTCTCCTTTTTCTCCACTCATGGACTGATCATTTGCTCATTCTCTCGCCAAGGATGTAGGTAAGTGGCAGCTCCATATTTAGCTGCCTGTGCTATCTGCAGCCCCTATCATAGGATCACATGGTGCATACGCATTTGATGATTTTTGCATTTTTTTGGAGCTCTTGTGGAGCTTTTTGCTGATAAGCTCTGTGAAGACATGGATTCACCTGGCTTGTTTCTGGGTGTGGAGGCCTTGATGCCAGCAGTGCCAACTGCAGCGGCTATCCCAAAGATGCTTGCACCCACCCTTCGGGAGGTGGTGGCAGCATTTTACGCAGTTTGCCTCGCGTGTCGGCAGGCCGTCCAGTCCAAGCCTTGGATTCGGCATGGGCCTTTGCCCATTTTGTCTGCCTCCGCTTAATTGTCCCTTTCCTGAGGATAATGTACAGTTTCTTTCGACAGCAGCTACTTCTTGCCATTCAATTTCTCAGCTTTTGGCCGAGAAATTCTTGACAGCAGTCTGGTAGTGCTGGGGCTCTGCCTATTTGCCTGCTACCCAGTTGGGATAGGCCCTTTGGGGTGTCAGACTCAAGCTGCCCAAAACGCTTTGCGTAATAGTGGCTTTAGGCATTGTATGTACTAGCTCTATCTATTAATCCAACAAACTTTGTAAAATATCTTGTATGTATGTACCTTACCTAAATAAACATTTATTTATTTATTTATAAGCCATTGTGCTTCCTATGGGCAGCTGCTTTTCCACTCATTGGCAGTGTTCTTTAACCTTATGGAAGGATGGTGCCTCTCATGGCTGGTGCCTGCCCTTTCGTGGTTCGTCTTTTGACAACGCTGTGGGAGATAGTTTCGCTCGCTTTACCAGCTCCTGGTACCTTGATTCATGGAAATTACAAGCAGTTTCCATCGGCCAGCACTGACATATAAAGCTTTTTTAAACTACTGATGGTTTTGGCCTCCCAGTCTCGGTCAACTTGTTCAAAACCATCTACCACTCTGTTTGCGAAAGTAAATTTTCTTATTTCTTCGGCAGCTTTAAGTTTAAATCTATGACCCCTTGTTCTTGAAGTTCCAGGTCTCGGGAATTCTTCCCTATCAATTTTATCGATTCCCGTTATTATTTTGTATGTAGTGATCATATTGCCTCTTTTTCTTCTATCTTGTAGTTTTGGCATGTTTAATGCCTCTAACCTCTCCTCATAGCTCTTGTCCTTCAGTTCTGGAACCCATTTAGTTGCATGTCTTTGCACCTTTTCAATTTTGTTGATGTGCTTCTTAAACTATGGGCACCATACAACTGCTGCATATTCCAACTTTGGTCTAACAAAGGTTGTGAACAATTTCTTTAGTATTTTACTACCTATGTATTGAAAAGAAATTCTGAAATTGGAAAGTGTAGCATAGGCCACCCAAGATCCATCTTGAACATTTCCTTCATTCACAATTAAGCTTGCCAAGATCAGTATTTTGAAGGTCTGATAGTTCACATCCATACAAGTTTAGACAATGGGTTTTAAATAATTTTGACCAGGAATAAAGATGACTAAATTCACTCCTAATGACATTTGTGTTAACTTGTGGGGGTCTAATAGCATCAGAAAAATTGACAAGTGGGCCTTTGAAGAGATAATATGCCTCGGATGCTTCTCGGAATACTGTACAGGCACATCTCTGCCTAATAATTTTAATTTGAGATCGATACAGAACAATCCTGTTAAAGGGAATTGCAGCACATTTGGCAGGATTAAAATACCTGTAGTTATATTCTGCATTATATATTTCACATATCCCTATCAAGGTTTTCCATAGCATCTGTGGTCGGTGTGAGTAGACATGGAACATTGGCCTTAATACTGCCTATGTGACAGCCGGCTCTACTGGCTCTTAATTCTTTCAACAATATATACAGATAGTAAATAGAACTAAATACAACACCATGTTTAATACCATTTTTTAGTTAGAAATGTTTAGAGGGGGCATTACTCCAATTCACAGCTAATTTGCATACCAAATAGTGTATAGGTATCTAGCAGTGACAGGACACACTTTTTTGTTAAGCAGTTCTCTAAACAGTATGGCATGTTCAATTTTGTCAAAAGCTCTGCAAGCATCTAGAAACAATGCATCAAGTTTCAAAATCATATATGATAAAATGTATTGAATTAGCAGGCAATGTGTCACACTAACGTGGCTAAAGTAAGTTGACCAGACCACACACTAGAAGGTGAAGGGACGACGACGTTTCGGTCTGTCCTGGACCATTCTCAAGTCGACTTCACAATCGACTTGAGAATGGTCCAGGACGGACCGAAACGTCATCGTCCCTTCACCTTCTAGTGTGTGGTCTGGTCAATGTATTGAATCAGGACACAAGCATAGCTTGCTTCTTGTGCAGTAGCTACAAATGGGTAATGACAATTATTGTAAGCAATTAAATGTTTAGCTATTTAATTAGGTAGATGCTTAGCAATACAGTACATCTTTATTGTTGAAGGTTTTAATGATTGGTTTTTGTTTGCTAGGGTGGATAGTATAATGCTACTGGAGGAAGGGTTCCAAGTGACAAGTGTTGATCTCTCTGACAAAATGCTGAAATATGCCCTCAAAACACGCTGGAGGCGACGCAAAGAACCGGCTTTTGACAACTGGGGTGAGTAAAAACTCAGAGGTAAGTGTTGTAATATGTTAGTTTCTTGGTACTGTGTTGTATACTGAATAGTATTTTTAAGTTATACCTCTTAATCACTAAGGCATGATTTGGATCTGGCAAGCAAGTTTACATTGCACTACAACAGATATTTTCAAATTGTCCCCATGGGTCATACTGCCACTCGGAAGACACTGGAAAATACTGAATTTAACCCAGAAGTGTGTAATGACCTGCCAGACACAATTTATGCCCACACCATTGCCATGACAGCCAGGGAGCAGCCAATCAATCACTACAGTGTTTTAGTTTGGACTGATACAACAGAGCTTCCTATTGGCCTAAATGGCCAACGAATCCTAGATACTTCCTCAAAATTGCCTACGTTAGCTGAACAGCCAGAATCATATGGGCTAATCTGGCCAGTGAATTTACAGAGTATCGGACATCTTATCGGAAGAACCCGTCTTCTCTCCTCGCCCGACTCCACCACATCTTGGCAGCCTTGTCTCGCAGTCAACACGGACCTGCTTCTGCCTCTTTGGCCTACACAGTTTATTATTCCTAGCTATGACCTGGCCACTCTGTAGTTTATTGGATATACACAATGTTGATTGTTAATGTGTGCCCTTCTGTCTTGATATACAGCACTTGAGTTTAGAATTCACATAAGAGTTGAGACTATATAAGCTTGCTCAGTCCTGATTCATATACAGTCTAATTGATATTAAAAGTGCATTACATAGCCCCTCTAGCCTTTCCTAGTGCAACTTGGCCTCGGAGCTCATGATGTGATACCATAGGGAGCAATGTATTAAATAACCCACTGTCACTATCACTACCCTGACCACCACAGGGTCACAACACCCACCACTACCACCACCACAATAAAGCACTCCAATGCAGCCTCTCGCATGCCATCATGACTGCTCTTTACTGTAGACTGTTGACAGGCAAAGATTAGACTTTTGTCAAGTCAACACTGAAAGACTGCCAAGAAAATTACAAGCACATGTAATTAATGGTATATTAGAATAGATAAAACAATGTTTTAAGACAAAGAAAGAAAAGGGTCGTCTTAAATGGTAAAAAATCTGACTGGTGAAATGTGGTGAGTAGGGTACCACAAGGTTCCTTGTTGGGGCCTAAGCAATTTTGTCATCTCAAAAACACAGATAAGAATTTTACAAACCACATCAAATTTGCAGATGACACTAAGAACTATGGTAAAGTAGGAATTGAAAATGACATCAAAGCCTTACAAAATCTACATGAACTCCACAAATGGTTGAATGACTAACAAATACTTTTAATATCGAAAAATGTAAGATCATGCACGTGGGGTATAACAACCCATGTCACAACTACCAAATCAACAACATTATCTCGCAGCAGATTGATGAAGAAAAGGAGTCAGAATCCACTGATCATTGAATGTTTCTCACACACCAAAAAAAGACCATCAATCTCTAGGAATAATCAAACGAACCTTTGACCAAGGAAAAAAAGGTAGTTACTCAGCTGTACAAATCTCTGGTGCACCCCTATTTGGGCTACTGAATCAAAGCATGGAGACCTCATCTTTAAGAGGACATACCTGCTTTGGAGAATGTTCAAGATCGTATGTAACACATAGGAGCAATGGCTTAAAGCTCAAGTCACAATATAAGAGAAAAAATGCTTTTCCACCCCACTGGATTATAAACCCATATAACTGCCTACCTATTGAAGCCATAAATGGCAAAACATTGCTACTGTTCAAAATCCAGCTGTATAAAATTAGGAAAAATGGGAGTGACCTTTTGACAAACCATTAGCTTCCTGTCCTTGTGGTTACTTGAGAGATGGTGATCCTTGGTAAATTCAGTAAGTGGCTCATTATCCTTAGAAATGTTTTCATTTGTATAGTTTCTACAAACTGTAGAGCAAACCAGAAAGGCAGTTGTATGGCTATCTATCATGATACAAATATAGAATGCATGTTATAGAACTAGACAAGAGTTCACAATAAAGGGTTCTTACACTAATATAAGTTGAAGCTGTATTCAGAAGTCTTAATGCACTACACACTGGGGGATGTCTTGTTAAAAATAAAGCTGTAGAACAACGGTTAAAAAATGGTAACATTTTCAGTGATGAAATGCTTTATACCCAGAGGCAGCAATATGCAGTTCTAGTACACATAATGTCTGTTAAACATGTACAGACACCTTGAACCAGCTTTGAAGTCCCCGATGGTCATGGCTAATTCTGTTCATTCAGTGGCAGTCTGTGTCCCCACCAACAGACGGCGGCAGTCTGTGTCCCACCAACAAATACTGTAAGGCTAGCAGATTGAATAAAAATGAGTGTTTCGACTCGTTTAATTAAATTATAACACTCGGACAGAACCTTATACCTAGTTGTATAAAGCCTTTATGCTGCAATTAATATACGTATGTGTATTTTTTGTTGTATCATTTCAGTTTACTGTACTGTACTCTTGAATGCATGTAACTTGGAAACCATTCTAGCTTTACACATGTTTATACATATAATGTATTGTAGAATTTTTGTGTATTTGTTCATAAAGTGATTAAGAAGTTTTAATAATAATTTCAGTGATTGAGGAAGCCAACTGGCTAACACTGCCAGATGATATAGAGGGAGCCGAGACCTTTGATGCTGTTGTCTGTCTGGGAAATTCTTTTGCACATCTGCCAGATATATCCGGAGACCAGTCCGAACATAGGTAATTTTCCAGTGAGTTTGTTTGGTGTGAGGTGATCATGATGGTTTCCCATTTAAAATTATTGTATCATATACTGTGTAGTTACGAGATGAAAGCTGCGCTTGTGGTGTCCTGTCTTCCCAGTACTTTGTTGTATAATGCTTTGAAACTGCTGACATTATTTTCCTCCACTTTCTCACTTGGCTTGTTCCAACCGTCTACCACTCTGTTTGCAAAAAAATTAATATTTATTTTGCCACTTGTTTCCATAGCTTGAATCTATGACCTTTTATTTTTGAGATTGCCGGTTTCAGGAATTCCTGTCAATTTGATCAATTCCTGTTATTATTTTGCAAGTGGTGATCATATCACCTTTTTTCTTCTATCTTCTGGTTTTGGCATATTTAATGCCTCTAGCCTCTCTTCATAACTCTTGTTTTTTCAATTTCAGAAGCCATTTTATAGCATGCTTTTGCACCTTAACCAGTTTATTGATGTGTTTCTTGAGATATGGGCACCTTGATGTGCTTCCGGGGCTTAGCGTCCCCGTGGCCCGGTCGTCGACCAGGCCTCCTGGTTGCTGGACTGATCAACCAGGCTGTTGGACGCGGCTGCTCGCAGCCTGACATATGAGTCACAGCCTGGGTGATCAGGTATCCTTTGGAGGCACCATACAACTGGTGCATATTTCAATTTTGGTTTCAGAAAAGTCATAAACAGTCTTAGTATTTCAGCATCCATGTAATTAAAAGGAATTCTAAAGTTGGAAAGGAATGCATATGTTCCTCACACAATGTTCTTATGTTCCTCACACAATGTTCTTTGTGTTCCTCTGGTGACAGTCTACTGTCCAAAACCCTCCCTAGATCTTTCTTTAATTTCTTTGTCCTTTCCACATAATTTGTAGGGAGTGTGGTCTGTTTTCTCCTATTCTACATTCTATAACATGGCATTTATTCTCACTGAATTCCATTTGCCACATGGTGCTCCAAGCACTTACTTTATCTAGGTTCATATGATGGGCATGACAATCAATCATGGTTTCCCATCTTCCCCAATATCTTAGCATCATCAGCAAATATGTTCATATAATTCTGTGTTCCTTCTGGTAGATCATTTATGTAGACGATGAACAATACTGGCACAAAAACTGAACCCTGTGGCGTACTCTGCTAGTAACACTCCTCCAGTCGGATACATTTTCTCTAATTACTGGCATCTTTCTGCCAGTTAGAAATTTTTTTATCCATGCCAGCGGTCTCCCTGTCACCCCTCCAGCATGTTCATTTCCAAAACAACCTCGTGCGTGGGACTCTGTCAAAAGCCTTCTTTAGGTCCAGGTACTTGGTCAACCCAATCATCTCTCTCCTTTAGAATCTCTGTGGCTCTTATCATAAAAACTAAGTACATTTGTTACACAGGATCTCTGTTTGAAAACCATATTGTCTGTCTGTCATGTCTTTACTCTCCAGGTGTTCTACTCATTTGGTTTCAATTATTTTTCTAGTGTTTTGACTGCAATGCTTGTTAATGATACGGGTCTATAATTTAGTCTTCTCTGCTTCCATTTTTTGTAGATTGGAACTATGTTTACCTTTTTCCATATGAAACTGCTAAGTTTCCTGTAAACAAAGATGTTTGGAATATCAATTGAAGTGGAATGCTCAGTTGTACAATCCCTCACCTCGGCATCCGAGGTGAAACTCCATCTGGTTCAAATGGAGTTAAAGAACTGTAATTACTTTTCTTCTTCTTGGCATTTTTTTTTATTTAAAAAATTCATAAAAAAAGTAATTTTTCAATTTCATTTCGAGAGACACCTATATACTCTATGGTGTTCTCTGGAATTGGCATCGTCTGGTTATCTGAAAACCACAATTTGCACAGAACTTTGGACACGTGTGAACCTGTTCACATTTTTTTCATTCTGTGATCCTGTTCCCCACTCTCAATCTCTGGATAAGAATGGAGAATCCTTTACATGCATTTTGCTTTTAATGAAATTATAAAAAAGACTTTGATCTGTTTTACATTTGTCTGCTACTGTACCCCTTTCTCAAAGTTCCTTTCTACCTCTCGCTGTTGTGTATTTATTTCTTGCTTGTTTGTAGTGGTGGTACGTTTCAGGGTTCAGCGACTTCCTACATTGTACCCATTTTCTTGACATTTCCTCTATGGCCCTCTCGGTTTCTGTTGCATCAATCCTGTTTTTTTGGTTCTATATCTATTTTGGTATGAATATATTTTGTGCCTTTATCGTACACTTCACAGAAATTGGCAAACGTCTCATTTACTTCCTTACATAGCAACAAGTCTTTCCAATTAAATTCATTAAAGAATTTAAGTTCTCCATAGTGTCCTCTCTTGAAATAGTTTCTCAACTATTTCAATATTTTCACTCTCATCTATATTATATTTCCATGGCCTGCTTAATGTACTTGCCTAATTATGCTTGCGGGGGATGCGCTCTGGCTCTTTGGTCCCGCCTCTCAACCGTGTGTTGATACATGAATGTCTCCAGGATGAGGTTTACAAATCTGCCTGTTCAAATGTCCTCCAATCTTGCTTCATAGGCCCCACTATATTGCCTTCAAGTTGAAGTCCCCCAGTATCACCAATCATGATTTGTGTTTCTTACTATAGTCTCTCTCATGACCATTTTGATGCTTTCTCATTTGTCATCTAGTTCCTCCTTTGTACATGTGTTGCTTGCTGGCGGACTGTAGGCATTTATGATTATCAGTTTGGCACTTCTGGCTTATTAATCAGGATGTTATTGTCAACTTCTCATGGGTTGTCAATTACTAACTTTTACCTTCAGGTGTTCTTTCACCAGCACAACCACACTTCCAGTGTGTGTGTGTATACAGTATATATATAATCTCAGTTTGTATTAAATAGTTTAATGTGCATCATGTACTGAAATGAGAAGTAATTTATTACCAGTATGTATACTGTGTATAAACTTATTATTTGCAAATTATAATGTTTCGAATACCTGTATGAATCCGATGGTCAACGTCCTTGCAACCCAGCCTATTGCCAGGCCTCCTGCTTGGCGGTCTGGTCAACCAGGCTGTTTGAAGTGGCTGCTCGCACATGGGGTATATTAATGGGAATTTGGGACTATTAGAAGTGTTAATATTATGCACTTGTATTCGCATTATATTCAGTACTGTATACTAAATGTTAATCAAATTTTCACTCACTTATTGATGTTGCAGGATGGCCCTAAGAAATTTTGCTCACATGGTAAAACCTGGAGGCGTGCTAGTTATTGACCACCGGAATTACGACTACATCATTGACTCGGGGTCGGCCCCTTCTCACAACATCTACTATAATGTAAGTTTTTAACACTTTCGCTGGCCCGGCGGGGCACCCAAATTGCACCAGAAGGTAGGCCGGGCATTCCTGGTGAGCACACAACCCAATGTTACTCATTCACTCACAATGTTTATACTTAATAATAAGAAATTGCAAAAATTTTTGCATGATGACATTTGTGTCGTCGGGAACTATGCATGTTTTGGGTTTAAGACTCCTTATGCAGTATCAGGATGTGAAAGATTTAGTGTGTGTGTGCACAGTACTCTAAAGTATATTTAAAAGTTTGTGTTTTTTTTTGCATTGTGGACATTGTATGAAATATTAGTACAGTATTTCTAAATTTTTTAAAAACTATCTGAAAAATGAAACTTTAAAACAAAAATTCAATAGAGAACTTGTGTAAAAATTCTTTTCTGTATTTTCAGAGTGAACACATTCAAGACATTAAAACCTCTGTGTTATACGTCAGTGGCAAACCATCTTTAGTGACACTGGATTATTTAATAGATGTTAAGAACGCAGCACGTGATGACACCGACTCCGAGGTCTCCAAGAAGGGAAGAATAGATGGCCCAATAAAAAGGTAGGTTTACAGGGGTTTAGCAACTTGTAATTAATGTGAGTGTAGCATAATTATGTGGAGTATTATACAGAAAAGATATAAGCAATTTGTCATAATGGAACAATTTCATTGCCGACTTGAATTGGCAAATTATTAAGTCGATACGTTTCGGAACATAGACACCCTTTTCATCACCTTTTGCTGCTAAACTTAACTATAGTGGTAATAAAGGGTTGTATTTGTGCTCGTGGAGTGGATATGGGAATGTACCAGTGTTGAAGTGTGTAGGATTCAGCAGGGCAGGTGTGTAGGAGGCAGCAGGGTGGGTATAGCAGGGCAGGTGTGTAGGAGGCAGCAGGGTGGGTGTGGCAAGGCAGGGCAGGTGTGTAGGCGGCAGCAGGGCAGGTGTGTAGGAGGCAGCAGGGCGGGTGTGGCACGGCAGGTGTGGAGGAGGCAGCAGGGTGGATGTGGCAGGGCAGGTGTGTAGGAGGCAGTAGGGTGGGTGTGGCAGGGCAGGTGTGTAGTAGGCAGCAGGGCGGGTGTGGCAGGGCAGGTGTGTAGGAGGCAGCTGGGTGGGTGTGGCAGGCAGGTAGGTGTGTAGGAGGCAGCAGGGTGGGTGTGGCAGGGCAGGTGTGTAGGAGGCAGCAGGGTGGGTGTGGCAGGGCAGGTGTGTAGGAGGCAGCCGGGTGGGTGTGGCAGGGCAGGTGTGTAGGAGGCGGCAGGGTGGGTGTGGCAGGGCAGGTGTGTAGGAGGCGGCAGGGTGGGTGTGGCAGGGCAGGTGTGTAGGAGGCGGCAGGGTGGGTGTGGCAGGGCAGGTGTGTAGGAGGCGGCAGGGTGGGTGTGGCAGGGCAGGTGTGTAGGAGGCGGCAGGGTGGGTGTGGCAGGGCAGGTGTGTAGGAGGCGGCAGGGTGGGTGTGGCAGGGCAGGTGTGTAGGAGGCGGCAGGGCAGGTGTGTAGGAGGCGGCAGGGCAGGTGTGTAGGCGGCGGCAGGGTGGGTGTGGCAGGGCAGGTGTGTAGGAGGCGGCAGGGTGGGTGTGGCAGGGCAGGTGTGTAGGCATACTGGAAACTTAAATGACTAGTCATACAGTAGTTTGTAAAATGCTTAATCACAAAATAGTTAAAGAGCACATAGATTTTATTAACGTGGCGTCAAATGAACCTATCGAAGCATTAATAAAAAGATGTACTGCACATTGAAATTAACTTGAAAAACAAAAAATGCACGGGAAAATGGTGAATAAAAGTACATGAAGCCGTAATTAAATTCTACAGTTTTTGGGGCATCAGGTACAGTACATTGCAATAAAGGACCAATATGGTATTAATCTCATACATGCATGGGAGAGTGTGGGGGTTAGGATATATGTAAGCCGTTTCATTGCCGGCAGTCTGGGGGGCCAGATTCACAAAGCAGTTACGCAAGTACTTACGAACCTGTACATCTTTTCTCAATCTTTGGCGGTTTTGTTTCCAATTATTAAACAGTTATTGAGCTCTGAAGCACCAGGAGGCTGTTTATAACAATAACAGTTGAATGGGAAGTTTTCATGCTTGTAAACTGTTTAATAAATGTAGCCAAAGCCGTCAAAGATTGAGGAAAGATGTACACGTTCGTAAGTGCTTAGGTGAATCTGGCCCTAGATCCCGCTCAAAAGAATACTCACTTACTCGTCTCCCCCAGTAACCAACTCTCCTCCCAGCCTACCCACACTCTTGAATATTTAAAATATTAATGAGATTAACAACCCCAGATTTAGCTACACTTTAGATCTAATGTGTGAGAGAAAGGTCTTGGGTTTCCCCACAGCTGACTTGAAGTGGCACATTGCAGGGCAATGCTAACTAGGTGTATAATGATGCTATGATGGCCATCATGTGTCCAGTAGGTAATAAGATAGGACAAGTGAAACATTTCTTTTATAATAAGCCAACACCAGGCATCGGCCATTTTGGAAAAAGCTACAGATATGAATTTTCTCCCTCGGGCAATGGTGAAAGATTAGCGGGTCTGGTGACATAGCCATGACGTCGCAACCCACTTGGATGAGCCTATTATTATAATTAGATATCTTGAGATGAATCTTGAGGTTATCTTGATTTCGGGGCTTTAAATGTCCCCGCGGCCCGGTCCTCGACCAGGCCTCCACCCCCCAGGAAGCAGCCCATGACGGCTGACTAACACCCAGGTACCTATTTTACTGCTAGGTAACAAGGGGCATAGGGTGAAAGAAACTCTGCCCATTGTTTCTTGCCGGCGCCCGGGATCGAACCCGGGACCACAGGATCACAAGTCCAGCGTGCTGTCCGCTCGGCCGACCGGCTCCGGCAATACTATATATTATAGTATTGTACCTATGCCTAGACTCCCAGGAAATCCAATCTTTGACCAATCCTAGAAACAATCCTATGCCAAGATCATCAGAAAAAACTGCCAGGACATACTCTAAATCTAATTTCACTGAAAAAAATACTTAAGTCACACAAGCAATTTTGTTTATTGGTTTCACAATCACTTTTGTAATGGTGCGATGGATTTCCAGATGGAAAGAAAGACAAAAGGCTGCCAAAGTAAGTCTTATTGCTGCTTGAATAATACTCCTGCTCACTTTAAGGTTAATGCTGTAAAATCATTACATGGCTTGATTATTTGCTTAGCCCTTTTACCAAATACCATGCCACTAATCCAAATAACTCCCTGGTCCATGAGCTGAACGGCAAAAAACATTTTGTCATGTGGAGGTTCTTAATTTTTTAATTTTTTTTTTTTTGTTTACAAAAGCAGAAAACACTGGAAAATATGAAAAGGAAGACGATCTATTCCAGATTGAATGGGATGCAGTATTGCTGCAAGTTAGTGCCAACACTAACAGCGAGGATGGTCGTTGAGCCTACCAGTGATTTTGAGGCCATAAACACTATTGTTAAGATGTCCTGAAGTGGCAGCCAGTGGCAACCCGTGGCAGCCCGTGGCAGCCCGCCACTGGCTGCTACTTCCTCCCTCTCTCAACTCACCTGACTCACCCACATTCTCCTCCCACAATACTGTTTTTGCTTTTATTCACTATATACAGATGTTATATATAAGTATCTACATGTTCACCACAACTGTACAACTAAGTTGATATAGTTAGTTCAAGCACTAAGAGACGTCGCTACACACATTCGGCTGCTTCCCCTCACACATTCAAGGTCAGACGCACTAAAATTTCACCCCCAACAATACTGTCTGTGGTGTTATTACCCTATATACAGACATTATATATATAAGTAAGTATCTACATGTTTTGTTCACCATAGCTGTTCAACTAAGCCGGTATAATGTCCAAAGAGCATAGTGGCCACCCCTACCAACATGACAAATCATGCAGATGTTGCCACACCCATCACCAAAATGGCTTCTTCCCCACACTCCTTTTGCTGTTATTACACTGTATGTTCATGTTATATACAAGTATCTACGTTCGTGTTTACCATAACGAACCACTAAGTTGGTATGCTAAGCCACTGGCTGCCACTCCCTCCCTCACCTCACCTGACTCGCCACCATTCTCCTCCAACCATACTGTTTTTGCCGTTATATACAGACGTATATAAGTATCTGCATGTTTTGTTTACCATAGCGAACAACTAGGCTGGTATAGTGAGTCCAGACAGTAAAAGGTGGTCACACAGAGTCAGCAGACAACGCTACCTCCCTCCCCACCAAGATTACTCCTCCCACTACAGTGCTAATTATCACAACAATCCTGCTATTATCAGAATCCTGGTCATTTTTATCAGTCAGGAGTCTTCTGTAATAATATCATTGCTAAATAATAGCATGAACATGAATATTATGGCATTTTTAGGCAATGCTGTGGTCACAAGCTGAACAGCAGTGCTGTGAGCTCGTGCATCAGGCTTGGTGGCTCACTCAATACCGAGGCCCTCACACCCGGGAATTTGGCCCACGATTTTTTGTTTAAATGGCGTCTGTTTACAAGAGCCCTGATGAAGGCGAGGTGAACCCCGTGTATCCGCGGGCCGTTTAAATCTTGCGTAGTACTCCATCATATGATGGGATGCGCATTTTATAGCAAGTCACTCATCCCATCATATGATGTGTTGCGCAACTTAAGGGTTAATAGAGACAAATTTTCTGCGAGTGGCTTGCTCGTTACTTGAAGTGCTCGTAACTGGAGTCGCTCGTGGTTCCACTGTATAGGGATAATTAAAATTTATGGGATATATTTAGGGTATACTTTATACAAGTCAAAAAGCCCTAATCTGGTCCCTAATCATCAAAACAATCTAAAGAAACAAGGAAAATAGTTTGAAATCTGAAAAAATCTGCCAAAAAAAACATTCAAAAGTGCCAAGTTCTGCCAGTTATGACTGATTTATTTGTTGACCAATTTAATTGTCTTCACATAGGAAGGGTACGCATTTTCCGGGATGTAGAGGTCACAACACAATAGAGCATAACAACATACTTGCTCATTATTATTTGTGTTGAATTACTCAGCAATGCTATAAAAGCACCAGCTGCAACTTTGTGGGCACTTGTAACTTCTATTCTTCTTCTTTTGTGCATCAGACAGGTGCTTGCATCTCCTTATTACTGCATTATCCCTCGGTTACAGTTAATAGCTGTTCTTAGCAAAACTTTCTTTTTAAAAAAAAATTGTCTAAAATCTATTTCTGAAAATAGTGATGAAACTTTCATGACACTGAAGCCAATAAGTGGGAGATTTGTTTAACATTTGATATTGATTTTCACATAATTCATATATATATTTTCACCCAGCCCCAACCCCCATTTACAGCCCAGGCTGTAGCAGTGTAAGGGTTAAGGGCCCTGGTTCAATTCCTGGCCAAACAAATAGGCAGTTTTTCACCTTGATGCAGCTGTTCACCTAGCAGTAAATAGGTACCCTGGGAGTTAGACAGCTGGTATGGGCTGCTTTCTGGGGATGTGTGTGTTAGAGATATATATGGTAGACATGATAAGAGGGGAAAAAAATTGGTTACAAACGTAGGGTTCAAGAGCTAATGGCTCAATTCTGCAAGTACAAGTAATAAATACAGATTTTGCTTGCATAAATACTGTGCCTTTACAACATTAATCTGTTTAATTCTAAAAATCTGATGTTTTATCACTTAGGGCTTTTTTTTTTTTTACATTTCTAATGCATTTTGTCAAATGTTGACGTTTTTCTTTTGTTACAGTAACTTTCGCCTCTCGTATTTTCCCCATCGAGTTGCAAGGTTCGAGGAGCTACTTAGGGAAGCTTTCGGTGAGAAGGCCAAGCAATGGGTGTTTGGAGATTTTAAGCCCATCGGAGAAGTGAAAGATCCAGGATTCTTCATCCATGTTGTTGAGAAGCCAGTTTAATGGTTTTGTAGCTTGCTTGGGTAATAAAGCCTGAACATGGTTGTGATATTGTTTTTAAAATTAAGACATGCCAATCATTTGAATGCTTAAAGTCAAATAGCCTATCACTGGCAATGCTTTAAAGATGCTGTAATTCAGAATTATACTGCAAGTAATTTTGCAAATTTGTTCTTTCATATGACATTTTTACAATATATAACATTTGTTTGGCATTGTCTTGCAAATATTAGTAAATGACAAATATAATAATGACATGTATTAAGTGCCTGGAAACTTCCCATTTATGTTACTGCCTTCATGCTATATACTGTATATACACAACATGTGCACTACTGAATATATATTTGCAACACTTAAATTTTAAAAAAATTTAATAATTTCAATAAAATGAAGTACTGTATGTATTCAAATATCATTTAAAATGCCTCTTCAAATGGGCTATTTCAAAAGTTTTACTAATCAATGGAAAATATGCACTTTAGCTGCTGTGTAGTGTAGTATGAAAATTAGATTTTTGAATTCTGTATTTGCATATTAATTTACTGCCATAAATGAGAAAATTATATCAATTGTTCATATCCTTGTTAAGAAAACCTAGTGCACGTGAAAGATATCGCACGTTGAATCTTGCCCAAAAAGAACCTAGGCAAGGTTTCCATTCCAATTTAATGATTAAATTGAATTTTCCAATTTCATTATTGGTAAAGTTAATGTAAAATGTAGCAATGTTGTTATCCAAGTTTAAAACCATTACAAAAGTGTCACTGAAGAGTAGAATAATGGGAACGGTAATATTTACTGCTGTGCAGTATAGTTTATTATTAAGTGGTAATTTTTATTTAATGCTGCACAACTCCTAGGAATTAGGGTATGAAGTAAATGACAGTATAAATCTTTATTAAGTGTTTTGTTTGTGAGAATATTGTTTTTTAGTATATATATTAATATAAATGGTGGCTGTATATTAAACTTTATTTATGTGGGGTCATTAAAGCTGACAACAATGTTTATGAATGTAAATTTTCTTGTCCTACAAAAGACTGGTGAAAGTTTTGTGATGCAACTGATGATAATGCTGACTTGGCTGAGAGAACAGTAATCACACTTCACAATATTGAATATGATTGTATTGACAGCATTTTTAGGTAAGATGTTAAATGCTTCATATTGTAATGTGCCCATAAGTGTTGCTATATAAATTATGCACAATGTACTCTGAAGATGCAACTTACCAATGTACGTGACAGAGAGAGCGCTCTGTCCTTATGCCTTGTGAATCCCTGATAAAGTCTGTTTATTGAGATGTCATTCTTGCCTTGCAACTCGGTTATCTTCCCAACAGCACTCATCCTCCAAAGTGAATACATGAAGGTCTTCATAATAGGATCCTTCATGGTCTTCCTAACACTTCAGTCCATAAGTGACATTCACGGTACTGGGGGCCTTCAGAAAGCTGTCCTTGGTTATATATTTAGAAGGTCTGAGATACTATACATTCACACATTTCCTACACCATTTCATTTATGCAAATTTGTTGTGCATCCCAGGAAGCCCTTTGGCAGCCTTTGTGCAAGTAAAGAAACTACAGTATATGTAGCAAGTGAAAATAATAGAAGTTGCACTTGCAAGAATTGCAACATGAAATGACCAATACTGCTGCTGGTTACAAAAAATGGTTAGAGGTTAGAAAGCACATTTTTTTTTAAATATAGTTTAATTTCATAATTACAATACTTGTACTGCAGCTAAACTGTACATAATTAAAATGCACAGCTATAATGTAGGAGTGATTTATAAATATATAATCAAACATAAAATACAGCAATATTTCATTACCAACATGATATCAATTGCTCAAGTGGCCATTATAATCACATGGCTCACCTTTATAAAATTGGCATAGCGTTAAGTCTTCCGTCTACTTTGTTTACCTTTTTTTGGCTTAATAGGTGGACTGTCGGTGCCGTCATCACTGCTCTGTAATTAAAAAGATATCTAAATTAGTTATTATAACTTGTTATAAAGTAATATAAGATTATCATTTTAATCTTTGGAGCAGTATGTGTGGAACTGAATTGGTGTCCTGGGTCACCCCAGAAGCATGCATTGCCTACCGGGCCACGATGAGCTAACGAGTAGCACAACTTAAAAGAGCTGGAGGCACACAGCTGGTTCCTAAATCCAATTTTAGGTTCTACACATTAATTTTTTATCAACAAAGGGATTTGAAAAGTTGAGAAAGCCGTTGTTTATCAATGATACAGCGTTGACCAGCGTCAAAAGAACAGAACCCCCACCTCCAGATAAGAACCCGAAGCTCTCAATGTGACAGCTTTTGGCAAGAACCAACAGGAAAACAGCTTTAACCCGCATACTTCACAAAGTGCATTAAGGCATCTGATGGGTGGTGCTGCCATATGGCACTCGTTACATTTTGTATGATTTCAAATCTGCGTGCAGTAACCTGGGTAGGAAATGGAGGCCCGAGGCTTCCAGCACATGTCTGCCATCTGTGTACCTGGTGCTCAGACTGCAAAGTTTGTGTGACCTTAACTGTTTCAGTGATTATCCCACACTTGTGAAGTACTGACTGTATTGTTGTGTGTAAATATAGTGTGCAACAGAACCATAGGAAAACCATAACCCGAGGTGAGGAAAGAAAAGCCAAAATACAACCCGAGACCTGAACGGCTCAGGAGGAGCATGAGCAGGCCAGAGGGGGAAGAATGTATGGCTCAGGAGGAGCATGAGCAGGCCAGAGCGGGAAGAATGCACGAGACAATTTGCAGAATAGCACTGTAGAGGCATCACATTACACGCCCATATAAACCAGTATTTGTTTTACGAGCTCTAGATCCAAGACTAGTTGGAAGGATGGGTATCTAGCCCACTTCTTAACCCCTAAGAATACAACACCTACATAAAATTCATAAACTTAAAAATCATGATAACTTCCAATTACTAAATAACTTTTTTACTAGAGTGATCCTAAAACAAGATAAACTGGCTGAATGGAGTAGTGTTTCCAATGTAACCAGACTCACACTTCACAGATTAAGAATAAAAAAATATATATATTTAAAAATCCAATGGTTAAACAATTATTAATGTTTATCTTGAGGTTATCTTGAGATGATTTCGGGGCTTTAGTGTCCCCGCGCCCCGGTCCTCGACCAGGCCTCCACCCCCAGGAAGCAGCCCGTGACAGCTGACTAACACCCAGGTACCTATTTTACCGCTAGGTAACAGGGGCATAGGGTGAAAGAAACTGCCCATTGTTTCTCGCCGGCGCTTGGGATCGAACCCAGGACCACAGGATCACAAGTCCAGCGTACTGTCCGCTCGGCCGACTGGCTCCTCACATATTTACCATGATTTTTTTTTAAATACATAAAGCTATAAGGAAAAGGGTAATGTTAACATTATACTCCATGCCTGTGTCACTGTACAACTAGGCGCTAACAGTACCCACCTGCTCTTGCCATTCCCGCTGCAGTTCTGTCAACATCTTGGGAGAGAGTAATCCCTGTGCCAAGAGTCGCTCGGTGAGACTACCACGAGAAAAGATTCTTCTAGTTGTCCTGCTGGGGACCCGAGAATTCTGTTTCACTGTGGCAACTGTGTTCTGTTCCATCTCTGGTGGCAAATGTTCAGCGTTCTTCAACGAGTCTGAAATTATACCATTAAAATAAAAAAATCACTATTTAAAAATAATCTTAAATGTTATGATAAATATTAGCTAAGGGGGAGAGTGATCACTTTCCCTGAGCATATTCTAAAAAAATCTGAATCTTTTAAAATAAATTTCTTAAGGTACTGTGGTTGTTAAGGGTGATAGAAGTCATCTGAGGAAGCAGTATGAGAGCAAGGATCAAAGAAGCTTGGGAAGAATCAACCCAAAACCAAGAAAACACACCAAAATAAAGAGGCACAAAATAATAAGCAACTGCTTGAAGAAAATTAGGTAACTGGAAGCAATAAGGAAATGATTGTTGACCATCACCAGCTGGCAGCCCAGATCACCTGGGGACTCCCCGGCCACGCCCCCCCACCCCCTGGCAGTATGAATTCCTCACTCATGAGATGCGCAAACACACACACACACACACACACACACACACACACACACACACACACACACACACACACTACACTACATAAAGACAGACAAACTATACAGATAAAGACAGACTATTTAACACAAGGGGACACAGGTGGAAACTGAGTGCCCAAATGAGCCATAGAGATGTTAGAAAGAATTTTTTCAGTGTCAGAGTGGTTGACAAATGGAATGCATTAGGCAGTGATGTGGTGGAGGCTGACTCCATACACAGTTTCAAATGTAGATATGATAGAGCCCAATAGGCTTAGGAACTTGTACATTAGTTGATTGACAGTTGAGAAGCGGGACCAAAGAGCCAGAGCTCAACCCCCGCAAGCATAACTAGGTGCGTACATTCATCTCATAGGGGAGAATAATCAACTTCCCCTATGAATAATCTTATAGGGGAGACATAATCACTACCTACAAAATTCTCAGAGGAATTGACAGGATAGATAAAGGTAAACTGTTTATCATGGGTGGTACGCGAACAAGGGGACACAGGTGGAAACCGAGTACCCAAATGAGCCACAGGGACATTAGAAAGAACTTTTTCACTGTCAGAGTAGTTAACAAGTGGAATGCATTAGGAAGTGATGTGGTGGAGGCTGACTCCATACACAGTTTCAAATGTAGATATGATAGAGCCCAGTAGACTCAGGAATCTGTGCACCAGTTGATTGACAGTTGTGAGGCAGGATCAAAGAGCCAGAGCTCAACCCAGACAAGCACAATTAGGTGAATACACTAATTAGTGTGCCTTAAACTAATGAGTAAGGAAAATAACGAGTGTTGGTGACGCTTCACTCTACTAATATAATTTAGTAGAAATATTTTAAAGGGTACAGGTCATCCCAGGCTCACCTACCTACTTTGTAGGAGGGCTCAGGAGTCAGCGATCTGCCCTACTATTTTAATAAATCGAAGTGGCTTAGTCGACTAGACTAGAACACCCAGCACATAGGTTTGAGTCCTCATCACAACTCCTGTGGATTTTCTCAATCATAATAACTTAAGGTTAGGTTAGTTTAATTTAATGATCTGAGGGTGGCCTGTTGATTAGCGCACTGGCCAGCCACCCAGCTGGCCCAGGTTTCAATTCACTCATAGGGAAAGTGTTCTGTTTATATTTTAGTTAGGTGAGAAGGTGATGGAGGCCAAAACTGTCAGTAGTTTCAAAGCGTTATATGACAAAGAGTGCTGGGAAGATGGGACACCACGAGCATAGCTCTCATCCTATAACTACACTTAGATAATTACACACACACACACACAAAGCGTTATATGACAGAGTGCTGGGTAGACGGGACACCACGAGCGTAGCTGTCATCCTGTAACTACACTTAGGTAATTACACACACACACCTCAATTTCACATGAAAGATGGGAATCTTATGATGGAGACAAGCAACTACTGAGGGCCCCACAAAAAAAGGGCATTTCATGATATTCAACATGTGATTTCTGGGCTCCTCAGTAGCTCCCCAAACTAACTCAACAGTGCCTCAGTAAAGGAGATCTACACTTCTGAAAAGGAACTACAGTAATTAGTAAATAGAAAGTGATGCCAGAACTTACCAATGGGAGAAAACGACAGAAGAAAAGGGTCCAAGGCAGATCATCATCAACGGCACACCAAAAACCCAAGAACACAAGCTCACTGAAGCCAAAGGTCATCCAATAGTGTAAGCCCAACACCCTGTTGGAGCACCAGTACCCCTGAGCATGCCAGATATTAACTATGACATATTGGCAAAGAAAACCATCAGAGCAGCAAATGCCTGGACATCAGAAGAGTGAGCGTACACAGTTGGCTGGCTGAAGCAAACCACTTTACAAAATATCTGGGAGAAGCAGGCCTTGGAACATGAGACAAGGCTGAGAAGGCCTCAACCTGAGAAAGGCACAAACAATGCCCAAACACTGTCATACCACAGCAACAAAACAGAGCGTATGATGCACTCTAGGCCAGATGAACCAGATGTCAACTTCTAACATAACACCCTCTGGAGAGCAGAAGTCCCATTTTTAGGCAAAAATGGAAATGGTTGGAGGTGAAAATTACTATTAAACTGGCCCAAGGACACTAAACGCACACTTTTGCCATAGAACATAAAGCTCCTCACCCTGACAGCCAGAAGTAATAAATAGAAAAATGTCACTAAAAATGGAGTCCTTGACTGAGGGAGAACAACCCATAAACCATCCAGTGACTAACCAGAGTCAGAGCTGAAGAAGGAGACAGGGTAAAAGGGCTCATACATCGTAAATGACAGACTGACAGACACGGACACGGAGCAATGAATTATACAGGTAGGTCATGTTGCTGATCCTCCTGGAGAGGGAGTCACAGGAGCCGCCTGGAAGCATAAATATAAATATCTAGGCAGCCTCCAGAGCAAGGGCAAGCTTTGAGGCTGCTGTCACAATCCCAGAAGGAACAGTTCCAGCTACCACTGTCTGCAACACACCCACTGCTGAAACATGGAGGTAAATGAGCTAAAGCTGCAAGGAGCTCCAACCAACTAGGAAGGCCAAACGCCAGCCAAAGTAAGAGGCACGCACACGCACGCACGCGCACACACACACACTCAAAGTGCACTCAAGGAAGGTGGAGGCCCACAGCTGCTGCCACATATATAGAAGCCAACAGCCACTGTCAGAAGGGTGCAAGGCTACAACCACCCCCTACAAGGGTAGAGACCAGCAGCTGCCCACCAGAGTAGGAAAGAAGGTAATCATCATTAAAAAGCAGAATTGGTGGCATCTGTATACTACACACGGACCGAAACGTTGTCGTCTCCTCATTCGCTGGTGTGTGGTTTAATCATCATAAGTCATGTTATTGTGACTCATCGTCTGCATAATTAAGAAGCTGAAAGAAAATACAATAAAGCAATAGCACTACACAGCATGAACATTTAAAAAACAGCCAACACCACTTAAAGGAAAGCGCGAAGCTATGCCCAGTCTGAACGAGATCCAGGGCAACCTGGCATATCTATTACACACAGAAAGCACAATTGTGTGATGCATCAAATGAACAAATCCACAAGGGCCATGACGAGGATTCGAACCTGCGTCCGAGAGCATCCCAGACGCTGCCTTAATCGACTGAGCTACGACATGGTCAAAAGGAGTTGAAACTGAAGTTCTACTGAACTTACTGGATCCTGCAGCCTCTCCGAGGCACAAACCAGGGTTTTACACAACTCCCCCCATGCACTCGAGCTATGTCAATAGGCTGTTCTCCCTCTTCGCCCTTACTTCATTACACACAGAAATCACAATTGCATTGTGTGTAATTGCACACACTTGTGCAATCACACAATTGATTGCACACACAATTGCATGATGCAATTGTGCAATCACAATTGCAACACGCAATTGTGATTTCTGTGTGTAATGAAGTAAGGGCGAAGAAAGAGAACGGCCTACTGTCATAGCTCGAGTGCATGGGGGGAGTTGGGTAAAACCCTGGTTTGTGCCTCAGAGAGGCTGCAGGATCCAGTAAGTTCAGCAGAACTTCGGTTTTAACTCCTTTTGACCATGTCGTAGCTCAGTCAATTAAGGCAGCGTCTGAGATGCTCTCGGACGCAGGTTCGAATCCTCGTCACGGCCCTTGTGAATTTGTTCACTGGCATATCTATGATCCACAAGCATCCCTTGCCTCATAGAGCCAGATTCATGTTTTGGCTCCTGGTAGTCAAGGGTGGGTCTCCGATAAACCTGTCTAAGACCCACCCAGGGCCAGCTTTAATTAAGTCAACTCCACCACTTTCTCCCAATTGAGTTTTGTGCTAGGATAATCTATTCCAGTCTTGTCAAGTAAAATTGCATTCTAACGGAGCTAAAACTGTAAGAGCTTGTCATAAACTAAAACAACTGCAAGAACAAACACTTGCAGCTCCAGCGTGGAGTCCACATCTAATCAAACACAAAATAAAGTTAGAAAAGGTACAGAGGTATGCCACCAGGCTAGTCCCTGAGCTGACAGGAATGAGCTATGAGGAAAGATTACTGGAACTGAACCTCATAACATTGAAAGACAAAAAAAGAGTTAGGGGAGACATGATCACTAAGCTATACAATTTTCAGAGGAAATGACAAGGTAGATAATGATAAACTGTTTAACACAGGTGGTACGCAAACAATGGGACATTGAAATCGGCTAAAAGCTTAATCATTTTGGAAAAGGCGAAAGTAATCGAGCCTGGCCCATGGCTGGACTTGTAGAATAGAACTACCGAAACCCTCTACAGGTATGCTCTGGGTATGCTACAGCAACGTACCTCTAAATGTGTTCTTCTTTTTCTGATCCATGATAAATGTGTCTTCTGTGTCTGCTGCAGTATTTGAGGTACGCGTGTCAGAGTTACGGATAAGTCTGACAATTTGTGCCACGCCGTTATCAATCATTCCATCAAGTTCTGTTTGTAGGTCTCTGACTAATTCCCCCTCGGGAAACATGTCAACAAATCGGTAACTGAAAAGAAACAATCAAGAGACAATCATGCCGAATGTAAATAAGAGAAGCTCCTTTCAGAGCAAGACACCTGGATGCTCCCTTTGGTAAGATCACTGAATGTACCATTAAGCAGAATCACGATGGTCAAAGCAGGAAGGATCTTTTCAAACTTCACTTTTAGGTTATATTGAAGAAAAGTATCTTTAACACATGTCATGTCTTCACTAAGTACTTTATCCAGCATGAAAGTCTAACCTTAGCCAGAGATACAGATCAAAGACATCATAAACTTCCTCTAGATGAACCAGGTCCAGAAGAGTGCTCGGCGTTGAAAACGGCCACTTAACCTGATGACACAGCCACTCCAGCGTTGCAGGCTCATTCTGAGAATACTGCCGAGCAAACTGTCAAGACAAAGAAATATTTTGTTACGAATAAATACAAAACTGTACTGTACACCAACTAAATCAACTGCATTATTCCTAGCTGTATTCAACTGCATTATTCCTAGCCTCGTAGGAAAATGCAAAAAACACAAATACCTATCTTTTTCTGGTTTCATACACATTAATAGGGAACTAAATTGGGGAATAATTAGACCCGCGATACACAGTTTGCTGACCAGTCATGGAGGAGTGAAACCTCTGATGTTTAAGTCAGATCTTCTTATGGTTACCATTTAATTTTAGTTTATACAATATTTGAAATATCTCAATTTATGCATGCATAATTGACAAAAACAGTGATTGAATATTGTATATAGATAGCCCTACAATGCAAGATATACGACTACTGTATATATGTAAATCTGCTCCTGACACAGCACAAAGAAAATGTCTTACAACCCACTCCTTTGTAGCTATTCTGTCTGGGAATGTCGTCCAGAATGGATTCAAACACTTGCAGGAAATGACAAATTGTGACTTGATGATAACCACAGGCCGTTAGTACACGATAACCCCATTACTTGAGGTTATCTTGAGATGATCTTGAGGTTATCTTGAGATGATTTCGGGGCTTTTTTTTTTAGTGTCCCCGCGGCCCGGTCCTCGACCAGGCCTCCACCCCCAGGAAGCAGCCCGTGACAGCTGACTAACACCCAGGTACCTATTTTACTGCTAGGTAACAGGGGCATAGGGTGAAAGAAACTCTGCCCATTGTTTCTCGCCGGCGCCTGGGATCGAACCCAGGACCACAGAATCACAAATCCCGCGTGCTGTCCGCTCGGCCGACCGGCTCCCGGTCATTACATAAGTAAAAAATTTCATTGCATTTGGTTAACTCCATTACATCATGTGTATTATAACCATATTTACATTTGTGTAAAAAATCAGGTGATAAATCAATATGATGGTAAACCCCCCCCCCCCCCCCCCGCCCCAGGGATTAACGTACAATGACACCTTCACATTAAGGAATAAGAACATTTAAAGATTTATATTAACATACTGTACAATGCTGAGATTCCCTCTTGCTAAATCTAACACACATTATTACCTTCAGGAACATTGCACACACAAATGGCATCTTCTTATTGATTGGAGAACAGCAGAAGACATAGCGCGAGCGAAGTGGGAGTGGAATATGTTGAATCAAATCCGCCAAGAACTTGAAGTCGTCCATCAGGCACATGAAGTACAATGATGAATCCACAGTACACAAATTTACAAACACATCCTGTAGGAAAGAAATAGATAGAAAAAGTCTGATGTAAACTTAACACTTTCGCGCTATCCGGACGCATCGGCGCGTCCCGTTTCGTCTAACGTAAACGCATAGTGGACATAAAGTTGAGTCCTCTTTTAAAATATTTGTATAAAATTAAATTTTTATCCGATTTACTTTGGGTTTGTTTCAAACTGCGCGCTATGAGGCTCTCTTTCTCACCACTAGGCTGCATGGTACAATAAGTTCATGAAAGGTGTGGATAACTTCGATCAAATGGTATTTTGTCCCAAACGGGTTGCAGGTGGGTGACTTTAGCCGTTTATACTGGTAATGCTTCCCCCATATCATGTATTATATGCATATGTCTGTTTAGGGAATTTTATTCCGATCAATATACAACCAAAAATAACTGTGTGCAACAAGTATAAACTTGACAAACATAACAAAAGTAAAAACATTTCGTGTGTGTTTGACGCTCACTGATATGTTCCAGCGTTGTTTTATATTTGGCGCTATTCTAACTTACGCTTTGTTGATATTTTTTACCTATGGGCACATAGAACATTCTATTGCGAACACATTGACACAAAAATGAATGACGTACATAGAAAATTAATGTCATGAGAGTGAAATAAGTATAAACTTTCAAAGCGCCGTGCGTCGTCCCGTCACCGATACCGGGTAACAATTTCACCACTTCCCACACTCTTGCGGGCGGGCCGCATCATTATTCTATGCTTATATTCATATCACCGTGTTGGGAATTTCATTGCGAGTCCATTGATACCAAAATTAACGCTGTAGAACAAGTGTGGAGGTGATTACAATCCCAAGAGTAAAAACATTTTGTTGCTGATGGGCGCTCACGGCGAGTCATCTTCGTAGTTATTTATTCGGTGCTGGTATTCCTATACGTTTCGTGACTTTTTTTACTGATGTTCTTCTAGAGAATTTTATTGCGAACACGTTGGTACCAAAATGAAATACGTAGCATGAGAACTAAGGTCAGAAGAGTAAAAAGAGTATACACATTTTTGTTTTTACGCTTACGCGATAAAAACGCAGCGCGCACATTCGGTTGGCTGAGTGACCTTTGCGGAGAGCGCGAAAGTGTTAAGAGTATTACCACTCACACAGAGTACTGTATATTGACCAGACCACACACTAGAAATTGAAGGGACGACGACGTTTCGGTCCGTCCTGGACCATTCTCAAGTCGATTGAGAACCAGAATCGACTGGAGAATGGTCCAGGACGGACCGAAACGTCGTCGTCCCTTCACCTTCTAGTGTGTGGTCTGGTCAACATACTTCAGCCACGTTATTGTGACTCCTCGCCTGCAGAGTACTGTATACTTATATATTATCACAGATTTTGTTTATTTCCCTTAAAGCTAAGGTGATTTAAGTGCAAATTTGCCTTATTTTCAGCCCCATTGCCTCACATTCAACACTCTTTTGCCTTCATAAGATTTCCAACATTTAATACCATTAAAATACAATACTGACAAAATATAAAATCAAGCTTTCAATTTTTTATGCTCCACTAACAGCAAGATTGATGATGTAGTTACCCAATTATTTGCCTAGGCTGGGCTTGTTTAGTTTAAAAAAAATCCATGTGGGTGTTCTAGTTTAAAAAACAAATGTTAAATACAGTCAAATGCCTCTCATTGGATAATTCCGTGGCTCCCAGAAGCTATCTCACCGAGACAGTTCCCAACTACACGGTCACATCAACACTTCTGATGATGTGGCCGTGGAGTTATGTTATGCCTGCTAGGGACCAGGAGCCAGAACCTGGACTCTTCATAGAGGACCAGAAAGCGGGTGACACTCTGCCTCCCCACCAGAAAAGCATCCAGAAAGTCAGCGAACCATTGCTGGGTTCAAAAAGAACTGAAGCCTCAAAATTACCAAACTCCCCAAACAATGAAGACAAACTACCAATTCCTTCAAAATTAGCATGATCTCATTAGCACAACTTTCCCTGCCAGTAGGAGAAGGGGGCAGAGTTCCAGGTCTCCCTCAGCTTTCCAAGGCAGTTCTGAAGCAGATGTGAAGAGCACAAACATCAACTGATGATCTTGGAAGGGACGAATAAAATCAGAAAGTTCTCTGATGCTAACTACCCATGGAGAAAAAACAAGAGAGACTAGCCAGGAAGTAGAGATGGCAGGTATTCAAGACAAGAACGAGACAAATCAAGGCAATACGTATAAGTACAATGAGACCCAGGAGACATCAGACAAATACCAGGCTGTCAAAACCTTGTTAGACTGCCAAAACCCTGAATGTTACCATAACATCTTACCAAAGACTGCTGCAAGAGCAGCATACTGCAGCATGACAGTAGGCCACAGGCTGCTTGGACTTAATATCACTGCAAATGACCTGAGAAACACGAGCCTTGGAACCAGAAACCGTAAAAGAATGATCAAACCACAAAGAATCCACTGAGGCAAAGGTAGCAGTCAAGAGCTGCCACTGGGTACAGCACATGATGCACCCACAGCATCAATAATAACCAAAAGGACACTTCTGGATGCCCACTAACTCATCCTCAGCCACAAAAGAAAGATGGCTGCAAATTAACAAAATGCCTACCAAGGTGAAAAGAACAAAAAAAAAACCACCTCCAGAAAGGAGCATGATACTCCCCAACCCTACAACCAGAGGCCACCTCCAACAGAAAAACGGCTTTAAAGAAAGAATCAGAGACCGAAGGGAAAAAAAGTAAACTGAAGAAGGAAAGAATGTGGTTAAGAGACCAAGAGGTCTGGGGCAGCACATGAGCAGGTCAGGGATGAAAAATGCATAAGACAGCTTCCAGAATGGTGCCAAGGTAGCATTAACACTTTCGGCCACCGGCGACGGATATTGCGTCCATAAATACTGTAACTCTACGGATGTCCGTCGGGGATGCATTTTGCATCCAAAATTAAAATATTTGTTAAAATTCCGTTTTTTCCCGATCATTATGGGAAGTGTTTTAAAATGTGCATAACATGTTCTCATTTTCTGTGATGGCCCATGTGGCATCACGGCACTGCCTCCTATGTGGTAGGTCCACTGTTATCGTGTCTACTCTCATGACCCCTGTGGCCTCCCCTCACGTCCAACGCGTGTGCCCGTTCTGGTTATTTTTCCTCAGCTATATTTGCTACTGCCTTTATAAACATTCTACATTTACTCCAAGATGGATAGTGATCAAGAACAGAGCCAGGACAAAAGCAGAGAAAGAAAAACGTCTAAGGGAGAAGCTAATTAGTGTTCGCCAAAAGTACAGTAGAGATAAAACAAAGATAAATTATCTACCAGTAGATAAAACTATATTCCGACGGAAGGACAATACTTTTATAATTCTGTGGAAAGATAAGCGAGTTGTTTCACTAATCACAATGCAGATACACAAGAAATGGAGCGAGGGAAACGAGTGCGCAAACCTGACGGAACATTGTCATTGCAACAGGTCACTGAACAAACCAAAGGCAATCTGTGACCACAATAACCACGTGAAAGATGTTGATCACTTCGACCAAATGGTCAAATATTATCATTTCACACAGAAATGGCACAAGTGGATGAAGAAAATAACGTTCCATTTTTTGCAAATGGCTATCCATAATGCTTTTGTGCTATACAAGTACTACGCTCCTGATATGAAGAAACTCTCATTGCTCCAGTTGGTTAACAACCAGGTACCCAATTACTGCTGGGTGAATAGGGGTGAACAGTTAAAGACTGGTACCCAGATAATCCTCCCTGTCCAGGACTTGAACCTAGACCTAATCGCTCACAGAACACTGGATGAGTTACACCTATGTCAATATAAAAGATTTTCCACAGCAGTTTATCAAAACAACCCCCTAAGGGTTGGTTAAATATACCCCAACTACACATTTCTTGCATTAAACCTAGGTAGTGTCTATATTTTTGGCCAAATAGACACAAGATCACTAAGTTGGTCACTTAACTCGGTTGGTCACTTAACACATCACTTGGTTGGTCACAAAGTTAAGTTAGTTACTTAACTTTGGACCTGGACTTGATAATGGTTCACTATCACACAATCAACTTAATAATGGTCCAGGATGGACCGTAACGTAGTCATTTGGTGCGTGGTTTAGTCATCAAGGACATGATGAGGAACTAAACACTAAAAAATAGTCTAGTTCAATTACACTTACAATAAGGTTGGAGAGAGTGTAATTGGGTAGATGATAAGCAAACAATTCAATTTGGTCTGCTGTCGGGTGGAGCCCCGCCTGCTCAATGTCCTCAGGCACACGAGACAGAAGACGACATAACGTTGAATGGTCTTCAGACTTCATGGTGGTTACATAGCCCTGAGGAGTAAATATTGAAATTTAAATACAAATAGGCAAGCTGTATAGTTATTCTGAAATATTTGATAACACTGAAAATAACACCAAAATAAACTTCAAGCCAGTAAATGCTTCTTTCTGAGCACGATATTTTACTGCTAATAAAAGTGTGTTCTGCAAACCACCATAGATGGCACGTGAACTCCAGTCAGGTATGATGACATGTTGAGTCGACTCAGGTGCTTGGCAATCACTAGAGACAATGTCCATCTAGCAGAGGAAAATTAATGCCAAAAGGTATGTATTTAAACACAAATCTTTCAGGACTCTCTGTGATGCCACTCTGATGGCTGCCAATGGTAACACTGACCACCATTAACAGTCAATCACAGCTCACTCCTACCAGGTGACAGCACTGCACATTACCCAGTCAATCCACCCATTGACTTGAGGAAAATGACCCCTGAATTACAGGCAGGAGGCACTTGAAGAGAGGGCAAGGGAACAACAAAATAATATGCTCAGAAAGGAACTTTTCATAAAGCTTAGTTTATTTTCTAAGCTACTTATTTTATTGGAAGCCAACATACTTAATCATACTACTAATTTTGTTCAAAGGTGAATCTATCTATTTTGAGGTTATCTTGAGATGATTTCGGGGCTTTTTAGTGTCCCTGCGGCCCAGTCCTCGACCAGGCCTCCACCCCCAGGAAGCAGCCCGTGACAGCTGACTAACACCCAGGTACCTATTTTACTGCTAGGTAACAGGGGCATAGGGTGAAAGAAACTCTGCCCATTGTTTCTCGCCGGCGCCTGGGATCGAACCCAGGACCACAGGATCACAAGTCCAGTGTGCTGTCCGCTTGGCCGACCGGCTCCCATGTACTGGATACCTACATGTACTGTTAAGATATAAAACATGTGAGGTGATACATCTAGCCAGAGACCAGAGAGAGCCACAGCCGCTACTAATACCATGCCCCCCAACCAGCGACAAAAACACTCTTCTGCTGTGTGGTTTAGTCATCAAGGACACACTGATCTGGAGTACGAGTCCTGGGGTCCTGCAACAGCTACTCACAAGAGGAGTGCCTGAATGCAGCTAAATAATGTTTAAAAGCAGGCACTGGGCAGAATTTATGACGAGAACCAAAAGATACGAGCCAGAATTTAATAAGAATAGCACAAAAGCACACATGGAACAAATCAAATTTTTGACAAGAAATTCAGGTTTCAGATAAATTCTAATGAATGAAACCTGTCAACTGAAGGGAATAAAGCCCCATGGATCTAAATATGGAATAAGAACCCTAAAGACTGTCACCAACATGAGCAAAATTAGAGCTCTGCATGAAATAAAAAGCTCCTATCTGAGATGGCCCTTCAGTTGCTCCCAAGGATGAGAGAGTAAAGGTTCGTGGACCATACTTGTGGGAATGAGCCTCGAACTATAATCAGGCAGGATTTACTTCAAATCTTCATATTGGTTTGCTTTTAAAGCCTCAGAAATTTTGTTGTAAGGCTCAAGCAGTTGTGAAAGACAAGAGCTTCCCGCTCTAAAACCATGTTGGCCTTGGTTGAATAGCTCGTTCTTTTCTAAAAAAAAATACTCATAACTTGTTTCCTTAGGATATTCTCAAAATTTTAATGGTGTGGGATGCTAGTGTGACCAGTCTATAATTTTTTTGCTAATGCTTTATTACTACCTTGTGTAATAAGGCAATATCCACAGCTTTTAGGGCCTGTGGGATTTCCCATGTCTCCACATTTTCTCCACATTATACTGAATGCCCATACAATGGTATTTTACACATCTTTATAAACAATGAATTCAGGCTCATTACACACAGAAATGACAACTGCGTGATGCATCAAATGAACAAATCCACAAGGGCTGTGACAAGGATTCAAACCTGCGTCTGAGAGCATCCCCAGTCGCTGCCTTAATCGACTGAGCTACGACATGATCAAAAGGAGTTGAAACCGAAGTTCTACTGAACTTATTGGATCCTGCAGCCTCTTCGAGGCACAAACCAGGGTTTTACACAACTCCCTCCATGCACTCGAGCTATGTCAATAAGCTGTTCTCCCTCTTCGCCCTGACTTCATTACACACAGAGATCACAATTGCGTGATGCATTACATGAACAAATCCACAAGGGCCGTGACAAGAATTCGAACCTGCGTCCAAGAGCATCCCAGACACTGCCTTAATCGACTGAGCTACGACATGGTCACGAATTTGTTCATGAATTCAGGCTACTTGAATGCAGTAGCTCTTGCATTTCATTGCACACCATGGGGAGACTTTATTTGGCTGGAAAGTTTCCTAAGATGGTTTTTCTGGGCTGGATTGAGAAATCCCCATTCTCCCTTTTGCCATTGCACTGGATGAGAACCTTTACGAAGAGAATACCGTCATACCTTGAGGTTACCTTGAGGTGCTTCCTGGGCTTAGCGTCCCCGCAGCCCGGTCGTCGACCAGGCCTCCTGGTTGCTGGACTGATCAACCAGGCTGTTGGACGCGGCTGCTCGCAGCCTGACGTATGAGTCACAGCCTGGTTGATCACCACTTCATGGTGGAAGTTAATGTGAACAGTGAAAATCTTTTTAAGTTTACCTACACTTAAGGTAAAGAGAATATCGTACGTATATAGTAACACCTCAGAGCAAACCCAACTCACTTTCTCCCATTGTGTACCGTAACGACCAGCTCTCCCCGCAATCTGCAGTGCTGATGACACACTGATCGTTTCCATTTCGACCTCTCCCTTTTCATTAATGTTTGGCCTTATCAGAGAATAGAAGATGATGCGTCGAATGCTCCTGCAAGAATCCTTCAAATATCAATGCATCTTATTAACACAAACTGAGAAATTTATGTCAGTCACCCCTGGACGTGCAAAACAGAATTACATTAAATAATTTTTATCTCTGTAAATCATGGATTAGGATATGAAAAGAATGGAAAAATTGTTTACAAAACCATAACATTACCATTACATTCCTTGCCATAACATTAATTTGGCTTAATTTCAAAATCTTGAAATTAATTAAAGTATTAATTGAGATTTTGCAGGAAGAGAAAGTAAATTATTTTTTTTTTGAGAGAGAGAGGGGAGGAAGAGCAGTGTTTGACAAAAACTAGGAGTATGAAAGTATTTAAATTGTGTGTGGAATTTAATTGGCTTCAACAACCTCTTCCTTCAAATGCATTCTGCTTACTGACCACCCGTACAGGGACTGAGAACTTCCTTACTTACAGTGCTACGGGGGAAGAGGACTTGCATGTGTCTTGGATTTTTTTGTTCTTTGTTTCACTCATTGTTTCACATACAGAGTAGCAAGATAATGGATTTGGAGGAAACTCAAATAATTCTTCTTCTATCCAACTATCACTTAACAATCCACGCTTCACAGGATATAAAGCCCCATAAAGAAAACATCACATTTAAGCCTTAACTCTAATGTTTCTTTAAACATCAAACATGCATGGAAGATATTGATATATTCAAAGCATCCCTGTTGTGACTGTAGAGCAATGTTGACCTGGCTACACACGTATTCTATTTAAAACAAAAATTACTTACAGATTGAGGCCCATCCCAATGGCATCTGTGGCAACAAGAATCTTGCACTTATGGCTAGGATCATTGAACTTAAAAGCTTGAGCAAGTTTGGTGCCTGGCGGGAGACCTGAAACCATAACAAAGTAGATAACGTAGGATATCCAAGTTTGACATTCATGGCATTAAAAACATAGTTTTGTTTTTATTATCCAGCATGGTGAATTCTTTAGCAAATGTTTCTTGAATGCCTTCACAAGTCTTTAAGACTTAGAGCAGGGATTCTTCATCTTTTTAGGGTTACAGACCCCACCCCCCCGAATGGCTTACTCAATATGTCCCCTTCTCCAGACTCAAAATAACCATCATCAGTCCTGTTAGTTACTAGTATGACTTCACCACCAGTCCTATTAGTTACCAGTATATCTTCACCACCAGTCCTATTAGTTACCAGTATATCTTCACCACCAGTCCTATTAGTTACCAGTATATCTTCACCACCAGTCCTATTAGTTATCAGTATATCTTCACCACCAGTCCTATTAGTTTCCAGTATATCTTCACCACCAGTCCTATTAGTTTCCAGTATATCTTCACCACCAGTCCTATTAGTTTCCAGTATATCTTCACCACCAGTCCTATTAGTTTCCAGTATATCTTCACCACCAGTCCTATTAGTTTCCAGTATATCTTCACCACCAGTCCTATTAGTTTCCAGTATATCTTCACCACCAGTCCTATTAGTTTCCAGTATATCTTCACCACCAGTCCTATTAGTTTCCAGTATGATTTCACCACTAGTCCTAATAGTTACCAGTAACTATACTATACCATACTGGTATAGTTACCATACTGGTAACTAGCCAGGGGAAATGGTAACACACACACACACAAGAAACTAACTTCATTATAGCTCAATAATTCCTTCTTACACTATAACAAACTACAAACATTTACTTACCACCATAAATAACCGCTACTTCATGGCCCCTTCGTTCAATTTCCCGAGTGACATAGTGAATGTCTCTCTTGCTGAAGCAAACAATGCAGTCCCCCGGGTGAATATTGTCAAAACTTTGCAAGGCATAACTTTCTATGATTAACTCTGTCAGCCTCTTGTATCTTCTAACCTGACAATGAAGAAGATATGGATCAATAGCACAGTAAAAATAAATGATAACTATAGAGTATTTCACAACACCTCACTTTATTAATAAAACTATTCAACCCTTCAACTGCACATAGTGAATAGGGTCGCTTCATTGGTGGTGCACAAAGCGACTAGGAATGCCTTTAGATCGAGCGTAAGATTTAAGACTCCCTCTGATACATGGGACTAGCATCGTCTTCCACACATTTCCTGTAAACAGATTCCATCTTGGAAATAAATTCCTGGGCACTCCTGGGTGTGAGGAGCCTCAGTACTAACACAGCAACCATGGGTAGTGAGATCCTGCTAACAATGTTCTCATCATTAGACAAACAGCCGCAGTTTTTTTACCTCTGCACATCATGCAGTGGGACTTCATATTTATTTAGAAAATTAATATGGGAAAAATTATTCAGGACTGAGTGACCATGATCGTGCCCAGCGATCACGAGTCGGTGACATCGTCACAATATTTCCTCTCTCAACCACAGCCAAAGCAAGCTACATAAAGGAACATATTTTAGAAATACTGTACAGTTATACTGTACCTCAATACTCAAACTGAATTCGTTCCAGAAGGCTGTTTGAAAGTCGATCTGTTCAAGTACTGAATACTTTTCCCATAAGGAATAATGTAAATTGGATTAATCTTTTATTTTTTTTTTTTTTGAGATATATACAAGAGGTGTTACATTCTTGTAGAGCCACTAGTACGCGTAGCGTTTCGGGCAGGTCCCTGGAATACGATCCCCGCCGCGAAGAATCGTTGTTACAACCAAGTACTCATTTTACTGTCGAATTAAACAGAGGCTACAGTTAAGGATTTGCGCCCAGTAAATCCTCCCCGGCCAGGATACGAACCCATGACAAAGCGCTCGTGGAACGCCAGGCGAGTGTCTTACCACTACACCACGGAGACTAAAATCTGTTGATAGCACATGTGGAAGGTGGGGAGGAAGAGGAGGAGAGATGTTATTGTTTGACAGGAGAGTCCCCTTCTATAAAAATGTTAAGTAATTGTACTTCTGGGATTCTCTCTTTTTTGTCTCTTTCTGTTTGGCTCAATTAATGCTTTTCTTACAAGAAACTGAAAATCGACTCATTATCCTTTGTTATGAGTGACACATGCTTGTACGATGTAGTGCTGACCAAACGGTCGACCACCAAGCATTTTTTCTCAAATAATTTTTTTTTTTGTGCACCCATTTCATGTGAGCTGTCACATAAAACAGGTGCACAGTGTAGGGAGTTAAAAAGAACCAAGATATTTTACAAAATACTATACTTAAAATCACAAAGTGAGATGATGTTTTAATCCTAGAGGATCTTTACAGTTAAAAATAAAATTATACAGTAAATCTACTGTATTTCAATACTGTACTATCAAGGACTGAAAGAGGTGTTGAAAAAAAGTTATAAGCAAGCATTGAAATGAAAAATGAACACATTTAATTTATATGAAGTTAACAAACGTCAAGTACAGGGAGTTCCTGCCTTACAAACATTCTCCCAGGTCACTATACCTTGAGGTTACCTCTCGATGATTTCAGGGCTCATCGTCCCCGCAGGCCAGTTCCTGACCAGGCCTCCTGGTTGCTGGTTGGGTCAACCAGGTTGTTTGATGCAGCTGCTTGCAGCTTGATGCATGAATCACAGCCTGGTTCATCAGCAATCCTTTGGAGGTGTTTATCGAGTTCTCTCTTGAACACTGTGAGGGGTCGGCCAGTTGTGCCCCTTATGTGTAGTGAGAGAGAGTTTAACAGTCTCGGGTCTCTGATGTTGATAGTTCTCTCTCAGAGTACCTATTGCACCTCTGCTTTTCAATGGGGGTATTCTGCACATCCTGCCATGCTTTCTGGTCTCATCTGATGTTATTTCTGTGTGCAGATTTGGGACCAGCCCCTCTAATATTAATTTTTCACATGTAAATTATTATATATCTCTCCCACCTGCGCTCTAGAGAATACAGATTTAGGCGTTTTAGTTGGTCCCAATAGTTTAGATGTTATACCGAGTGAATTCTAGCAGTAAAGGATCTCTGCACGCTCTCCAGGTCAGCAATTTCTCCAGCTTTAAAAGGGGCTGTCATTGTGCAACAGTATTCCACTCTAGAGAACACTAACATCTTGAAAAGTCTCGTCATTGGTATAGCATCTCAAGTGTGAAAGGTTCTTGTTATCCAACATGACATTTTTCTTGCAGTTGTGATGGCTACTTTATTGCATTCTTTTAAGGCAAGGTCTTCTGACATGAGTACACCCAAATCTTTTACATTGCTTTTTTGTTCTGTGATACAGCTTGACTGCGTTTCATACGTAGTGTCCGTTTTTATATTTTAATTTTCTGTGGCCCAGGAGCTGGAACTTATCTTCATTAAATACCATATTATTTTCTGTAGCCCATTTAAAGACCTGATTTACATCTTATTCGAAGTTTGCTGTGTCCTCTATGTTGCTGAACCAGGAAGACAGAAAACAGAAGCCCCTGAAAAGGGTAAGGAAGCCACAAAGGACCCACCAGAAAGACGCATTTCATTACATTCAGTGCTGATTTTCTGGACTGGACTCCTGTATTCACCTAGTTGTGTTTTGCGGGGGTTGAGCTTTGCTCTTTCGGCCCGCCTCTCAACTGTCAATCAACTTGTTTACTAACTACTTTTTTTTTTTCACACACACACTCACACCAGGAAGCAGCCCGTGACAGCTGACTAACTCCCAGGTACCTATTTACTGCTAGGTAACAGGGGCATTCAGGGTGAAGGAAACTTTGCCCATTTGTTTCTGCCTGGTGCGGGAATCGAACCCGCGCCACAGAATTACGAGTCCTGCGCGCTATCCACCAGGCTACCAGGCCCCTCTGTGATGGTTCCCTGTTGTTATGTCACCATGGAGAACAAGGAGAACCACAGACTAATCTCCTTAGAAGGAAAAATTTGCAACAAGTAACATATTCCAAAGCCTCACAAGTATGGCACAGATCAGGCACATTCAGCATGTACCAAGCCCCGAACAAAACTTGATGACACAGCAGACAATGTAAGCCTTACATTACATTACACCAGAATGTAAGCCTTATTCTGGTCTGGACAGGAGACAACATTCCTTTTGGCATTCATTAGCATAACACTGTGATGGTACCCAAGATCAAATTAAAAATATAATTTTTTTATATTTTCCATATAAAATATATTCAAAAGTATGGTGTCTGCTTGCAAAAGTAAAAATAATACCAAAACAAATATACAGTATATATACAGCAAAAACCTTTATGTTCTTCTGATAAGCACAATTGATATTGTATGTCAATGGGGGACCAGGAGTTGAAATCCGTCCAACTCCAAATTATTCTGTGGCCTCCTATGACTGCTGGGAGATGCCATTGAGGTGCTGGAATCACATGGGCAACATTGGGATTCAAACTCAAGACATAAGATGTAGATCTTCATTTGATGATGACCCCATTGCACAACACAACCACCACATGCCCTTCATGTCATCAAGGGCATGAATTTGTCATGCCCTTCAAGAATACCTGGACAAACATGTATGGAGCACCGCTTGGCAAATAAAATTTAATGTGAATAAATGCCATGTTATGGAATGTGGAATAGGAGAACATAGACCCCACACAACCTAGAAATTAGGTGAGAAATCCTTAAAGAATTCTGATAAAGAAAGAGATCTAGGGGTGATTCTAGATAGAAAACTATTACCCAAGGATCACATAAAGAACATCGTACGAGGACCCTATGTTACACTTTCTAATTTCATAATTGCTTTTAAATGCATGAATAGCAAAATACAGTATTAAAGAAATTGTTTACAACTTTTGTTAGACCAAAGCCAGAATATGCAGCAGTTGTATGGAGTCCATATCTTAAGAAGTACATCAACAAACTGGAAATGGTGCAAAGACCTGCAACATAATGACTCCCAGAACTGATGGACAAGAGCTACGAGAAGAGGTTAGAGGCATTAAATATGCCAAACTAGAAGATAGAAGAAAAAGAGGCAATATGATCACTACGTACAAAATAGTAACAGCAATCGATAAAATTGATAGGGAAGAATTCCTGTGATCTGGAACTTCAGGAACAAAAGGTCATAGATTTAAACTACTAAACAAAGCAGCTGAAGAAATATAAGAAAATTCACTTTCGCAAACAGTGATAGAGGGTTGGAACAAGTTAGGTGAGAAGGTGGTGGAGGCCAAAACCGTCAGTAGTTTCAAAATGTTACATGATAAAGAGTGCTGGGAAGACGGGACACCACGAGCATAGCTCTCGTCCTGTAACTATACAGGTAATTACAGTTGGGTAATTACATGACAATAACTGAACGTTAAGGACTGAGGAGGTCACACCAGGAATCAGGAGGGAAGAATTTCCTCAATCTTTAATGAGAAAATGCTGCAAACAAGGAAAGTTGGCAGCATAGTCAAGGTCTGAACGATGCAAACCTGTCAAACTCGAGAGAAAGAAGAAATCGATAGAAAAGCATTGAAAATCTGCCAAAGGGTGAGAGGAGGAGGAGGAGGAAGTGCAAAAGTTGCTCAGGAAATATCTCACAGTGTAAACGTGTAAAATAGGGCAAAGCCAAGAAAGTCCCACCTGCAGCCAGAGAAGCATCCATCAAAAGCATATAAATATTCCCAACACACGAGACAATAGAACAAACTCACAGAACAAAATGGGATGAACCACCAGTCACTGGAGAAACATAATGTTAAAAACAAGCACGACAAGGGTAATTGCCAGGTGGATTAACTAACATTTATCAGAGTACTCCATAACAGTCTGATGTGAAGAAGCATCACATCACAAGGCATTTCAAGTGCACATTTATAGCATAAGTCTTCTCAAGATCAATTCAGGCTGCACCGAGATGTCAAACGTCTCCATTGTACCAGGCATGTTGCAGTGAAAACCTTTGAAAAGATTTCCCCCTTATGCAGAAGCAAGAGCCTTGCTTCTTGCAAGAGGCAAGAACCCTCCCTGACTGTGCATGTTCTCTATGTAAACAACAGGACCATTACTCAAGGGTGCAATTGAATAGTACTGTACAGCTAAAAAGTAAATGGTAAAGGAGTTAAGCTTCTCTGTTAAACAATTTGTTGTCAAACTTACCTCCACCTCTTCTCCAGTTGCAATTGCTAGCTCATTTATAAGGCCAATAGCTGAAGCTTCCCCACATACATGAACCTCCTTTGCACAAAGACCAAGTAAGGCTCGAGTCCAAGCCCAGCCTCGCGTTGGGTCTCGTACCATCTGAATCTCGTCAATTATAGCCACATCATCTGTTGCAGAATAAGTACAGTAATTATAAAATACAGTAATACATTTTTAAAAAAGACATAATTAATATATCAAGCCATGTGGATATAGAGTAATCATCTTCATTGTAATTGTTATTCATCTATAATTAGAAAACATTTTAAACTAAATCTGGAAAGAGGTGAACAGTTAAGGATTGGTGCCCAGTCAATCCTCCTTGTGCATATAATGACAACAAAATATTATACAGTAGCACGTCCCAAATCAAGACCTTCTTTTAACTGATCTCTCTAAACAATGGACCAAATTCAGTCACCTATTCCCTTCAAAATTTTTATTTGTAAGAAAGTTTTATCTTTCACCGTAGGTTAGGTAAGGTCAGTGGAAGTGCCAGAAATATTATTCTGAAAATACTTATGAAACCCTATCTCCTACATAATTTATTGGAACAAGTTCCTAAGATATTTCATATAAAATTTTGAGTTAAAGAGTTTTGAGCATGGAAGAGGCAAAGGGCCTGGTTCACTGACATCATTTGGGGGGGGAGGTCATAGGTATTTTTCAACACCTTTGAAAAATACCCCTAAGCTTTAAGGTGGGAGTGGGTGGCTGAGTGGACAGAACACTGGACGCGTGATCCTGTGGTCCCGGGTTCAATCCCGAGCGCCGGCAAGAAACAATGGGCAGAGTTTCTTTCACCCTGATGCCACTGTTACCTAGCAGTAAATAGGTACCTGGGAGTTAATCAGCTGTCATGGGCTGCTTCCTGGGGGCGGAGGCCTGGTCGAGGACCGGGCCATGGGGACACTAAGCCCCGAAATCATCTCAAGATAACCTTAAGAAGGGGGGGCTGAATTCTGAGAAATATTGGGAATGAGGATAAAATCTCTCCAGAGTCCTCTTGGTACAGTAGTTGTTTATTATATGGCAAGTTGAAATTAAAACTTTGCTTAGTGAAATTCGCCCGCGGAGTGCAGAAACATTTGTGCTACGAATGGTAACTCCTTTAATTTGGCACTGACTGCAATTTTAATGAATTTTGGTGATAAATGCAACATTAGAATAGACAGTTGGTACCTTGGGAAAACCCATTGATGAAAAGCCTTGGATGAAAAAGAGAAATTATGGACAAAAATAAGAGAAAAGCAGAGTTTTCACTCGCCGTGCAGATTTATTCTTGTTAACTCCAGTAGTTAGAGCATAAGTATACAGTACCAGACCTCCAAAAATGATAGTACGTACCTACAGCTACTATGGATGGAATGTACAAAATACGGATTCTTTTCAGCCAAAAAGTATACATTTTCTACTATTAGAACACTACAAATGAAATGCCAGAAAGTGGAATGAAACCTATAAACCTAACCTAGGCCTAAACCAAGCAATCCTAAGCCTTTATATGCCACCTTAGGCCTTATTTATGTTATACTAAGCCTAAGAAAGTTTAGGTTTGGTTGTTGCCTTTCTTCAATGGCCCTTTACAAATTAAAAACAAAACAATTTTTTCAGGTATGCCAGAGTACAAATCCACAAGGGGCCTTGATGAGGTTTCGAACCTACGTCTGAGAGGATCCCAGACGCTGCCGTAATCGACTAGGCCACGACATGGTTAAAAGAATTGCAACCGGGAGTTCCACTGGCCTCACACGGATCCTGCAGCCTCTCCGAGACACAAACCAGTGTTTGTGGGGGAATTACTAAAGCTATACACCTTAACATGTTCCTAAATAAATCAAAGCATTAGAGATGCACACACACAACTTACAAGGGTTATTAACAGATGCCATTTCCACAGTGCAAGCGACATGATTTGCTGATGACCCGTCCGTGTTACCAAACCTTCTTTCCTCCCCAGTAACGAGGTCACAAGGTGTACCCTGCAGGAAAAAGTAACAAAATTTATTCAGTTACATTATTTAAATGAAATATGTACAGTAAATTCCTACTCAGACATAGCTGTACCAGAATCACTTCAACTGTAGCAGAATTATGCTACATCAAAATTTTTTCTATTTTTTTTACTATTTTCTAGAAAACATTATGCTTTCATTACACATTTGATTCAAAAAGCCCATTAAAAGCATATTTTCTCAATTTATTCTTATGTGTCAGCACCATACTTCAGTCCAGTGAATACAAAGTCGCATTCCACTATGACTATTATTTTCATTTCAACTGAATATAACAATCATACTACTGTACAATAACAGAACTTTCCTGTTGAAGCTGACATTCTGGTGCAACACTTTCTGTTGATAATGCTACTCTAATCTTTCTTTATCCAAATTTTATAACAGAACCTCACACCAGGTTCTTGCATGAAAGACCGTGTGGAAAGAGGTGCCAGAGAGGAGTGTTGGGGGTTATCTTCTTGAGGTTATCTTGAGATGATTTCGAGGCTTTTTTTTTTAGTGTCCCCGCGGCCCGGTCCTCGACCAGGCCTCCACCCCAGGAAGCAGCCCGTGACAGCTGACTAACACCCAGGTATCTATTTTACTGCTAGGTAACAGGGGCATAGGGTGAAAGAAACTCTACCCATTGTTTCTTGCCGGCGCCTGGGATCGAACCCAGGACCACAGGATCACAAGTCCAGCGTGCTGTCCGCTCAACTGACCCGGGGGGGGGGGGGGGGGGGGGGGGGGGGGGGGGGGGGGGGGGGGGGGGGGGGGCTTTCTCCTCCCAACACCCAGGAGGCTCGGCCAACCTAGTTACGATTAGGGTAGTTGAGTTAGTATGGATTATGTAGTTTGGAGAGTTGTTTGGCAAGTTGATTTTATAAAAATTTCTTGGAGAAAGATCATGTGTTTATATTTTTTTCAGTGGCTAAGCAATTGATCGCAGTAAGGGATCGATCTCCGGGTCCCATGAACACCTCACCACATACAGGGAACAAGACTACTGGAAGAGATACTCGTCTTCGATATCGAAAACGTTTCAGGAAGCCTGATGTGTTCCCGATGTCCTGTGTGTGTTAGTGGCACAAGCTGTGCAAAGCTACCGAAAACTGCAAACCCAGACAATGATTTTCTCAACACTAAAACTACTACAAATTATAATACAGGTACATAATATGCATTTAAATATAAAATCGACAACATTTTTGTCTATAACTTTCAAAATCTCTTTTTTATTTTAAAGCCAGCAGTTAATTATCATTCCTGAAAAGGGCAAAGTACAGAATACTCTCAAAAGTTGTCCTGGGTAAAACATAACATATTTTAGATAGCACTCACTCTTTTATTGCTTTTATGAAAGACTTCAGTAGCCAAGAGCTTGAGAGGGCCACAGTATACACCAGACTCAGCAGTCAGGAACTGCTCCATGGCATGATACGTCTTCCCACTATTGGTAGGACCTGCGTGAAATATTATTTTACGGTTCAATGCCCGAGCTTCAGAGTACCTAGAAAAAAGAAGCACAAAATATATTCAATGACACTTGTACTACAATTTTATTTCAAATTAATACCAGGTTTTGTAATAGAATCAAAACATTCCTCCTGCTGTAATTCAAAATATTAAAATATTTGATTTGCAATGACTATTGCAGTGTATGATTATTCTGCTAGCTGTTATCCCACAACTAGAAAGAGGCAACAGATGAAGTGATGCTTAAACCTTGACTCTGATGTTACATTTAGTGTGCACTACAGTACATACTTATCAAGCATATCGAGTGATTTATTATAGATGACAAAAATTTTAGAAAAAAAATCAGGGGTTGGATGTAATGAAATGCCTCATTCTGGTGGGCCACTCAGTCACTTCCTGAGCTATTGCACCGAGGCTAAAAGCCCCAAGAACCATACCAGGCCTCTGAGACTCATTCGAGTCTATCGAGTGTTGGAACCAGGCTCTGGCTTTCTTATCAAGGTGAGGTAAGTTTGCGGATCAAAGATAAACCAAAAACTGAGAAAATCCCCCAAGAAAGCAAGAGCACACCAAAACAAGCAACTACTTAAAGAAATTCATGACCCCTGAAGGAAATAAGGCAAATTATTGTAAATGCAGGGAGAATACCTCATCTGTGAAGTGTCTAACTGCTACTAGTCAGCAGCTCAGGCAGCCTAGTTTCATTGTAAAAGAAACAGGCAAACTACTTGACCCCAATAGAAGGTCAAGGGCAAACCAGGCCTAAAAACTTCACATACGAAGAGAACAGCAAATCATCCAGGTAACAGGCCTGACGGGCCAGGCACCATAATTGAACCAGCAAAGTCAGGAGGAATCAGACCAAAACATCTCCAGCCTGCTGGTCGGACGAGCGGACAGCACGCTGGACTTGTGATCCTGTGGTCCTGGGTTCGATCCCGGGTGCCGGCGAGAAACAATGGGCAGAGTTTCTTTCACCCTACGCTCCTGTTACCTAGCAGTAAAATAGGTACCTGGGTGTTAGTCAGCTGTCACAGGCTGCTTCCTGGGGGTGGAGGCCTGGTCGAGGACCGGGCTGCGGAGACACTAAAGCCTCGAAATCATCTCAAGATAACCTGGCCATCACAGGAAGCATAGACCAGAGTGGATGAAAGAAGTAAGGTAGAACTCTCAAGAGAAACTACAAAACACCACAATTTCCCGGACTGTAATATGCACCCGCAGCAGGTGAAGATCCTACTAACCCTGACTGGTGTAGTGATAGCTGTAAACAAACCCCCCAGCTGAGGTTTGAAATATTCATGAAGACTGAGCAACAGAGGCCAAACAAGCCACTAAGCTGAACCCAGAAAATCAAGAGGAAGATGACTAATCAAGATCCTTTGCAAATACTATGAGGCAAGCTCTACACAGTCCCAAATGCAGAAGGACGCCAACTGGAAAACACAAAACAGCAATTGCTACTGAAACATAGCCCAAAAGTTAAAGTCTGCTGGCATCCTGGCAGCGGCAGCGTCCAGGATGCCCATGCCCATAAGTCACTCAAGGAACCAACAGGAAAGCCAAGACCTCTCTAATTGACAGTGATGGACACTCAGCCGTAACAGGGTACACTGCAGCAGAGAAGGGGAAATCATCCTTAGTAACAGCAGGCAAATGAATGAGGTGGCAAGCTGGCCAAACAAGCCACAGAAGAAGCACACTGCTAACTACACCATCGACAAAGTCATGGAGCACTACAAAAGAGGGTCCAACCGGAAAAAGAAGTCTTCTCCAAGTGAGGAACGAAAATCCACTGGTGGAAACTGATCACCACAACAAAGTGGATGTAAGGCAAGAGACATGCAAACAAACTGGCACCAATGCCATAAAGCATTATTACCAAAAGGCTATTACACTGGACAACTGTCTAACAAGCCAGGTGCCCTAACTTAAAAGGTGAGGCCTTGGGTCAGGTGCACTATATCTTGCACAACATGGCCAAGCAAGAGCAAGTGTGCTGGATCACCCTGACCTTTGGGTATTATAAGAAGCCACCTGGTGGCACTCCAGAAGTTAACATTGCAGGGATTAGACAGTTCAGAGGTGTTTAATATTGAAGATTACCACACTTTTCATAGTTGTCCTACACATCTCGACGATGCAAGCTGAGGAAAGTTACCATGGGGGTGTAAACTCCGAAATCTTGACAGCTATACCACAATTTTGTTTCCTGGGTAGCAAGTGATAGGGAAAACATCTTGAAGGCACCTGAAGGCTGCCGGCTCCTTATCTAGAGCTGTGATACATTGTTCATTAAGTTATTACCATCAAGATGCCTTCCCTAAGCTGTCATACACAAAGGTCAAAGCAAAGAGAAAAATAGTAATTTTCTATAATGTGGAGGTCTAAACAATCTAAAAATAACACTTAGAATCCAGGAACAAAAAAAAATATATAAAATTTGTTACATAGTGTAATAATTATAAGCAAATATTCAATGAATATGACAATTTAAAATGCTAGCTAGAGAATGGGTGTTATCAGAAAATGTTTTTAGAGAGATACAGCAGAGTACAGTACTCACCAATTTGGAGGATTTGACAAATCTGATATTTTATATAGATCATCCATACACATTAAGTGTGGGAATATTTTCCGAGCGTGCTTCAAAAAACTTGTGTATATGTCGTTGATATGACCTGCACCCTAGAAAAGATTTATACAAGTATTAATATTCTTTACAGCACCATGACATACAAGACTAAAAATTCACCATGACAAAATAGCAAAACTAAAGTATAGCATTCTTTATTATACTGTTTATGCTTGGTCATTAAAATATATGGGACCCACCCTCATTCAAGTTAGCTGAATTTCTTACCAGGAATGTTAAAATATTAACAAAGTTGCAATTTTTTGGACTACAACCCAGTTACTCCAACCATTTACCCCGTACATTTTCATTATTTACCTGCTCTGTTAACCCAATTACCACTCCCATCATTTACTTGTGAATGATAAACACATTTATTCAGATTACCTGAAGATTCGGGTTACCGGAATTTAGATTACTAAGCTGTTACAGTACTTCGATGTGCGGAATTACAAGCACAAATTTTCTTCAACTATCATTAAAAAATATCTTTCATAAACTAAAATAAACTTTAAAGAAATATTTTAAACACACCTGAATAATGTCACTGATAATGATGTGAAGATCAACAGGCAATGATTCAGATTCCAGGCAGAATTTACGGAAACTTATGAATGTCTGCTGATAAAGGTAGTCTGAAATAAAGACAAACTTTAAATAAAATCTATTAATAAAATTCAAGCAGCAAGAAACCAGATTTGAATGTAATGAAATGGCAATTTTTTGGTGAGCCCTGGAGGCTCCCTAAACCTATCATATACTGATCAGTGCCATACTATCATGTGCCATACATGATATCATGCATGCCAGTCATGCATGCCAGTCATACTCATGACTGGAGTTCTTATTGACCTACCGGGGATCATTAGCCAGAACCTGGTCCCCTCAGAGAGGCGCAGGGAGCAATGGCTTATGAAAACTTTGCATTTAAAGTTTAATGATACTTGCCACCATCTGGAAAGCACCCAGAAAGGTAGGCAAACCAAAACAAACTACTTCATGGTGTAAAAAGCAAGACCGCAGCCTCAAAACTACCAAAAGAACTCCCTCAACAATAAAAACAACCCCCCCCCCTAATTTTACCTTAAATTATCGTTTTCCAGTTTGCCCCACTATCCCCACCTCCCCTCATTTGGTAGGGAGGAGGGAGGCGTACCATGTCAGCCGGCTTACACTTACACCAACCTATGTTTGATACACCGCATTGATGCTCTGGGGGGGAGGGGGGAGTCACAGGGAGCCTCCAAGGCTCACCTCAAAATTGGCATTTTATTACCTTCAATGCTGGTTTTCTGTGGGGAAGCTCCGTTGGCTCCCTGAAGCTAACTACCCGCAGAGAAGAAAAGAAAAAGTGCACAAAACTGAGAAGGGAAACGAAAAGGCTCCTACTCAAGCAACCTCCAAGGAACCCAGCTTCCCTCAACACCAGAAAGATAAAGCTGCAGACGGAGGAAGGCCACAGGAGGCAGGGAAGTGACACCGACTGGAAATTCAAGTGAGGCCCAACCAGGTCCGACCCCAGAATGGAACCCAACTGGGGCTTCCACCAGAATACTAGGACCTGAAACCTGATGAGCTGGGAAAGACCTGGGTCCCCGGCTACCAGACAACAGACTTGCTGGGAGCCCACACCAGCCCGCCAACAAGTGGGCTAACTTCCAGAACCAACCAACAAAGAAGGGCCACCATAACCTGAGAGAGACGCATAAAATGTGAGGTGCCAGCACAGCTGAAACAGAAAACAAATCACCCCACCACAAAGCGAACCAACTCCAGAAAGGTCCAGAGAAGCATTGAAGAGACCAGAAAAAGGGGTGGAACACAGCAAGGAACAAGGCCACAGAGACCACACCCAGACCACCCGACAAGGCAAGGAGAGGCGACCTGCCCTAAGAATCCCCAAAAGAGGCAGGAGCAGGGCCAAGCAAGCATGCTCTCCCCACTGCCGGAGCAAAAGGGTGATCCACGAGAAAAGCGGCACAAACCCAAGCCAGCCTGACAAGCAGAGAGTGCCCAGCAGTAACCAGATGCAATGGGCAAGGTCTGGGAAAGCACAACCAACCCGGCTGCTGGCATCAGTACGATCCCACCATGACAACCGCTGGTGAGGCCCCAGCTCAATAAACCGCCAGGAAGCGAGATCAACCCCAACAAACACCCAACAAGACAGCAACAATACTGCAACAACAGCCATAACAGAAAACCCCAAGTAGTAGTTCAGAGGGAACAAACTAACAAAAGGAGGGAAGAAGAAGGAAGAGCCAGGAGCTCATGCCAAGTCCAAAAACCAGCCGTGTCAGCAAGATGGGAGGTGAACATGAACAGAGAACAGAGGGCCGAGCCCTGCAAAATACAAGCCAAGTGGCACGAAGGGTAACTGCCACCAAAACAACCGACAGGGGTAAGCAGTAAGCAGCAAGCAGCTACACAAAACCCCTTGCACAGAAGAGCAGGAGAGAAAGCACACAGGCGGGGATGAAAACAAAAACAACAACAACAAAAACTGCCACCACACATTCACCTCCTGCCAGTCAAGCATGTGGTATGGCTAAACCTGTGCCAAGCCCATAGGGGAACAAAAATGAGCTAAAGAAAGAAAGAAAGAAAGAAAGAAAGAAAGAAAGAAAGAAAGAAAGAAAGAAAGAAAGAAAGAAAGAAAGAAAGAAAGAAAGAAAGAAAGAAAGAAAGAAAGAAAGAAAGAAAGAAAGAAAGAAAGAAAGAAAGAAAGAAAGAAAGAAAGAAAGAAAGAAAGAAAGAAAGAGCTAAAGAAAGAAAGAGCTAAAGAAAGAAAGAAAGAAAGAAAGAAAGAAAGAAAGAAAGAAAAAAGAACCAAAGCTGTGAACATAAATAGCTGGCAACACAGTTGGGATCCTAAGAGCCCAAACAGGCTACAAAGAACAAAAGCAGCAAACGGAAACAGCTGGAACGCAACTGAGCTCCATAAAACACCTAGCAGGCCTCAGAACCCAAACAGGCAACCACTTAGCTGATGAAGGCAGCAGGAGCCAGAGCGCCTGATGACAACACCCGGGAACACATCAGCAAGAACTGAGGTTGGTGTGAGCCGGCTGACCCAGTACTCCTCCCTCCTCTTCCCAAACGAGGGCAAATGGTGGGGGCAAACTAGCCTGCGATTGTTTCAAGTAAATATAAGGGTTGTTTTTATTATTGGCAGAGTTCTTTTGGCAGTTTTGAGGTTGCAGTCTTGCTTTTTACACCAAGACGTAGTTTGTTACTTTTCTGGGTGGTTTCCTGGTGGTGGCAAGTATCATTAAACTTTAAATAAGGTTGTAAGGTTTTCATAAGCCATCGCTCCCTGCACCTCTCTGAGGGGACCAGGTTCTGGCTCATCATTCCCGGTAGGCCAATAAGAACTCTGCAACTGATGGCACTTGCTAGTACGGCACTGAACAGTATATGATAGCTTAAGGGAGCTGATGGGGCTTCATCCAGAAAAGAACATATTAAATGAAAATTTATAAGGAGGCAATATTTCTTTGGGAGATACCAAATAAAATACAAATAACTCATTCATTCATTCATACTTACTGTCCAATCCATTTTCTTTTGCCAATTCCTTAATACTTTCATCGGCATAGAAACGGTTCATGATACGTAAGATATCCTCTTTCTTTAGTGGGCCAGCCATTTCTTCCCCAACATTAATTTCATCTTGCCTTGCCTGTGAGAAGTAATAATATACTGTATGTCATGACTGATGGAAAAGAAAAAGTAAAATTTTGTCCTAGACTGAACAAAAATTAGGAATGCATGTTCCCCTAGTTTATTGGCTCTAGTACCACAGAGACAGCCAATAAATTACCAGGCCTCTGGACTTGCACAAAACCAGAATCTAGTGTGTTATAGAGGCCAGAAGATTATGGGAATCTAAGATCATCTTCATAACCAAGTAAAACTGCATAAAAAGTAATGTACAGGTCAAACAAACCAACTACATACCTTGAAGAAAAATAAAACTTGGGAACAAAGGAAGTAATAGTTTGTCAACAAATCAAATGCTTGTATCCCAGTGTGACACCAACTGGCAGCTCACACCAAGTTGACTTGTATGCCACTCCAAAATGGCTTCAAGTCCCAAAGAACAGATTGGCAAAAAGGGCAAGTATATATTAGAAAAGAAAGCAGTAATAGCAGTGTATTTGGGTACATCCTGTGTATGTGAATACACATCAAACTGGCTGATTTGAACCACTGACAGATTATACGAGAAAGCCTGGCCTTGGAAGAAGGCATCAAGGAAACAGAATTAATCAAAAGAGCAATAGCCCAAGTAGCATGAGTAATATGAAAATAAAGTTGCATCACAGCACAACACATAGAACATGTAAATACAAAGACAGCATGAGAAGGTTTAGTCCAAATGGAAGAGCCTAAATGTGGAAGCAGATATTTCCCTTTTTGAACTTTAATCCTGGAACTGAGGAGGAACAGAAATATGCCAGGAAAGCTTCCTCAGTTCCAGAAAGACAAGCCAAAAGTTAGTTAAAATCACCAGTTGAACCTAGGAAACAGTGGTCATCAGGTCATTGGACAAGGAATGTGTAAACTGAGAAAGGAGAGGTCATAAATAAACTGAAGATCTAGAGAATTCTCCTTTGAAACAGGGAACAGCCGGAACACTATCCAAAGGTAGGGAGTTATTGCAATGACCCCCTTGTCCAACAATTCATGAGCAACTGTCCAGATGACAGTCAAAAACAGCTAGGAAGAAATCAGGAGTGCCAAGCAAAGAAGAGAAGAGCAAGTCCAACATCCAACAAAAGCCCGAGGACACTATATGAACATTCAATTATCCACGATTCATCCCTGCAGAAAACTGGCAAAAAAAACAAAAGAAATGGCTGGAACTCCATGTAGCTCCTGCTGCATGCAGTGCCCAATCTTCCACCCTTGAAGGGAACAGAAGCGAAGAAAAAATGGAAAGATAATAGCAGAGAGTGTGACCAAGTAGACTCCTGGGGCCAGATTCTGGAGATTATCTAAAACTACACATTGGTCTGCATGATGTATAGCATCACCACATGACAAAGGAGCAAAATGGTTTAGCAAAGCATTTGGAACATGTACTGTATGGCTACCAACAATGAGAATGAGGAACCCAAAGTATGCAAAGCTATTCATTACAAGCAATCTTACCAGAAACATTTCTGGTGTGCCGCAAAAATGGAGAGCCTCCACCATACAGGTCACATTGTCTAAACCCACAGGCAAATTTGGCCCCCCAGATATTAAGTTGCCCCTGAATCCATATCCAAGGGAGGGGCAAAGAATTTGTTCATTATTGTTACAAGTCATAAGAAATTTAAATAATTTGAAACTCCACATTTCTCAGAATTTGCACGAGTCAGATTTAGGTCCAATCCATATGACCAAAATTAGTGAGCAAAATCTGTACTTCATTTTAACAGATATTTTATAATGTATCTATTTATGCTTCTGGAAAATACGCACTTTTTACAGAACCTGCCCAAATTCTTTGCACTCAGATACCAGTTGGTACTACTGTACTTAGTATAACAGTGCTGCACTTGTTAGTCGTAACATTAAAAACATTCCAGGCTCATCAAACCAGACACTTAGGACTAGAACCAAGTCAAATTTAATTACTGTAATTATTTTAAAAATATGCAATTTGCCTTTAACATTTATTTCAGCTTTTGACTAGGTCAAAGATTTTTTTCATAAGTATTCTTATTATCCCATGTATACTGACAGAAGCTTGACATAAAACAAAGTACAGTATATCTAAACAAATAGTACATAAGCAGGCGATGAATCACAATAACGTGGCTAAAGTATGTTGACCAGACCACACACTAGAAGGTGAAGGGACGACGACGCTTCAGTCCGTCCTGGACCATTCTCAAGTCTATGTCAGACCACACACTAGAAGGTGAAGGGACGACGACGCTTCAGTCCGTCCTGGACCATTCTCAAGTCGACTGTGAGAATGCTCACAATCGACTCAAAAATCAAATCAGTCTGGTCAAAATACTACACAAAGTTCGAATGTTCTAAATTCCTACAAAATTTATATACTGTATTCTAAATTCGTATAAAATTTGAATATCCTAAATTAATACCAAGTTCCAAAGATCATGGATTATACTTTTACCTTTACTGGTACTGGAATGAAGAGATGTGATATATCATCCTTACTGCCCCCACCTCCACCACGTGAGTACCTATGCTTTAGTCTTCGTGTTGAGTAGCTCACTGGCTGATGAGCACTCAACATCATGTGTAAAGTTCTGAAACAAACAAAAAATGTGATACTGTATTATGATACAGAATGAAAGGTCAATTACAGAGCATAATTCCATAAAATATAAAACCAAGTATTGAATGTACACGTACTGTAAAAAAAATTACCATTGGTGTGGCTTTCTGTAGATCTCTAGCTAAGAACTAATTCCTCCAAGCTTGGGAAGATGCACCAGGCTAATTAGACCTACCCGAGCCCACCAGGAGCCAGGACCAGCATATGGCTCTCTTTAAGAGATGAAGGGAACTTATGGATCAGAAATCAACTACCAAAAGAAAAAAAGCAAGATAAGCAGCTGCTTTAAGAAAATTACATAGCGTACACTCAAGTAACAAGGTGAACAATTATTGATGTGATGCAAACATCTTGAAGTTATCTTGAGATGATTTCGGGGCTTTAGTGTCCCCGCGGCCCGGTCCTCGACCAGGCCTCCACCCCCAGGAAGCAGCCCGTGACAGCTGACTAACACCCAGGCACCTATTTTACTGCTAGGTAACAGGGGCATAGGGTGAAATAAACTCTGCCCATTGTTTCTCACCGGCGCCCGGGATCAAACCCGGGACCACAGGATCACAAGTCCAGTGTGCTGTCCACTCGGCCGAATCATAACTGTCATGTTCTTGATCACCACCAGGTGGCAGGTCACAACACACGACCCTGTCTGGGCTGGGCATGTGGCCTGGGATCAATAACACACATTAGGCAATGGACTAGTTCAACAATTGTCAAATATTTATAAGAAATTTGTATTCATCAGTGAATACCATAATTGTATTTATCCTCCTGTTGAATATCTCCATTTCTCTGGTAATTATCCTGCCGAGGCTTTCTTGTTGTGGATATGGTTAAAACAATGAATAAAGTACCTAATTTCATCTTCATAGTACCCAAAATCTTCATCTTTAAAGTACCTAAAAAGTACCTAATTTCATCTTCATAGTTTTTTACCTTGTTGCTTTAAAATTGCACTATATCTATTGCTACCCAATCTCCCAATCTTTATGTACCCAATCCGAACATCTTTACCATTGTGATCATTGCTGTCTTCTTATATGTGCTATCAATCTGCTGTATGGTGTCTATTAATCTTGTTTAAATTACCAATCAAGATGTCAATGTAATAAATCAGTGCTTTAATATACCAATGTGCTTTAATATACTGTACTTACTAATCTCTCACATCTCATTTTTTTCTTGCAATGTATCTGTTATAATTTTATTAAATTTGCTAGAATTTACCTACTTAAATTATCTGTTAGATTAAGGACCTGCCCGAAACGCTGCGCGTACTAGTGGCTTTACAAGATTGTAAATACTATGCTATGTATCCTCACAATCCCAATGTACCTTCTTGTATATAAATATATAATAAAACAATAAATAAAATAATTCCCAATACAAAATGTGTGTATGCATGTAGGTTTATATTATTTTATACATACATCTTGAGTTATCTTGATTATCTTGAGTTGATTTCGGGGCTTTAGTGTCCCCGCGGCCCGGTCCTAGACCAGGCCTCCACCCCCAGGAAGCAGCCCGTGACAGCTGACTAACTCCCAGGTACCTATTTACTGCTAGGTAACAGGGGCATTCAGGGTGAAAGAAACTTTTGCCCATTTGTTTCTGCCTCGTGCAGGAATCGAACCCGCGCCACAGAATTACGAGTCCTGCGCGCTATCCACCAGGCTACGAGGCCCTACATATATATAAATGCAATAAAATATTATATTTATATTACCTAGGCAATGAAACTGTTATACATATGGTACTCATTTGAGTGATTAGTGTTTTGGTCTTCGGTTAACTGATCCACCTGGCAGATCAGCTTTGACTCCCATGAATATAGGATGGTGTAATGCACTTTCTTATTTTGTTTGAGTTATCCTTTGTTGATTATGCAAATTGCTTATCATTATAAGGAATAGCAAGTGCATAAACTGTATTTATTAGTGTAAATCACGAAAAATAAACACCTGATTAAAAATGTGACGGTGTCAGACCACAGAGGAAGAATTGAAACAGGAATTTTCTTAAGTACTTTCATATATTAATACATCTTCAGAAGGAGTGATTTACAGGTCAAGTATTGGACATATATAGGCAGGAGAGAATGGTGGAGTGAGGTGAGGTACGTAACAAATGAATGTGAATTAGGTGGACACAAATATGAGCCGCATAAAAATTGCAGAAGGCCTGTTGGCCCATACGATGCAGCTTCTATTCATACCCACCAACAGGCCCACACGTGGATAATAATAGCATAAGATAGTGATATATATATATATGAAATGATATGAAATATATATATATATATATATATATATATATATATATATATATATATATATATATATATATATATATATATATATATATAATTAATTGTACCATATTATATAAATATTGTACATACTAATACTAACGTGCTCCTTTGTACATTTAATAAACCTTACTATTATTATTATTACTATTATTATTATTATTATTATAAGTACCGTGTATTGTGGGGAGTTGGTGGATGACTGTAGCCTTGATGTGCGGCCCCCAGACTGGCCGCTGCGCACCCCAGCCTCCCCCAGTCGCCCCTCTCCACACACCACCACTGTCTCGCCACGCCTCGTGACACACTCACACTCTTCCACATCTTGAGAGTGTTGTGGTGTTGATTTAGGGGGCGACGACGATGTCTTGAGAGTGTGCTAGCACGCCGGTGTGTGGTAGTGGAAGTGTTGTTGTAGCCTGAGCCCCTGAGCCCCTCGCGGGCTACACTCTGTTGTTTACAAGTTGTGGCTTCCTTACCATCCACTACAGTCAGCGGTCTCCTCTGCCTCTCTCCTAATCACGGCATCTCTTGAATTACTATAAACCTCATCTATATATCTAGTAATAAACTTGAGAGCTATCTTTATTTGCTGTATAAATGACTACAATTCTTCTGAATACCTTATATAAAAAATTTGTGTAATTTATATTTCCTAGATGTGATATAATATTGAAAAGCAACACTACAAGCCTAGAATAAAAACAATGTCCTAAAGTGATTATAGATTGATTAATATTATTTATATTCTAAGCTGTATCACTTATGAACCCATCCCTGCCCTTGTGTGGCAGTGCACAATAGAAAGTTGTTTTCACATATCCACACATTAAAACATTGATTGTAACCATGATATATATGTGCTTCAGCCTACAGTTTAGACCTATTGTCTTATGTATGACCCTCTGTCCTGCGTGACAGTGAATACTAGCATTATCCTCAATTTAATAAGACTATCAAAATCCTCAGATTAGGCAAAATTGTAATTAATTTTGCCAATAAAGATGTTAATAATAATAAGTAAATAAAAATAATGTTAATAATAATATTAATAATAATATTAATAATAATTTGTTACCCTCCGCACAGCCTCCATCACATAGTGACGGAGGGTGTGCGAATACTTTTGTTGACACAGTTTACATTTGGTCAGGTCTACATCAGCAGATAATGAGAATTCTCAGAGATACTAGTAACTGAGTCTAAGCTGAGCAGTAGTCAGAAGCCTCACGTCTGCCTGCACATGTCTTATGTATTAATTTTGTCTAACTTATATTGGTTAGACAACATGTGTCTTGTCTTATGTGTTAATTTTGTTAACATCAGCCCGTAATATTATTAAAACAACAAATTATGCATATAATAACAGCATTTCACGCTAAAAATACTTGGATAAATTGAAATTTGGTAGAGAATTCCTATCTAGGAATTTCATATGACGAAACTACTAAGTTTGCTTTAGCAAGGTATACTGTATATAATAAATAGTTAATACTAAATCATTGTATAGGGGGACAGGCAGCCAGTGTATATATATATACACATGTTAGGCAAATACCGAGGTCCCTCCAAGATGTAACTAGGTATGGAGGGAGACTGGGAGCTGTCATGGCCGGCCCTAGGCTTGTTGGCGTCCCTTCGGCGCCCATACAAATTCAAATTCAAATGTTTATTCAGGTAAAACTACATACATAGATGATGAGTTACAAACATGATGTTGGATTTATAGATAGAGCTAGTACATACAATACCTAAAGCCACTAGTACGCATAGCGTTTCGGGCAAACACGATTTTTTGTCTACACAAGGAGGAACAACTGTAAATGTAGGAATAGTGTATTACAACATACAAGCTAAAAAGAGTTCCAAACAGTTCAGAATTTAAGGAAATAAAGCTGCCGAAAAAAGGCATTAGAAAGTCCACGTTTGCAGTGGTAGACAGTTTGAACAAGTGATAAGGTGATGGAAGAATTGTACACTGATTTTAATGCAGATATGTTGACGTGATTATTATAATATAAAGATGTTAAGGCAGGGAAGGTTGCAATTATCAGAGACAAGCGCCAAGCCATTACGACTATATAGCACTGGGAAGGAGTCAGGATAAGGATTTGGGATGGGACGGGGGGAAGGGAATGGTGCCCAACCACTTGTGGACGGTCGGGGATTGAACGCCGATCTGCATGAAGCGAGACAGTAACTCTACCGTCCAGCCCATGATGTTGAGACAAGAAAAGCTTTTTCATTCATTAAATAGCATAAGGACAAATTAAAAGAACCTAGCACATTATTTGAAGACATGTGCTAATTATTTTATAATGGGTCATCTATTTAGTCGTATTCTTAACTTATTATCAACTTCTATTGCCTTGTTTTTGGTCATTCTATTGTCTTGGACGACGAGAACAGCAGCGAACACGAGCCAGCGCATATGTTTATACGAAAGGGTTCGTGTATACAAAACTGTCAGCGAAGGAACATTTTTTTGTGTACCGAAGCGACGTTATCCGAAACAGTTTTGTACGAACCGACCAGTCCCACTACCACTCACAGGCAAGAGAGCACGAATATAAAGTGTTATGTTTAGAACCGAAAAATATATATACGGGCAGCACAACACATCCACTATACCTACCTTACCCCTATAATGTCAACCCATGTCTGTTATTTTTAAACAATGCTGTTTTGTCGACCAAATTGTATTTTTTGCTGTTTTTTCTGCCATGTTCCCCCTCCCCCTTTTTTTATATTTCCTCAACACATTTTATACTTTAATCTCAATTAGTATTAAGTTTAGTCTTTAGTGTTTTTCCTGCCCGAAACGCTTGGCGTAATAGTGGCTTTAGGCATTGTATGTACTAGCTCTATATATAAATCCATCAATATTTGTATCACACCTAGTATGTATGTACTTTACCTGAATAAACATTTGAATTTGAATTTGAATATAGACAGTGTGATATTGTAACTGCCAAAATTTGGCTGTGATATTAATATCTATGGCAGGTGGCTGCAGGTAATGAATCCCCCCAATGGTGAACATTCCAATTGTAAACTATGTGAACAAGAACATTCCAACACTCTATCTGTGGTATCAATGATTTCAGACCAAATGGTATGAGGTACAAATCTGTTCTGGTACAAATTTGGTAAAATCATCTAAAAAATTCAAATATTCTATTAAAACCATTTAGATTTACACCTAACATCTGAAAAGTATTTTCTGGCATCCAGACGTAACTGCCAACCACTTGGGCTGGACGGTAGAGCGATGGTCTCCCTTCATGCAGGTCTGGGTTCAATCCCCGACTGTCCATGTGGTTGGGCACCATCCCCCCCCCCCCTTCCCCGTTCAAATACCGTTAATGTAATATTGAATGGGCGCTTAAAACGTTGATAAAACATTGATTAAGCGTTATTAGAGCATGACAGGCAAGATGGATAGCCTCTTCTTGCCCAAAAGATTTTTTTCTGTACCAATTATAAAAAATATGTGTTTTGAAACTCCAGCGTTCTTTCAGAGTTCTATTAAAATCCTATCTTTATCAGCTTCCATGTTGATGGTTTATTTACTGAGACCACAAATATTTCTATCCCGGCTATATTTGGAAACTGAAAATTAGACTATAGTGACATTTTAAATATGAACAAATTATCTAATGGTGTTACAGAGGCTTCGGCTCTGATTTTTGCATTAAGTTCCATTTTGATATAATGTTAAAAATAAACAGGAAGATATTTTATTATACAATTGTTTATTTTTGCTTTTTTTTTTGGGGGGGGGGGGATCATGTGTTATATTATGAATTAATTACTGTATATTATATTATATGAATTAATTATTTCATGTCCTACATCAATTTTCGGAAATTTAGCAAGTGTGTGTTATTTTTAAATTTATATTAACAAAATACAATTTTGGTAATACATTTTCTTTTCATATACTGGATTTAATTCTCTATAATCTATGAAACTTTACAGCAAAGTGCATTTGCTAATTATATGAAACATGTACGATAGATGACGTATCAATTCGTAACAAAAGTGGCTCTTGAAAAAATATTTGAAAAAGTGCTAATTAACAATGTAAAAAAAAAGTGATTCCTCATAAAATATATGTTAGCTCTAAAAGTGGCTCTTTTTTAAATATATAATCTAACCCAAAAGTAGTTCATTATAAAACATACAATTTGCCCCAAAACTGACTCTCCATAAAATAAATACTTAGCCCCAAAATAGATAATTAAAAATGTAAACATCATGATCGGGCAACTTTCTTGCGTCTCTTCTCAGGCGCCATGGCATATCATCTATCAATTTCGTTATTATATATACTATAATACAACAATGATACACCAATTAAGCAAAATAGAGGAAGGTCTATTTTATATGTAGATATATAATCAGTTTTAAATCAATCGTTTACCCGTTATTGTAAAAATGGGGAAATGTTTAGAGGAATTGTAAAGATGAGTTACCCTCGGCCTGTTTTGGGTTGAGGTGAGACCTCTGGCGGCCAGCAGTGGAACTCGCCAGTATTGATTGGACAGTGCGTTGTGTTTGATATGCTCGGGATATAATTATCGGCCTACATAATGTCGAGGGTGAGTACGAAATTATCATTTTTGTCGTACTAATTCTGGCCTCAGAGAGGCTGGTGCGGCAGGATATAAGACCTAAACGAAGGATAAGTACCGAGTCCGTGTGGGCGTGCTGCATCTTCCTTCAATCCCCCCCGCATGGGAGAAGTTGTTGTTGTCAAACATAAATTTCACAAACTGCTCCTCTCATTCATCTCCCAGCAGTCATATAGACATAAAAAAACATTATCATTAACGTTATACCTTCGAGTTAGTGTATCGGTGAGTTTGTCATGAGGTAATAGTGTATTATACACATGGTAGGTTGGGATCCCACGGGCACAACAGCGTGTCAAATTGAAATGCGCATTTCTTGACAGAAAATATTTTCAACCGCTCGTGAAAATACTCACCAAATACTCAGCAGTCATTGGAGGTTCTGATAGTGGTGAAACTCGTGAGTGAGTCTCGTAATGCGTTCCCCTACAGCGATCTTTTCCCCCCTAGCCTGTGGGATATCATATATATATATTATGACACCCTACCGAGCTCTGTTATCTTGTATCACCTAGGTTGAGCTCTGGCTCTTTGGTCCCCGTCTCTCAACTGTCAATCAACTGGTGTACAAGTTCCTGAGCCTATTGGGCTCTATCATATCTACACTTGAAACTGTGTATGGAGTCAGCCTCCACCACATTACTGTCTAATGCATTCCACCTGTTAACTACTCTGACACTATGATTGTACTTTCTTGTTTGGACTTGTGCATGTATGTGTTTCAACTGGACATGTGTATGTATGTATGTGAACCAACTGGACATGTGTATGTATGTATGTGAACCAACTGGACATGTGTATGTATGTATGTGAACCAACTGGACATGTGTATG